GATTTGCTCCTGAAGTACAAGAGCAGCTTTCCTGTATCAACCGAAGTATAGCAAATACAATGCGAGAATTGAATGAACGTCAAAAGAAGTCGGATGAAATCCAGCAGCAAATGCAAAAAGTGTTTGACAATATAGTCACCGGAAAGCAGCAACTGCAACTGTCTTTTAGGATAAACCAAGGGAACCAAGCATTAGCGACAACAGGCGCTGTCGCAAATACCTCTGCCTTGCCAAGATCAGAAGATGTATCGCAATCAAAACAATTTTCGGAAGAAGCCCAACAAAGCCCACCACCACCAGATTATAACAACACCAGAGTTGCAACTATTTCACTTCCATACAATCAAGAAGGTGTACCGTTATACAAAATGAGTCGACAAGTGACAACTGTGTGTGATCTTTGGGACAAGTGGACAATAAGTCGAGATGGATTCTGGTCTGTTCAAGAATTAGAAGACAAGTGGGGCGCTAAATGGAGAAAAGACGACAGAAAATGGTTCAATATCCGTAAAAAAATCATTGATTCCGTTGAAGACCTTCAGCTGGATCTTGGTCTCTCCCCCGCTTCTACTGTAAGCGCCTTACAAAAGGTGTTCAACACTCGCCACTGGTCTTTGGATAGCTTGGGCACAGAGCTCCAAAAAGGCGCTTTTTTTCCTTGCGAAGAAACAAAAAGAAGAAAATTACAACACTTTTAGTTGAGCCTCTTTTACCATCAATAGTTGCATTTTCATTAATAAATATCTTTTTTTTTCCTGTGGATTTTGTAAAAATCGCTTAAAATGTGTTATGTAAATCTGGGTCTCAGAATAGCAGGGAACCACAAATCGCACCCACTACTGAGAGTTGGTAAATAATCCTTGATATTTATACTAGTTAAAAGGTTACAAACAAAGTCTGGGTGTACCTGACAAAAGTTTTGAGCTACATACACTAGATCTGTGAGAATTTCTCAAAAAAAAACTCTCCGGCGGGGAATTGAACCCCGGTCTCCCGCGTGACAGGCGGGGATACTCACCACTATACTACCGAAGAGATGTTGACTACTACTTAAGAAAGCGTTTGGCCAGGCGGCGTGCTCCTGGTGGGAACCATATCCGTGCGGAAATGCTCCTTCCCATCCGTGAATCTCTGGTGCCTGTACTTTACCTGTTGTTTCAGCTGTGCTGGCGTTGGTCTCGTACTCCTGCTTCTTGGCGATTAGCACAGGTGGTGCCAATTTACAAGAAGGGTGATCCTCTTGATCCTGGTAATCATAGACCCATCTCTTTGACTTCTGTGTTTCGAAAGTTGTTGGAACGATGCCTCTATGATCCTTTGGTGTCTTCTGCTCCTGCGTTGGATGTGGTGCAAGGTGGTTTTCGTGAGCGTCGTGGTGCTCCTGATCAGGCGCTCTGTCTACATGAACTCTGTCTTCACCATACTCTTGATTATGGTTCTCCTCCTGTTTTGGCTTTTCTGGATATCAAATCTGCATACGATACGGTTGACAGAGCTGTCATTTGGCGTGCTCTCGAAACGTATGTATCAGATGCGATGCTTGGTCTCCTTCAGCATTTGTTTGATGAAGTGTCTGTTCAGGTCTTGGTGTCTGGTGCTGTTTCTGATGGTTTTTGGCCTGGTACTGGTGTGTTGCAAGGCTCCATTTTGAGTCCTTTTCTTTACTCCGTGTACATCAACTCTCTGCCTGCGGTGTTGCGTGCTCCATTTAACCCTCGGGTGGTGGAGCGTCCTCCTCGTTTGTATAACGGTCTTTGGATCAATAGTTTGATGTATGCTGATGATGTGGTGCTAATTGGAACTGCCGAGTCTATGCCTTTGTTACTTGCTCGTGTGGAAGCTCATTCTGTGTCTCTGGGTTATCGGTGGAACCCTCTGAAATCTGTCGTCCTCAATGCTGGTGTTGGTGGTGGTGCTACTGGTGTCTCTCCTGGTCTTGGTGCTGGTGTTTCTCTGTCTCTCTATGGTCAAGCTATACCTACTGCTCACTCTTTTACCTACCTTGGTTTGCCGTTCAATGTGAAGGGTAGCCTGGACACCGATCTCTTATTGACTAGAAATAGTCAATCAGCGTTAGGTGCTATGCGTGGTTTGCAATCTCTTGGCCTTCATTCTGCTGGTTTCTCCAAGCTCCTATCTGCTAAACTGTATGCGGCCTTTATTCGGCCCAAACTTGAGTTTGGTCTGTCTATTTCCTGGTTCTTGAAACGCCATTTAAAGCTTTTGGAAAAAGCTCAAAATCAGTGTCTTCGTCTGGCCTTTGGTGGCCATCGTACCTCTTCCGTCGTGGTTTTTCGACATTTAACCAATCTTCCAACTATGGAGGAACGTGTTGATATTCTGACTAGTAAAATGCTCTGGCGGGTGCATACGCAATTGCCTGGTGATACTCTTCTTATGGTTTTGGCTCCCTCTCTTGTGTCCTTCAAGCATCGTTTGAACAAGTTGGCCGTCAAAAATCCAATCTGGGATCCTACTTTTGCTGGTGGTGGTGCTGATAATTCTCTTGCTTTGGATCGTCGTGGTCTTGCTGACAAGATCAAGGTGTATCGTCTTGATTCCCTCCAATGTCGGTTACATCCTGCTCCTCCTGTTTCTCCTCCTGTTCTCCTCTCTGCTTGTCGTCCTTCACTCATGGTGGATCCCATCCTGTATCTTCCAATGTCTGTGTTTGACCGTAGTCGTATTCTCCGTTGGCGCATGGGATGGCTACCTGCTAGGCCAGTTCCATGTCGCTGTGGTGCTCCTCACGCTAGCCGCAACCATCTGCTAGAGTGTCTTGGTGTTGCTTCAAAGCTTTTGTTTACTGATGATCCTCTTGGTGCTGATTATTTGCCCAATCCTCTGGACTTTTGGCTCAATCGACTACCTCGTATGCAACCTTCTGCCTCTAAACTCGTGTCGTCTCGCTCCTTTTGGTCTGTTCGCTGGCCTGTCATGCTCCAAATCTTTTTGGATATTGACATGATCTGTCATCCTGATGCTGAATTTACTGGTAAAGCTCTGGACTCGTCTGGTTCTGCCTTTCTCGACTGGTTGACCCCGGTTTCCTCAACTACCTCTGTTTCGGGTACGCCTCCTATCTCTTCCTCAGATAGTGCTGGTATTACTGTCGCTATTCCACATCTTTTGTCTCACTAAGATGCTGTTTCTCTGCTGTCCTTTTCCAACTGTTTTCGTTTGCCTTTTTTTGAACCAAGGATTTAATCTTTAAATTTTTTGTTATTTTTTTTATATTCTCTTTCCGAATTCATTTCCAGCTATCATCATTTTGATCCGCACTATAATGAGCACTTTGCCCTACAGGGACGCAGCTCCAATATTATATCCTTTCAATAAACATTTCAACTATACTACCGAAGATACTGCTTCTGTTACGATGGTAAAAGGATTTTGTGGTGGTGCTGATTTTAAGATGCGGTATCCGAACTCTGAGCCTATTAGAGTGCTGTTCCTGGACTGGTGTTCAAATCGATTATTCTTACATTTTTTTATTTTGACATATATACTTGAATCTATACAACACATTTGAAATAAATCGAACTTTTCTTACGTTTAAATCTTTTGGGTACATAACTTTATATATACATTTAATCGCTGAGATACTGTCTACATCAAGGTTATTGCAACACATCAGCAACTTAAACAGCTTTAATTACTTGGTTTTTGTCTCGGGATCAACTATTACTGCAAGATTTTCCACACATTTCGCTACACATTTCACAAAACCAGCACCGCAGAGTATCAGTTGGAGGTCGCGCCGAGACACTTTTTGTTTGTAATCGATATGTCAAGAACTTGATTTCAACAGAGGATTTATTTAACAAAACGATTATCTTGAAGTAAGTGAGAATAAGATATACAAGATAATCTACAACTGGAAAAGATGGAGGGGAAAAGGACATGATATTTATACTTGACAAGAGGTGCGGACATAAGTGCTGAGACATGGATATAGCATGGATAAACGTAATGATTCGTAATCTGAAACATGAGTCATAATTACATAATTATGACATTGGCTTGATACTTGACGTTGATACGTACTTGACATGATAAGGTTGCATAAAGCTTGGCATGACATAATGATTACTAATGATGACTAATTGATTACTAATGGTTATCAATTAGTACTCCTAAATCCTGAACACCGAGATGACATAAGCATAACGTAGACATAACACTTGGACTGCATGGTTCTAGATCCAGGTACCAGATCGAAGCTTGGTTCATGACACGATAACTGATAGAGATTACTGAAAAACAATACACTGCCGTGCCAATCTATAGAAATAGCGTAGTATACAGTTGATTTTGGAGTATCTAACATACTTGATACATTTTTGGTTATTTGGATTATTTAAATTTTATCGTGCTTTGGGCATTGTTCTTAGGGGACCACATCTCTGCACACCGTTGGAACATTTATAGAAGACATTTTGTCTTGAGTATCTAAAGGAGCTGATACATTTTATTGGATTTATTTTGATAGCAGTTGATACTGTCGAAGATCTCGAAAACATATCATCTCTATTTGGAATTTGCATAATATCGCTAGCAGTAGCTGATACTCTCGTTGGTATTATCAAATTCATTTTGTAAATTGCGGTATTGGTGCAATCTTATTCTATTTTTAATTCTTATCTTTGTGGCATACACGAGGGTACACATTTTTGCAGCTATTTTGTGGCATACACGAGGCTACACATTTTATATTTCATCTGTATAGTACTACTCGAAAAAACATCGAAAGGTACAATTTTTTTTTATTTAAAGCGACTCATTTCGAAAGGGAAGCAAGAAATCATCATCGGAAGCAAGCAATCATGGGCGAATCAAGCAAAAGTGCAAGTATCAATAATCTTATTCCAAGCAACGGGATGCGGTTTATAGCAAGTCCTAGTGATTTCAATGGTCGAGATTCTAATGAGGGTGAACGTTGGCTTATCAAGTTGAACTAGATCCTGAAGGTGAACAAGGTGGAAGATATTGAAACTATCATGGCCATAACTGGAAGTTATCTGAAGGGAAGAGCCTTGGACTGGTGGTATTCTATCCAAGAGGAAGTGAAGTCTTTCCAGCAATTTGAGGATTTGTTCAAGAAGAAATTCATGAAGGTGATCTATGAGAAGGCGTGGAGAGAGTTGAAGGCTGTGCAACAACAGGAGGGTGAAGATGTTGAGGGAATCAGCAATCGGCTCAGGCAATTGTTCAGAGATGCAGGTGTAACAGACGGTGGTACCAAGAAGGCTATTTTTGTGGCATCAGTTCTTCCAAGTATTGGCTATGAAATGGAAAAAGTCTTGGCTACTAGGAAAAAGATTACATTTGAAGATTTGGTGGATGAAGCTGCTGAGCACAAGGCGTTGGTGTTGAAGTATGACAAGAAAAAGGAAGTGGTGATTTACAACAACAATGGTGCATAGAAGAAAGTGGTGTCATTTGATTTGGATAACAACAGCATGATGAACAGCAACAAGGATTATCTCAGTGAGGGCTCCTCTATCAGCTCGGTGTTGTCTGACTTGGTGAATGAGATGAGGGCACTCAAGATCAGTTGTGTGGAACAGAAGGAATTGATTCAGCAACAGCAACACATCATTGCACAACATAACCTGGTTATACAACAACAAGGTGATGGAGGAAATGGCAATCACTATCAACAACGTAGCAACTTCCAGCAACAGCAGCAACCAAGACTATTTAATGATTCATGTTACAACTGTGGCGAGTATGGGCATATTGCTCGAGTGTGTCCAGTTCCACCAAGAAAAAGACAGCAACCAGGTTTCCGTGGTAGTGGCATTGCTGGTCCTAATCAGCTGGGTAACACCAATCAAACGGACAACAATGAGGGAAACAATGGTAACAAGGAGAATTCGGGAAAAGAGTTGGGCCGTCAGTAGAAGGAGTTGCTGCTGATGTCCATAAAAATACAAACAAATCAAATAGTGGGATCAATGTGGTAGAAATCAGGGGGATGGATAATGAAAGAAAACACTTGAAAAAAGACAAAAACAGTAGAAAACACAAAAAAACAAAAAGACACATCTCTTTCTGCTAATTTTATGGATCATAGAGAAATTGAGCTAGATGTGAATGCAGTCAAGAGAGGAAGAGGTGCCATGTCGGATGAGGGTGTTCAAGGTAATCCACGCAAGAGGGGCAAGGATAATGGTGATCCAGGTCCATCAACACTGGCTCATCGATCTCAACAGCAACAACCATCAGCAGTAGTAACTTCACAGCAACCAACCCACGAGGAAAACATAGTGTAATGAAATAGCCACCCAAACGCAACTTAATTGAAAACCAAAGTTCATCAAATAGCACTCATTCAAATTCATGCTATTTGGATCTATTAATGAAAGCGCGCAAATGTACATCAAAAAACCATTTAAAAATACTAAAGTAAAGATGCATGCTTATATCGCACATCGTGTGAATGAATCACTCCTGATCACAGTGTATTCAATCACACCCATGATGGTCGTAATAAGAGATGGTATCTTTATCCAAATAAAATCAAATCAATAACAAGCATATTCAAATATGACAACTATGCCCTGCTGCCTTAGTTGCACAATATCCCAGATAAAGGATGCCATACTTCAATAACAGACATCACACTTTAAACCATCAAGGTTACATTAAATCATGCTATGACGATAGCTCACCCAAGCCCATCAAGGTTACTCAAATCGACCCTTATGGCCAGTGCTCCTGCATTGATTACCACTTTAAATCAAGCATCAACAACATTTGCCAGATAACGCAATAGCAGCACCTATTGCTCTCTATCATCACTAATCCTACAAGCTAGATGCAAATGTATAAATACTCTTCTTTTTTTACTCAATTCCAGGATCTTCAGTTCATTTTATACACAAAATAAAATACAGTTGATTTCTATTGTATTTTACTATTGCTTTATTTTTTTTGTGAAATCTATTCAAACCTGATTTCACTGCACATAGCATTGAGCAAGGCTATTAAGCGGATTAGGGAGAAGAAGCCATTAAGCTCCAATCGTGTGATGCCACCGGACATTATGAAGCTTTTGAATCAACCCTCGGAATCCGGTGTCAGTATCTTGCAGTACTTGGCCAAGGACAAGAATGCAAGCCGTAGATTGAGAGAGAGTTTAGTAGCTATTTATCGAGCCAAGCCAAGGAATGGTGGAACCACAGTGATCATCAATGAGTTGACGCAACAACAGGAGGATGGTAGTGAGGATGGATCATCTTATTACGGTGACAGTAGTGAGGATTTATCTGATAATGATGGATCGAGAATCGACAATAGCAGCTACGATTATTCATCTGATGAGGAGGATGACCTGGATACGGTGATTGATTATCCGTTTGATCTCACGAAGCTGATGAGTAGCCAGCCTATGCGCACTATGGTATCTATTAGTAACACCTTGATGATTGCCACTGTTGATACGGGAGCAGCGATATCTGTGATGAGTAGGCGACTCGCTGACACAATGGGTTTGCAGTTGGAAAAGGTGAACAAGCGATTTGCTCTGACTGGGTTCAATGATGCTCTGAGTGAGACATCGTTGGTAGCAAAGAATGTCCCATTGCGTATTGGTGACAAGCTTAGGAAGGAGCATTTTTGTGTTGACAACTCCATTCGGGACAAGGACGTTTGCCTTCTGGGCAGGACATGGTTTACTAATCACTGTATTAAAATTGATTCAAAGGAAAATTTGATCATAATACCAACAGGTAATGGTACATGTTTTATTGAAGTGGCATGTATGAAGGATGCTGATGAACTACTACAAGAGGGTCCTGACAATGATAACGTATCTACGGTGCCGGTGTACACAGTATCTCTCAGGATGGACCAAAATCAAGGTGGCTTCTCTGGTGATGGTGTTGACTTTACTGGCGATGGTGATCCATGGAATCAAGGCCTGATGAACTCATACCATGAGGACATCGTGTCTCTGCAGGATAGTGAAGGGGAATCCAGCAAGAAGAATCACGCTACATTGGAGGAGGTGCTTGTGGACGTTCTAGGTGTGGTGCAGGATGTGGTGAAGAGCAACTTGAATACTTTCTATGAATATGCTGGGCTGGGACGAGTGAACAATGTGTACCACGAAATTATCACTACGTCGGATGAGCCAATCCAATCCAAGCCGTATCGCTTAACCGTTGATGAGGAGGAATGCTTGAAGGAAGAGTTGAAAACATTGTTGGAGCTTGATATCATTCGTCCAAGCTCGGGTAAGTATACTTCGCCGGTGTTCTTTGTGCCCAAGAAGGATGGAAAACTGCGTCTGGTGGTAAATTTTCAAAAGTTGAAAGCTGTAACTGTCAAGGATGGCTATCCTCTACCCCACATCGATGATATCCTAGATTCTATAGGTGGATATCAATGTTACACAGTCCTAGATGCTGCTTTCGGATTATGGCAAATACCTATACATGAAAATTCAATTGAACGCAGTGGATTTGTTACGAAAATGGGTGTTTTTTCTTTCAACGTCATGGCCATGGGCTTACAAGGAAGTCCAAGCACTTATCAGCGCTGTATGAATAATATTCTGCAGGAGTATTTGGGTGTATTCGTCTATGCTTTCGTCGATGACTATGTGGTGTATAGTCGGAGCCCTTCTGAACATGCGGTGCACTTGCAAAAGATATTTGATGCGTGTAACAAGGCTAATTTGAAGTTGAAGCTCGCCAAGTGTCAATTCAGTTGTGATAACGTGGTGTATCTGGGTCATGAGGTAGGCAGCGAGGGGTTACAACCAACGGACAGCAATATCAAGAAGATGATGGAGATGCGGGAACCAAGAGACAAAGACGAAGTGAGATCATTCTTGGGCAATGTTGGATATTACAGGCGATTCATTGACAATTTTGCTGGTAAGGCAGAGCCAATCACCAAATTATTGAAGAAGGCAAGCAAGTTTGAATGGGGCGAGGCGCAACGGAAGGTGTGGAATACATCCACTATGATCTGCATTCCGACAGTTCATCCAGTCACCAGATTTAGATATAAACTATATGTGCACTGGATTAGATGTACAATACAGATTTATACTACAAGAAGATATGATCTTCAGATACTACGTTAATACTTATTAAGCACAAAGAATAAGAGGATTATTATTTGTAGCTTATAAAAAATGTTCGATATTATAAAAACAAGAAAAGGCTTATTTGAATAAGATCAGACACAAAAAAACTATAGATTTATTGATGAAGACAAGAGTTATTCTATTATACTAAGTTCTGAATGCCAAAGTAGCAATTTATCTTGTACAACGCTTAACACATCTGGTGAACCTCAGTATTTAGATAGCTGAGATGCACTTCAATTATCAAAACTTGTCCATGTTGTTGCACAACACAGACATATCTACCCATCAAGAATACCTTAATCTTTATAGACAGTTGTAGCCCTTCTGGCACAACACGGGTGGTTCATGAGGTGTTATGCAGCACATTCTCGTTAACTGGTTCAAGGCTTATACAATTATCCCGCATTTAAGATCAAGGTCCTATTGCTGCGGCACTGTCAAATAACTATAAACACATTCGAGATTTACATTAGTTTTAACCCTCATTCAATCTTGAAATAAAATGATAAATATATTCAGTTTTAATTATATTTCTTCTCTCTATATTATTCTTAACGCATTTTTTTTCTCGCTAAATTTGGCTGTACGAACATACTACTTTCAAAGCTCTGATGTAAATAGTCTAAGACTTGATTGTGGATGGTGGCGTAAATCTTATGACAAAAGATACTTTTATCCTGTGAAATCGTTGATATGAAGCAAAAGTTAGCAACCCATTACATTGAGACATGTTAGAAAATACTGATAAACAACGCATGTTTGGCGGCGGGGCATCTGTTATTAAGTCCTCCTGGTCCTTAAAGTAGTATTGCATTATCGTACTTGTATATGGGCTTCCTCCAACCACATAATATCAAGTTTAAAGGACACTCACTCACATGCCACAGTTTAATGCATGTTAGATCAATTGATTGCACCTTATTTTATAGTTTTAAACAAAGGACGACATAAATTGGATCTATTTGATACTCTTTTTATTACAAATACAAAATTATAATACATGACAGATCAATAGGAAATCAACCAGTTGTAGCCCATCGTTGTTTCAACCCCTGAGCCAATCAGATTGCTTGAAAACTCCGCTGACCTAAAAAAAATTTGCGAGGGTTTCCCTCTGTTTTGATGTGAGGCAAAATTTTAAGCGCCGCTATAATAGCAATATAGCCGCTGCTATCATCAAATTTCCCTCAGGTGCTAGAGCATGCCTTACTTACACCACCTAGCTTTAGATTCTGGCGTTGAGGCTCTCAATCATCACTAAAGTAAGTAGTGATAACCAAGTGGAGACAGCCTATCTACCTCCTAGCCTCGGGTAAAGTTTTGTTGAGCTTCAGGGATAGGCACATCCACACAACGTAAAAAAGTATGCCTCAAAGAAACACAAAAATAATAAAGGAAAGAATAAAAGAATATACTACTATACTCCTATAGTAGTATTTGGGCAAAAAATGGATACTCACACAAAGTGATTCAAAGAAATGTATAACAAGTACACCATCAGAGATGCTCAAAAGAGCTCGTTGTTGCAACAAAATTGCATACATGAGCAAAGTGCATGGTAATAGTCGAATGTAAAGTAACGCAAACACACAAAACTGCAAAAGCAATGGTGGTATAAGTTTGCACTGCAACATAATGACTAACGTTGTCTCATGTGAAGCCACAAAGGCAACGCAACCAGCGAAAGAAGAAGAAAGCGCAACAAAGTAAATATTATGATAAAATGCATTACCACGAGAAAGGAAGCAATAATACAAACGTTCAAAGAGGTTTTATATCATTCCGACCAGAAGAAAGAAGATACTTACCACTTACCACCACCACAGATAGACCAGAGGATACGCAATCACCAGATATAGACCAGAGAAAAAGCATGCACCAGACACAGTACACCAGAGAAGACCATATTAGCAACAGCAGCAGCAACACCAGCACCATGGAAAAATCAGAGAAAAAACGACACCAGAGACCAGACAAAGACCAAACAACAAGCAACACTAGCAGAGACCAGACAAAGACCAAAAAGTAGACAGCAGAAAAGGAATGGCAGCAGCACCCACGTCAAACAGGCAAAAACATTATCAAAACCTAACAAACAAATTCAGTTAGTACTGATTCTACGTCTTCCAGTGCTCGTTTATCGAATGGCACCTACTATATCCCTCTTCAAAGAAGCAGTGTCAAGTTCTTTTAGCAATACAAGGCAGTGTGATCAGAAGTTGGAGTGTTATTATCATTCGAACGGTTTCCAAACCAACATGGTTCGATACTAAACGCGTTTTGCAAAAGGAAAAAAAAAAAACGGTGATATGGAAAAATGAGAGGGCGCCCTATCCAACGTCACGGCTAGTAAATTTGGCCTCAGTCTTCTGCCACAGCAGCTGTCGCTGCGGCAATCAAATTTGGATTTGTGCAGCTGTCATTTTTGTGCTCAAATTTGACTTGATCTGACATCCTTTAAACGTTTTTGCTAGATTTGACTATGAAAATTGTCATTGTTATACTTTACTTTCTATTGCGTTTATAAAGAGTCATTAAAGGCGCATCGAATGATGCTGGTTACATTTAGTTTTTAGACTGAAAATAATGAGCAATTTTCAAAAATATGAAAACAGGTTTTCTGTGAATATGTCAAAATTTAGCATATATAAGCCTCATAGAAAGGGTTTCCGCTGTTGCATTCCATCTTTACGATCAATTTGATTTGATATGTATCATAAGAAAAGTTTTCGTTTTTTAGGTGAAAAACGCGAGCGTTTGATTTTCAAGAATTTTCCCTTGCTAATACACATGAAAAATATGCGAACTTTCATGGATTTGCAATGACCCAAAGAAATTTGAGATAAAGCATCAGGAAGTAAAGCGTGGCCAAAAGGAGGTGTGTGGTACTAATCCAAGCCCTCAAAACGCTTTGTGGCATGAGTTATTCATGCTTGAAAATGACTAGATTTGAACAGAATTCGACCTAAAACGAAGGGGGTAGTCGGTTGCATTGCCAGAAGATTAAGTCAATTACGCTTGCGGAATACATCCACTATGATTTGCATTCCGACAGTTCATCCAGTTACTAGATTTAGATATAAACTGTATGTACACTGGATTAAATGTACAATACAGATTTATACTATAAGAAGATATGGACTTCAGATACGCTAGTACTATAAGATTCATACTATATAAGATTTAGGCTGCTATAGATGACACCACGGACATGGATGGCACTATAGACTTATACTTGTATTCCGACATTGACTACGGATGTTTACCATATCTGGATAGGCACCAAGATTAATGCAATATGAGCTTGTTGCTTCAGATGTGCACTTCATGATCCACGCTATAAGACACATGCTTATATCCGTGATACTAGCTAGAGATACTTTATGTACTACAGACCTGTACTATATATGAGACATGCTATAGACATGCATACGATATGCTATAGACATGCCATATATCCAGATACATGCTAAAGATGTATGCTTAGCGATATACACTCAGATATGTACTATTAATATAGACCAAGTAGACTGTACCTATCGGATACATGCTACTAGATCGACATTAATTATCCTTATAGAAAGGATAGATCAGGGTACTTCGGATGAGAGTCTAATTATTCATCCAGACAGAACTAAATCATGATTAGCTTGCTGGAGTTGTCTTTTAGCATGATTAGACATTAGTTGATCTGAGTTGACTTATTTGTTAATCTAATTAATAGAACTTTTATCCATTGTTATAGTATATAAGAAGGATCATCTACCTGGCCAGTAGAGAGACTTCAGTTTACTTTACACCTGTCAGTTTGATAATAAAACATACCTTTATCAAGTTGACATTACTGTTTTTTTTAAACTTTTTTTTTCCGTGAATTTTAGTCTATCAAGCCTCAAATTCCACAGTAATATTCTGAAGTATTCTGAAAATTACACCGTATGTAATGAAATAGCCACCCAAACGCAACTTGATTGAAAACCAAAATTCATCAAATAGCATGATGAGTGCTATTTGAATCTATTAATAAAGCGCCCAAATGTACATCAACAACCACTTAAACATACTAAAGATGCACGCTTATCTCGCAAATCGTGTGATCACTGCAGTGAAATCAGGTTTGAATAGATTTCACAAAAAAAATAAAGCAATAGTAAAATACAATAGAAATCAACTGTATTTTATTTTGTGTATAAAATGAACTGAAGATCCTGGAATTGAGTAAAAAAAGAAGAGTATTTATACATTTGCATCTAGCTTGTAGGATTAGTGATGATAGAGAGCAATAGGTGCTGCTATTGCGTTATCTGGCAAATGTTGTTGATGCTTGATTTAAAGTGTTAATCAATGCAGGAGCACTGGCCATAAGGGTCGATTTGAGTAACCTTGATGGGCTTGGGTGAGCTATCGTCATAGCATGATTTAATGTAACCTTGATGGTTTAAAGTGTGATGTCTGTTATTGAAGTATGGCATCCTTTATCTGGGATATTGTGCAACTAAGGCAGCAGGGCATAGTTGTCATATTTGAATATGCTTGTTATTGATTTGATTTTATTTGGATAAAGATACCATCTCTTATTACGACCATCATGGGTGTGATTGAATACACTGTGATCAGGAGTGATTCATTCACACGATGTGCGATATAAGCATGCATCTTTACTTTAGTATTTTTAAATGGTTTTTTGATGTACATTTGCGCGCTTTCATTAATAGATCCAAATAGCATGAATTTGAATGAGTGCTATTTGATGAACTTTGGTTTTCAATTAAGTTGCGTTTGGGTGGCTATTTCATTACACTATGTTTTCCTCGTGGGTTGGTTGCTGTGAAGTTACTACTGCTGATGGTTGTTGCTGTTGAGATCGATGAGCCAGTGTTGATGGACCTGGATCACCATTATCCTTGCCCCTCTTGCGTGGATTACCTTGAACACCCTCATCCGACATGGCACCTCTTCCTCTCTTGACTGCATTCACATCTAGCTCAATTTCTCTATGATCCATAAAATTAGCAGAAAGAGATGTGTCTTTTTGTTTTTTTGTGTTTTCTACTGTTTTTGTCTTTTTTCAAGTGTTTTCTTTCATTATCCATCCCCCTGATTTCTACCACATTGATCCCACTATTTGAGTTGTTTGTATTTTTATGGACATCAGCAGCAACTCCTTCTACTGACGGCCCAACTCTTTTCCCGAATTCTCCTTGTTACCATTGTTTCCCTCATTGTTGTCCGTTTGATTGGTGTTACCCAGCTGATTAGGACCAGCAATGCCACTACCACGGAAACCTGGTTGCTGTCTTTTTCTTGGTGGAACTGGACACACTCGAGCAATATGCCCATACTCGCCACAGTTGTAACATGAATCATTAAATAGTCTTGGTTGCTGCTGTTGCTGGAAGTTGCTACGTTGTTGATAGTGATTGCCATTTCCTCCATCACCTTGTTGTTGTATAACCAGGTTATGTTGTGCAATGATGTGTTGCTGTTGCTGAATCAATTCCTTCTGTTCCACACAACTGATCTTGAGTGCCCTCATCTCATTCACCAAGTCAGACAACACCGAGCTGATAGAGGAGCCCTCACTGAGATAATCCTTGTTGCTGTTCATCATGCTGTTGTTATCCAAATCAAATGACACCACTTTCTTCTATGCACCATTGTTGTTGTAAATCACCACTTCCTTTTTCTTGTCATACTTCAACACCAACGCCTTGTGCTCAGCAGCTTCATCCACCAAATCTTCAAATGTAATCTTTTTCCTAGTAGCCAAGACTTTTTCCATTTCATAGCCAATACTTGGAAGAACTGATGCCACAAAAATAGCCTTCTTGGTACCACCGTCTGTTACACCTGCATCTCTGAACAATTGCCTGAGCCGATTGCTGATTCCCTCAACATCTTCACCCTCCTGTTGTTGCACAGCCTTCAACTCTCTCCACGCCTTCTCATAGATCACCTTCATGAATTTCTTCTTGAACAAATCCTCAAATTGCTGGAAAGACTTCACTTCCTCTTGGATAGAATACCACCAGTCCAAGGCTCTTCCCTTCAGATAACTTCCAGTTATGGCCATGATAGTTTCAATATCTTCCACCTTGTTCACCTTCAGGATCTAGTTCAACTTGATAAGCCAACGTTCACCCTCATTAGAATCTCGACCATTGAAATCACTAGGACTTGCTATAAACCGCATCCCGTTGCTTGGAATAAGATTATTGATACTTGCACTTTTGCTTGATTCGCCCATGATTGCTTGCTTCCGATGATGATTTCTTGCTTCCCTTTCGAAATGAGTCGCTTTAAATAAAAAAAAATTGTACCTTTCGATGTTTTTTCGAGTAGTACTATACAGATGAAATATAAAATGTGTAGCCTCGTGTATGCCACAAAATAGCTGCAAAAATGTGTACCCTCGTGTATGCCACAAAGATAAGAATTAAAAATAGAATAAGATTGCACCAATACCGCAATTTACAAAATGAATTTGATAATACCAACGAGAGTATCAGCTACTGCTAGCGATATTATGCAAATTCCAAATAGAGATGATATGTTTTCGAGATCTTCGACAGTATCAACTGCTATCAAAATAAATCCAATAAAATGTATCAGCTCCTTTAGATACTCAAGACAAAATGTCTTCTATAAATGTTCCAACGGTGTGCAGAGATGTGGTCCCCTAAGAACAATGCCCAAAGCACGATAAAATTTAAATAATCCAAATAACCAAAAATGTATCAAGTATGTTAGATACTCCAAAATCAACTGTATACTACGCTATTTCTATAGATTGGCACGGCAGTGTATTGTTTTTCAGTAATCTCTATCAGTTATCGTGTCATGAACCAAGCTTCGATCTGGTACCTGGATCTAGAACCATGCAGTCCAAGTGTTATGTCTACGTTATGCTTATGTCATCTCGGTGTTCAGGATTTAGGAGTACTAATTGATAACCATTAGTAATCAATTAGTCATCATTAGTAATCATTATGTCATGCCAAGCTTTATGCAACCTTATCATGTCAAGTACGTATCAACGTCAAGTATCAAGCCAATGTCATAATTATGTAATTATGACTCATGTTTCAGATTACGAATCATTACGTTTATCCATGCTATATCCATGTCTCAGCACTTATGTCCGCACCTCTTGTCAAGTATAAATATCATGTCCTTTTCCCCTCCATCTTTTCCAGTTGTAGATTATCTTGTATATCTTATTCTCACTTACTTCAAGATAATCGTTTTGTTAAATAAATCCTCTGTTGAAATCAAGTTCTTGACATATCGATTACAAACAAAAAGTGTCTCGGCGCGACCTCCAACTGATACTCTGCGGTGCTGGTTTTGTGAAATGTGTAGCGAAATGTGTGGAAAATCTTGCAGTAATAGTTGATCCCGAGACAAAAACCAAGTAATTAAAGCTGTTTAAGTTGCTGATGTGTTGCAATAACCTTGATGTAGACAGTATCTCAGCGATTAAATGTATATATAAAGTTATGTACCCAAAAGATTTAAACGTAAGAAAAGTTCGATTTATTTCAAATGTGTTGTATAGATTCAAGTATATATGTCAAAATAAAAAAATGTAAGAATAATCGATTTGAACACCAGTCCAGGAACAGCACTCTAATAGGCTCAGAGTTCGGATACCGCATCTTAAAATCAGCACCACCACAAAATCCTTTTACCATCGTAACAGAAGCAGTATCTTCGGTAGTATAGTTGAAATGTTTATTGAAAGGATATAATATTGGAGCTGCGTCCCTGTAGGGCAAAGTGCTCATTATAGTGCGGATCAAAATGATGATAGCTGGAAATGAATTCGGAAAGAGAATATAAAAAAAATAACAAAAAATTTAAAGATTAAATCCTTGGTTCAAAAAAAGGCAAACGAAAACAGTTGGAAAAGGACAGCAGAGAAACAGCATCTTAGTGAGACAAAAGATGTGGAATAGCGACAGTAATACCAGCACTATCTGAGGAAGAGATAGGAGGCGTACCCGAAACAGAGGTAATTGAGGAAACCGGGGTCAACCAGTCGAGAAAGGCAGAACCAGACGAGTCCAGAGCTTTACCAGTAAATTCAGCATCAGGATGACAGATCATGTCAATATCCAAAAAGATTTGGAGCATGACAGGCCAGCGAACAGACCAAAAGGAGCGAGACGACACGAGTTTAGAGGCAGAAGGTTGCATACGAGGTAGTCGATTGAGCCAAAAGTCCAGAGGATTGGGCAAATAATCAGCACCAAGAGGATCATCAGTAAACAAAAGCTTTGAAGCAACACCAAGACACTCTAGCAGATGGTTGCGGCTAGCGTGAGGAGCACCACAGCGACATGGAACTGGCCTAGCAGGTAGCCATCCCATGCGCCAACGGAGAATACGACTACGGTCAAACACAGACATTGGAAGATACAGGATGGGATCCACCATGAGTGAAGGACGACAAGCAGAGAGGAGAACAGGAGGAGAAACAGGAGGAGCAGGATGTAACCGACATTGGAGGGAATCAAGACGATACACCTTGATCTTGTCAGCAAGACCACGACGATCCAAAGCAAGAGAATTATCAGCACCACCACCAGCAAAAGTAGGATCCCAGATTGGATTTTTGACGGCCAACTTGTTCAAACGATGCTTGAAGGACACAAGAGAGGGAGCCAAAACCATAAGAAGAGTATCACCAGGCAGTTGCGTATGCACCCGCCAGAGCATTTTACTAGTCAGAATATCAACACGTTCCTCCATAGTTGGAAGATTGGTTAAATGTCGAAAAACCACGACGGAAGAGGTACGATGTGTTGTAACTGTCTGAAATACGTGAGAATGGATATGTCTTTTTATTTTCAGTAAAATCAGATGGAGAGAAAAGGGAAGGGTGAATGTCTACTGCTATTTATATGTATGATTTATGGATTGCTTACACACCCGTCTAGAATGGTGTTCTCATGCTAAGTTTTAGTGTCAATCCTCACTTATGCTAAATGGTAATTATTTCAGATATAGATGATCAGTCTAAATATCTTTAGTAGCTCTTGGCAACGTTAATTACTTACATTCCTTATCTGCTATCTTTTGACATATAGAGAATAGCTTATCGAAACTTAGCTTATGTGAATATCATGATTATCGTTTACATGTTGAACAGCTTATTTACATATGCTCCATATGTGCATAGTTTATTGCTCAATTCAATCTACGACATTATGATTCAGGAACAGTTATATGTGTGAATACAACACGATGGCCACCAAAGGCCAGACAAAGACACTGATTTTGAGCTTTTTCCAAAAGCTTTAAATGACGTTTCAAGAACCAGGAAATAGACAGACCAAACTCAAGTTTGGGCCGAATAAAGGCCGCATACAGTTTAGCAGATAAGAGCTTGGAGAAACCAGCAGAATGAAGGCCAAGAGATTGCAAACCACGCATAGCACCTAACGCTGATTGACTATTTCTAGTCAATAAGAGATCGGTGTCCAAGCTACCCTTCACATTGAACGGCAAACCAAGGTAGGTAAAAGAGTGAGCAGTAGGTATAGCTTGACCATAGAGAGACAGAGAAACACCAGCACCAAGACCAGGAGAGACACCAGTAGCACCACCACCAACACCAGCATTGAGGACGACAGATTTTAGAGGGTTCCACCGATAACCCAGAGACACAGAATGAGCTTCACTACGGCCCAACTGATGTTCTCACAGAACATCGATGCGCTCTTTTGGGAACATCGATGTTCTCGTGAGCACCTCGATGTTCCCATATCAGAACATTTGGCTTTACACTGTGAAGATAGTTATCAGATATGCGCTTTTAAATGGTATGGTCAGACTTTTTGAGTTCTTTTGTTTATTTTTCGTACCGAACGCCAATTCGTAGCATCATTATCTACGAAGTTAGAAGCCTCCAAACTTGCTCAATTTGAAACAAATCAGGAGAAAAAATCACGTGACCCGAGTTTCTGGTTACTTTGAGTCGTTATGTCAAAGTGGTAATATTCCTGACTAACAAACTGAAGGTCGCCAGTTCGAATCCGAGCAAACTCGTTTTTTCTTCGTTGGACGTTAACCTTGCTGGGTTAATTATGCTTTTCTCAAAATGCTTTGATGGTCAGTGATGCGGATCCTTTTCTTTTATTATTTTTTTTTATAATTATTTTGCGCATGCCTTCATGGACAACAAAGCTGTAAGAGGTATACAAGTATGATTAATGAATGTAGCTATGTATTGTATTGACAAATGTATTATCTTTTATTTCGTAGCCTCAAGTGGGTAGTTTTACGCGAAAGCAAAAAAAAAAATCTGTATGTTGCGATTTCAATCCTCGTTAAAGGTTGCGAATATCGCCAGCATCGATCGACATATCTTGTTCAAACGCATGGTAGTTTGCAATGACGCTAAAGTGCAAGTCGTTATCCAAAGATTTCACCAATCCCACTTGCATCTCAACATCGTCAATAGAAATGACAGCATACTTGGGATCAATCACTCTCGGCACCCTTCTTGCAATTTGTTGTTCGACAGGCTCATTCATACGAACAAAAGGGACAGACCTGTCGTGAGAAGCAACACCATGATTTTTCATGGTTTCAACGAAAGCCAAAAAGTAGGTCGACCCATCATAGACATGTTGGAAAAAGAATATCACTCGCGAAACAAACCAACAGGAGACAGGGTGGTTAAGTCGATTGAGGTGAGTTGACCTAAACATGACCAGATGGTTGCTTCTACGAAACTCATGCATCTTCTCTCTGTATATTTCTGATCCTATGACAGTAGAACCGATTAGAGCACGATGGGCAACCTTGATCGTCATTGACAATGGACTGTTGTTCAGCCTTTGAAGAGAGAATATCCTACAATAGTATTTCGACAAAGCACGCTTGAATCTTGCAATTGGAACACCATGGAGTTCAGCACGATCAGTACCATCGAAGCCAAAATGATGATCCAAATTTGTCTCTTCTTGATCAGGTTCCCACAACTGTGAGCTTGTTAGAGATTCTGGATGATTGAGGTATGTGGTGGATGCATATGGCTGCGGTCGAATGCCTTGGAGGAACTCATTTGAGTCGAAGATCCTTTTCAGCTGGTTTCTGATTGCAACAATTTCAATCAAGTTGGAAGATTGCTTGCCTGTCCTTGACTTGCCAGTTATCAAATCACCAAACTTTCCAATGCTTCTGTAAAATGGATGATGTTGTTATGTAAGTAACTGGATGTGTGTGATAAACATAGCATGTATAGATGACTAACCGTTCTTGACTTCGTGAGGAGTAGGCTACAATTGGCCCCATTTCTCTTATCATCCACACTACATGTGTAAGCTGATGCATTACGGGACGGAAGACCGAAAGTGACAAGCACATGGCATCTCTCTGAGCTTTGCAGTAGTCAATGAAGAAGTCAATGCATTCATCAATCTCTGCCAACCTAGACTCAGTGAACTCCCATTGCAATGCAAGACAGACGCCTCTAACCAGCTTCATGATTGCTTTCCTAGCCTGTGGACTGGCTAATTCTGGGACAAAGAGAGTAGGTATGATGGTCTATTTCAAATCAGAATAATCAGATCCTAATTCACGCCTTACATGTGTACGTTTGCAGATTACAGTGGATCTGATCTTACCAGCAAATTATCAAGATAGTCAACACTGCGGGTGCCTCGTAGCTTCTCCACCAGATTCAAAAAGCTTCCATCAAATGCAACTGGTATATATGATCTTGTGTCCTCAATTGCTTTGCCAATCTCGAACAGCCGTTGCTTTGGAATGAAAAATGGATAATTTTCTCGCTCCAATTCACCATCTGGATATGTGTAGAAGAACTTTGTGTTGTTCGGAGACAGGTCGACAGTGAGCATCTCGAAGAGTTCTGAACCAACACCTCGTGCTAATGTATGCATTTCTTCGAATCCAAAGCATTGGGGTGCAATGCATGACGATAGCTGATTGAAAAGGCTGACACCGTTGAATCCAAGGTTGGACTCAGCCCTCTCGTAATCTTCATTCGTACGCATGCTTCCAGCATTTGGAAAGTACATCCCATGGCTGCGATTATCAGGGTGCATACCACGCGAAAGACACCAACGACAGCCATACTCAGATGCATGATGAGCACACTTGCTCCAGTCAAACACGGCTAGAATAAAGCAGGTAGGTAAATCAATTTCATGTTAGCCATTGTGGATGCTGATTAGTTGCTTTATCAATCAGGATATTTACCTGGAGTATCACCACCACAAATTAGAGGATGAACCTTCAAACGAATTGGCCCAGCATCATTTGTTTCGACTACCATTCCATACGTAGAAAGCCACTGGAGCTCTGCCAAGATGATGGAAATGAACGAGTCAAATGATTTGGGCTTCTTTTTTCCTGGAAAGATACAAAGCTCGTGCGTGTACTCCTCCTTGTAACGCTTGTGTGGATCGTAATTGAACACCATCAGATGAATAATTGTGAATAGCCGATCACCTCTCTTTTCAACTACAAAGCCATCATTCATGATCGCAACTGCGATATCCAGGTCATTTGTGAAATGCGTATTCTTGATGGACTTGTACGTGGCGCCGTCAAATACGTCAGCAATGATAACATCGGATGGATTCTCTTCAAGGTCTCTGTTGTCGTAGGCATGTCGGTACCGAAGCTCCTCTCTCGTTATTGGATTCGCAACTAATCGTGATACGATGTCTCCAATTGACATGACTTTCATTGTTGACAGGGCTCGATGATCTCCCCGTGCATCGTATCTTTCATGGGAACAAATATTACAAATTGTCTCCTCGTCGTCTACTTCCAATGCGTACAGCTTGCAGCCATTGATACACACATCATATTCATGGGATGTCAACGATGATTGGCGCTGAAGCATGCTTTGCACACGAGGGCCATGCATGATCTCCGGATTGCTTTCTATCAGTTCATGGGGGGAGGATCGGAAGCTGGTGAGTTATTGTATAAATGACATGTCATTGCAATGCGAATTACCTCGACTAATTTTTTCTGTATCTCTCAAAACAGTGTTCATCAACCTGACCAACTTTCTGTATGCATCCCGTGGTATAGCAAAATCATTGACGATATCATACAGCTCAATCGAAACCAGTTCTGTGGTTGTATATGTATTTTGGTTGATGTCTTCGAGGGATCTGCAATCGTAGAAGCAAGCCTGATCTTCTGCATCTGGGTCGACTACTCCAACTGTCTTGTATTTGACATTTAGCAAATCAAATTCAAGCCCTGGTTCTTCTGGATTGTCTCCTGTTATCGCATGTGTGGAATCCGCTATTGTGAGTATATACATCTACTTTAGCGCTGCAATTCCTTACCATTATTATCGACAATAGGCAGCAGATCAGCAGCACCCGGCGTCTGTTCAAAGCCTGCGTAGTCATAATCAGCATCGTCAGCAGCAGGAATCATTTCTTCAATATCACTCATGGCATCATCATCATGCAGCTGGTTTGCATGATCTGAATTGGCTGTGACTAGCGCACTGGGGGGAGATTGTGGCTGTATCAGCGTTGTTTCCACTGGAGGTTGCTCTTCCATTTCAACATCTTGATCTTCATTCAAAATGGGAGCACGACAGTTTCGGCGATGGTTGCGTAGAGCACGGGCACTGTCAAAGCTGGTATAGCAATTTGTACAGAAGGATGGCTCTGTTTCTCGTGATATACGGATTGAGAATGACATGTTTGGAGAAACCAAGAAAAATAGGCAAGTAAAAACAAATTTCAAGTGGCAGCTTTATATACTAATTCAAGTTTTATTTGCGCTCGCCAACAAATGCGTTTATCATCGTTTACAAGCAAGTGATACGTAGTCTTGCATATAACGTTTGGTAACTCAAAGTCCAAGATCAAGTAAGGAACGTGTTTCCTATGATGTGATATGTCGCCTCAGGCTACTTCTACGTCATTTCACTTTCAACATCATGTCAAATCGAGTGGTATTCACTGTGCACATATGCTTATACTATGGGCGTACAATGAGGTCAGCATTACTTGCATGAAGCCTGTGAACCGAATGACGTTCAACAACGTGGTGGTGTGTGCGCAACGAGATATACGGTACAACACAACTCTGAACATATCTTTTCTTTGCTTACTAAACTTTTATTATCAGCGCGAACCATGAACAATAACAACAACAACAACAACAACAACAACAACAACAACAACGCTGCCAGTATTGACTTCACCGCAAGACTCTTGCAAGAAATGATGGCAATGAGATCCGAAATCAGCCAACAAGGCGTACAACTGAACGTCTTGAATGATGGATTTCGACAGCAATTCATGTCGCCATTGGAAGACGCAGGCAGCGATTTGGCAACAAGAAGCATCCTGGATCCCACTTACAGAAGCCAGGTACTATCAAACAGCAACAGAAGAGGTCCTCGGGTAATTGAAGCAAACCCTACCGGCAGGGCCAGAGCTTCTCCTGTGGAGAGATACAACGCAATGCTCCAGCATCTACACAAACTATGCAATGGGGCATCTGTACCCGATTTGACACCAGGGCAGCTCAAATCGCGCAGGGAGAAGCTCCACCGCACAGCAAAGAGGGTCTTGGAGGCTATACTGGTGATGCATCCGAATATCTCGCATTGGAATGCCCTGGACCATGTGCAGGATGAACAGGTATATTACAGCCTGGCACTGGAGGAGCAGGCCCTGCAACGGGACAATCTCATGATTTGTCTCTGCAAGAAGCAGTGGTGTGCCAGGTTGTTGCTCTCCCAGGCCTTCAAAGCAAATAGAGCAAGCAGAAACCGAGCTGCTGCTGCTGATGCTGCTGCTGATGCTGCTGCCAATGTTGCCAATGCTGCCAATGCTGCTGCCAATGTGTCTTTGCAAGAAAACGAGGCAAGAAGCCATCTTCTGGTAAGTAGCTCCTATTATTTGTTTTGGCCATGGCTAACATCTAAGTATTGGAAACATTTCAAATGCTTTTAGGAGACTGAATCAGCAATTGTTGGAGACAGTGATATTGCCCAGCTTGCTCAAACTGCCGGTGTTGGTAATGCTGAGGATGATGACAACCTTAGTACTACTAGCAATATGTAATGGTGTGTGCGTTTGTGAGATCTTGTATATTTCATCCAAAATAAAATTACTTTGCTTTTGTACATTTGATGCTGCCTTGCTCTATTGGGATTTGAGATGATGGATTAGCTGCGATGCCACATTTAAAATCACATTTGATAGGTCACTTCAGCTTAAAAAGTTACTTGATTTGGTTACATCAGTCTGATACTGTGCATGATTAGAGCGTGTTTCTATATTTTTAGATCGAAACTTTGTATATTTAGGTCATCCCTTGAGAAAAAAGTGCTTTTGTTTCTCTTTTTTCTTCATTTTTCATCTATTTTCACTTTAATTCTATCAGCATAAGAGACATGTGCTCTGTAGCAGCAAGAAGAAGAGGCAGCATTTACCGTCCATGGCTTTAAAGGTGGAGGCTAGGTTTCAATGCCATTGAAGAAGGAATACCATTTCAAATGTGCGCCGTGGGAAGCTTCATATCCCTGCCATAGTATCCAGGATGGAATCTTCATTTACATCCTTTCGAAACAACAAATTTATGGTATGTCCAATGCTTCTTGCCATATAAAAGCTAACAAATATCTTGTAGAAATGTAAAGGCGACTTTGCCAGGTCAATTTCGATGTCGCAAGTATGCCATTTGGTTAACCGTTTCCCTCCATCCTGCTGGTTCCATTTATCTGCTTTCTTGCTATCACTGTTCAAGTAGTAAGTCATCTTTTGCTGCATCATCAGGAAAAATCAGTCGTTACTCACCTGATAAGTTAACTAGTGCCAGCGTCGAGTGGGTCTGGCGGGTTTGGCTTGATAACTGAGCACATCTCTTGCATACTTTATGGATCCCCTTTTGCATCCAGTGAACAATGGCAGATGCTTCATAGTTGAATGATGCGGTCTATACATCTGATACTTCTGACGGCATAAGACGCATTAACATTCGTTCGATGTTTTCTTTTCAAGAATGTCTGCTCCCAATGAGTCGCTGCCTGGTGGTGTGCTGTACTTTCTATCTGTCTTGTGAAAGAGGTATTGTAGTCATCACGCCTTTGCTGGAACGCTTTACTAACTTGATTCAGTTCACATCTTTGCTGATAGGTACATGCACATCTTTGATATTATGCTGGCTTTTGTACAATTCGTTGCTCTACATGGAACACTGTTGATGGCTTCAACCTTTTCATTCTATGCTCTCTCTGGATCTCGCCTGGAAACATCACTTTTATATTGCCCTAAAAACTGATAATATTGGGAAACACGAAACAGTTCATACTGATCCAGGCTATTATTCTCAATTATCTTTGACTCTACTATAGCCTACAGCATGACCATTACCACTACAAGGCTTTACTATTGCACGTTTTTGGCACGTAGCCTTCGTTTACCCATTAAAATTAACCAATAATAAATGTATAAATATTTAAACCACAATTTCTGAGCCAATGAAAGCTGCCAATATTTAAACCACGAATTATGGGCCAATAAAAGCTACCAATATTTAAGCTGATTCAGACCTTCAATGATCCCATTTCAGCTCATCGATAGGTTCATGCGCGATCATGAATGTTCTCATTTGAGAACATGGATTTGCTCATTTAAGAACATCGATATTTTGATTTGAGAACATCGATGCGCTCATAAACAGCTACATTTGCTCTTATTTAAGAACATGGATGTGCTCATATGGGAACATCTCGGATGTTCTTATGAGAACATCGGCCGACTTATAATAGATCTTTAGGAACGCCGATGTTCCCATATGAGAGCATTTTCCACTTTTTGGGAACATCGATGCTCTCGAATGAGAACATAAAATAGATTCTTATATGAGCACCTCGATGTTCTCATGAGAACATCAGTTGGGCCGTAGTGCTTCCACACGAGCAAGTAACAAAGGCATAGACTCGGCAGTTCCAATTAGCACCACATCATCAGCATACATCAAACTATTGATCCAAAGACCGTTATACAAACGAGGAGGACGCTCCACCACCCGAGGGCTAAATGGAGCACGCAACACCGCAGGCAGAGAGTTGATGTACACGGAGTAAAGAAAAGGACTCAAAATGGAGCCCTGCAACACACCAGTACCAGGCCAAAAACCATCAGAAACAGCACCAGACACCAAGACCTGAACAGACACTTCATCAAACAAATGCTGAAGGAGACCAAGCATCGCATCTGATACATACGTTTCGAGAGCACGCCAAATGACAGCTCTGTCAACCGTATCGTATACAGATTTGATATCCAGAAAAGCCAAAACAGGAGGAGAACCATAATCAAGAGTATGGTGAAGACAGAGTTCATGTAGACAGAGCGCCTGATCAGGAGCACCACGACGCTCACGAAAACCACCTTGCACCACATCCAACGCAGGAGCAGAAGACACCAAAGGATCATAGAGGCATCGTTCCAACAACTTTCGAAACACAGAAGTCAAAGAGATGGGTCTATGATTACCAGGATCAAGAGGATCACCCTTCTTGTAAATTGGCACCACCTGTGCTAATCGCCAAGAAGCAGGAGTACGAGACCAACGCCAGCACAGCTGAAACAACAGGTAAAGTACAGGCACCAGAGATTCACGGATGGGAAGGAGCATTTCCGCACGGATATGGTTCCCACCAGGAGCACGCCGCCTGGCCAAACGCTTTCTTAAGTAGTAGTCAACATCATCGGCATCAAACGGACATTCATCCACAGAATGAGGCACAAGAGGAGTAGGAGGAGCATTAGGCCGGTTTGGAAGCAGGGAATCACCAGCATAGATACCACGAAGGTGTTGGGCCATATTAGAAGCAGCAGCAACAGGACCTTCAGGGTGGGAGAAAGGAGCACTGAGACTACGACCACGGATAATCCGCTTGAGCGTACCAGTAGTATCACCTAAAGGCTGTGTAGCCATCTTGGTACAAAACTGTTTCCAGCTTTGACGACGCCGACGACGAATAGCCTTTTGGAATGCCTTCTTAGCAGCAAGATATTCACCCCAGCGTTTACATTGTTCGAAGGGGTTAGGAGAACGAAGCCAGCGGGTATGGAGATGCTCACGAAGGTCAAAGGCAGCTTGCAAATCAGAGGTCCAAAACCAGGCATTACCAGGAGGCTTTGGTAAGCGACGACCCACAGACTCTGTCAAGGACGAATGAATACAATCAGTGAGAGTATTACCTAATGCATCAAAGTCAGGACAGGCAGTAGAGGGCAACAGAGACACCAGGTCATCGTGAAAGGGAGCAATACGATTTGCAAACAGAGGAGCATAGGAGCAACTTGGGTCCTCCAACTTTGATAGATTCCACATCCACCGCGGGTGATCCACACGAACAGGAGGGGGAGAATCAAAGGCAAAGGACAGCGACACAGGATGATGATCAGAGTTGATACTCATATTAGAGTGTACGATCAAGGAAGGATGCAAGAGGCCATGGGTACCAATGAACAAGTCAATGATACTACCAGCAGCGTAGGAGATGTATGACATTGGATCATTCACAGGTTCACCATCATCCGTACAGTCACTATCATCACTAGAATCAGAGAGCAGATCAGAATTATCAGCCGTAACACCAGACACAGCACCACCATCGAGGGAGACACCAATACCAGGACCACGACCAGAGACACCAGAAGCACCAAGAACACCACTACCACCAGAGTCATCAAAAGAGCCACCACCAGAGACAACACCAGAGACGACACCAGAACCACCAGCAGCACCATCAGGGACACCAACAGGAGCACCAACAACACCAGAAGCACTAGCACTTGACGACACATTCGCATCATCGTGATGGACAATACGACGACGACGTTGTTTGACAAGTGTAGGCTCACCAAAAGCAAAAGAAGCATTCCAACAATAGAGACCAGTATCAAGCAGCCACTCATATAGAAGAGTACCTCTAGTAGTAGTCTTAGTATCACCCAATAAACGAGCATGGCGAGCATTGAGATCACCACATATGATTGTGTTTGTTTGGGAGGGACTAGGATGGAGAGGCAGATCACGGAGTACAGCTAGTGCATCAGAGTCAGAAAAAGAAGCAGTAGGAGGCAAATAGACACAGTGAATCAAAGTGGATGCAACCTGACAGGATAATACATAAGGAGAGACAGAAGGAATATGCGTAACAGGGTAAGGAAAATCAGGATTGACCAGCAACGAGATTCCCATTTGACCACAACGCATGTTGGGGACAGGCAAACCATAGGTATGGAATTGCTGCCACGAAGTAGGGAGATGGAGAGGAGGAAGAAGCCATGTTTCGGTTATAAAGATGAGAGAGGACAAAGGAAGGGATTGGGTAACAGTATTAATTGTCATGCGATCAAGACAATTAGCATTCCAGATGGTTATAGTGATATCGCGAGAGTCACTCATTACTGAGGTGCCTCTGGTTTATCACCACCAGGAAGGGAAGCAGAAACAGTTGAACCAGTATCATTAGCAGCATCAGTCATGGTAACATTCTCATTATCCGTCTCAAAGACACCACCAGCACCAGAGTCACCACCAGCACCAGAGTCACCACCAGAACCAGAGCCATCAGAACCAGAGCCAGAATCACCAGAAACAGAATCACCAGACACCACACCATTAATCGTAAAAGAACCATTAGACTTGAACTCACGCAATTGATCATTAGAGATCCATTTCTTGTGGAAAAAGTCAGTAGCAACAGCAATCGAAATAGGACGACGACCAGCATGCTGGTACAAGTATTGAAGACCACGCAGAATACGACCCTGATGAACCTGGATAGCCTTCTCCACACGCTCAGCTTCAGTAAGGGAAACAAGACGAGGATCCTCCAGAATTGTTGGATCACGAGGATCAAAAGCATCAATGGGGAGGACCTTAGCTTTGGCAAGAGTATCAAGTAGCTCCTTGGCATATTCATGATGGACCAAAAGGGCAACAGCCTTGGGAGCAGGGTAGTGGATATCCAAAACACGCCAGTTTTGGACTTTCAACGTATGCAATTGTTCACGAACAGCCTTGTAAGACTTACGATGACGACTACGAAAGTAGATGTATCGATAGCCTTGCTCATATTGCTCAGGATAGTCAGAAAAGAAGCGGGCGGCAGCCTCAACCTTTTGAGGGGAAGGCTTTGACTTGGATTTTTGCTTGCTATTCTTACCTTTTTTAGCAGCTGCCAAAAAGTTATAGGTAGGAGTAGGAGTAGTGGAGGCAACACGAGTGGAAGAAGCAGCTGCTGTAGCAGGAAGAGAAGCATACTTGGAAACAGAAGAGTTACCAGCAAAGAATGAACCAGAAGAGACACCAAATGCAGCACCAGAGACACCAGAGACACCAGAGTTACCAGAGACACCAGGGACACCAGAGACACCAGGGACACCAGAGACACCAGAGACACCAGAAGCACCAGAGTTACCAGAGGCAGCAGCACCAGCAGCACCATCAGATACACCAGAGTCATTAGAGTCACCAGAATCACCAGAAATACCAGAGGCAGAGACACCAGACACATCAGACATAACGGCATCTACAGAGACGTTGTTAAGTCGCTTCACCTCCTCCTGAAGTGTTGCGATCAACTGATGTGCGTCAGACAGAGCAAATTTCAGCTGAGCATTCTCAGCCGTAAGACGTTCAACTTCATTCAACCGATTTTCATAAGCAGCAAATCGAGTATTCATAGCTCGCAATTGAACCTGAAAATCGATTGCCCAGTCAGCAAGAGAAGTAGTTGAAGAAGCAACGGTAGAAGTATCAGAAGGAAGATCAATAATAGTAGTAGTAGCAGTGTTAGAAGAGACAGCAGTAGTATTGATCAACGGATCAGTAGTGGTATTAGTAGCAGGAATAGCAGCATTTGGTTGTGGCAAAGCTTTTTCGGCATTAATGGGAACCTTAGAACCCTTGGGAATCGGAATTCGAGTGATACGAGAAGCAGGGATCACCTCAGGGGGAGCATTGACATTGGCATTGACAACCGTGGGAGAAGAGATCACGCCCTTTTTAGTCAAAATCCGTTTTTGGGGCATTTCACCGAAAGAGGAAGTTGGGGAAGGCACAAATGGACGTTTCGATTGCGAAACCGTGGGGGTAGGACCAGGAGTAACAGAAGTGAGGTTAGAACTAGTAACGTTAGGCAAAGCAGTGGCACTTGGACACGAAGTAGTGGAACCAGAGGACAAAGTAGTGTTACTGTGCACAGAATTAATGAAAATTAATTGCTTAGCAGGTGTAACTGTAGTACGGGAAGCAATAGAAGGTTCAGAAGCCTTGGCACTGACACGAGATTTCTGTTTTGGGGGAATCTTGATGAGTAATTAAAGAGTTGATGGGAAAAACTGATTTTGCGAAAAAGTATAAAAAGGAACGATTAATATCGCGCGCTGTTCGACTAACGTCTCTCTTCGGTAGTATAGTGGTGAGTATCCCCGCCTGTCACGCGGGAGACCGGGGTTCAATTCCCCGCCGGAGAGTTTTTTTGAGAAATTCTCACAGATCTAGTGTATGTAGCTCAAAACTTTTGTCAGGTACACCCAGACTTTGTTTGTAACCTTTTAACTAGTATAAATATCAAGGATTATTTACCAACTCTCAGTAGTGTGTGCGATTTGTGGTTCCCTGCTATTCTGAGACCCAGATTTACATAACACATTTTAAGCGATTTTTACAAAATCCACAGGAAAAAAAAAGATATTTATTAATGAAAATGCAACTATTGATGGTAAAAGAGGCTCAACTAAAAGTGTTGTAATTTTCTTCTTTTTGTTTCTTCGCAAGGAAAAAAAGCGCCTTTTTGGAGCTCTGTGCCCAAGCTATCCAAAGACCAGTGGCGAGTGTTGAACACCTTTTGTAAGGCGCTTACAGTAGAAGCGGGGGAGAGACCAAGATCCAGCTGAAGGTCTTCAACGGAATCAATGATTTTTTTACGGATATTGAACCATTTTCTGTCGTCTTTTCTCCATTTAGCGCCCCACTTGTCTTCTAATTCTTGAACAGACCAGAATCCATCTCGACTTATTGTCCACTTGTCCCAAAGATCACACACAGTTGTCACTTGTCGACTCATTTTGTATAACGGTACACCTTCTTGATTGTATGGAAGTGAAATCACTACGGCCCAACTGATGTTCTCACAGAACATCGATGCGCTCTTTTGGGAACATCGATGTTCTCGTGAGCACCTCGATGTTCCCATATCAGAACATTTGGCTTTACACTGTAAAGATAGTTATCAGATATGCGCTTTTAAATGGTATGGTCAGACTTTTTGAGTTCTTTTGTTTATTTTTCGTACCGAACGCCAATTCGTAGCATCATTATCTACGAAGTTAGAAGCCTCCAAACTTGCTCAATTTGAAACAAATCAGGAGAAAAAATCACGTGACCCGAGTTTCTGGTTACTTTGAGTCGCTATGTCAAAGTGGTAATATTCCTGACTAACAAACTGAAGGTCGCCAGTTCGAATCCGAGCAAACTCGTTTTTTCTTCGTTGGACGTTAACCTTGCTGGGTTAATTATGCTTTTCTCAAAATGCTTTGATGGCCAGTGATGCGGATCCTTTTCTTTTATTATAATTATTTTGCGCATGCCTTCATGGACAACAAAGCTGTAAGAGGTATACAAGTGTGATTAATGAATGTAGCTATGTATTGTATTGATAAATGTATTATCTTTTATTTCGTAGTAGCCTTAAGTGGATAGTTTTACGCGAAAGCAAAAAATCTGTATGTTGCGATTTCAATCCTCGTTAAAGGTTGCGAATATCGCCAGCATCGATCGACATATCTTGTTCAAACGCATGGTAGTTTGCAATGACGCTAAAGTGCAAGTCGTTATCCAAAGATTTCACCAATCCCACTTGCATCTCAACATCGTCAATAGAAATGACAGCATACTTGGGATCAATCACTCTCGGCACCCTTCTTGCAATTTGTTGTTCGACAGGCTCATTCATACGAACAAAAGGGACAGACCTGTCGTGAGAAGCAACACCATGATTTTTCATGGTTTCAACGAAAGCCAAAAAGTAGGTCGACCCATCATAGACATGTTGGAAAAAGAATATCACTCGCGAAACAAACCAACAGGAGACAGGGTGGTTAAGTCGATTGAGGTGAGTTGACCTAAACATGACCAGATGGTTGCTTCTACGAAACTCATGCATCTTCTCTCTGTATATTTCTGATCCTATGACAGTAGAACCGATTAGAGCACGATGGGCAACCTTGATCGTCATTGACAATGGACTGTTCAGCCTTTGAAGAGAGAATATCCTGCAATAGTATTTCGACAAAGCACGCTTGAATCTTGCAATTGGAACACCATGGAGTTCAGCACGATCAGTACCATCGAAGCCAAAATGATGATCCAAATTTGTCTCTTCTTGATCAGGTTCCCACAACTGTGAGCTTGTTAGAGATTCTGGATGATTGAGGTATGTGGTGGATGCATATGGCTGCGGTCGAATGCCTTGGAGGAACTCATTTGAGTCGAAGATCCTTTTCAGCTGGTTTCTGATTGCAACAATTTCAATCAAGTTGGAAGATTGCTTGCCTGTCCTTGACTTGCCAGTTATCAAATCACCAAACTTTCCAATGCTTCTGTAAAATGGATGATGTTGTTATGTAAGTAGCTGGATGTGTGTGATAAACATAGCATGTATAGATGACTAACCGTTCTTGACTTCGTGAGGAGTAGGCTACAATTGGCCCCATTTCTCTTATCATCCACACTACGTGTGTAAGCTGATGCATTACGGGACGGAAGACCGAAAGTGACAAGCACATGGCATCTCTCTGAGCTTTGCAGTAGTCAATGAAGAAGTCAATGCATTCATCAATCTCTGCCAACCTAGCCTCAGTGAACTCCCATTGCAATGCAAGACAGACGCCTCTAACCAGCTTCATGATTGCTTTCCTAGCCTGTGGACTGGCTAATTCTGGGACAAAGAGAGTAGGTATGATGGTCTATTTCAAATCAGAATAATCAGATCCTAATTCACGCCTTACATGTGTACGTTTGCAGATTACAGTGGATCTGATCTTACCAGCAAATTATCAAGATAGTCAACACTGCGGGTGCCTCGTAGCTTCTCCACCAGATTCAAAAAGCTTCCATCAAATGCAACTGGTATATGTGATCTTGTGTCCTCAATTGCTTTGCCAATCTCAAACAGCCGTTGCTTTGGAATGAAAAATGGATAATTTTCTCGCTCCAATTCACCATCTGGATATGTGTAGAAGAACTTTGTGTTGTTCGGAGACAGGTCGACAGTGAGCATCTCGAAGAGTTCTGAACCAACACCTCGTGCTAATGTATGCATTTCTTCGAATCCAAAGCATTGGGGTGCAATGCATGACGATAGCTGATTGAAAAGGCTGACACCGTTGAATCCAAGGTTGGACTCAGCCCTCTCGTAATCTTCATTCGTACGCATGCTTCCAGCATTTGGAAAGTACATCCCATGGCTGCGATTATCAGGGTGCATACCACGCGAAAGACACCAACGACAGCCATACTCAGATGCATGATGAGCACACTTGCTCCAGTCAAACACGGCTAGAATAAAGCAGGTAGGTAAATCAATTTCATGTTAGCCATTGTGGATGCTGATTAATTGCTTTATCAATTAGGATATTTACCTGGAGTATCACCACCACAAATTAGAGGATGAACCTTCAAACGAATTGGCCCAGCATCATTTGTTTCGACTACCATTCCATACGTAGAAAGCCACTGGAGCTCTGCCAAGATGATGGAAATGAACGAGTCAAATGATTTGGGCTTCTTTTTTCCTGGAAAGATACAAAGCTCGTGCGTGTACTCCTCCTTGTAACGCTTGTGTGGATCGTAATTGAACACCATCAGATGAATAATTGTGAATAGCCGATCACCTCTCTTTTCAACTACAAAGCCATCATTCATGATCGCAACTGCGATATCCAGGTCATTTGTGAAATGCGTATTCTTGATGGACTTGTACGTGGCGCCGTCAAATACGTCAGCAATGATAACATCGGATGGATTCTCTTCAAGGTCTCTGTTGTCGTAGGCATGTCGGTACCGAAGCTCCTCTCTCGTTATTGGATTCGCAACTAATCGTGATACGATGTCTCCAATTGACATGACTTTCATTGTTGACAGGGCTCGATGATCTCCCCGTGCATCGTATCTTTCATGGGAACAAATATTACAAATTGTCTCCTCGTCGTCTACTTCCAATGCGTACAGCTTGCAGCCATTGATACACACATCATATTCATGGGATGTCAACGATGATTGGCGCTGAAGCATGCTTTGCACACGAGGGCCATGCATGATCTCCGGATTGCTTTCTATCAGTTCATGGGAGGGGGAGGATCGGAAGCTGGTGAGTTATTGTATAAATGACATGTCATTGCAATGCGAATTACCTCGACTAATTTTTTCTGTATCTCTCAAAACAGTGTTCATCAACCTGACCAACTTTCTGTATGCATCCCGTGGTATAGCAAAATCATTGACGATATCATACAGCTCAATCGAAACCAGTTCTGTGGTTGTATATGTATTTTGGTTGATGTCTTCGAGGGATCTGCAATCGTAGAAGCAAGCCTGATCTTCTGCATCTGGGTCGACTACTCCAACTGTCTTGTATTTGACATTTAGCAAATCAAATTCAAGCCCTGCTTCTTCTGGATTGTCTCCTGTTATCGCATGTGTGGAATCCGCTATTGTGAGTATATACATCTACTTTAGCGCTGCAATTCCTTACCATTATTATCGACAATAGGCAGCAGATCAGCAGCACCCGGCGTCTGTTCAAAGTCTGCGTAGTCGTAATCAGCATCGTCAGCAGCAGGAATCATTTCTTCAATATCACTCATGGCATCATCATCATGCAGCTGGTTTGCATGATCTGAATTGGCTGTGACTAGCGCACTGGGGGGAGATTGTGGCTGTATCAGCGTTGTTTCCACTGGAGGTTGCTCTTCCATTTCAACATCTTGATCTTCATTCAAAATGGGAGCACGACAGTTTCGGCGATGGTTGCGTAGAGCACGGGCACTGTCAAAGCTGGTATAGCAATTTGTACAGAAGGATGGCTCTGTTTCTCGTGATATACGGATTGAGAATGACATGTTTGGAGAAACCAAGAAAAATAGGCAAGTAAAAACAAATTTCAAGTGGCAGCTTTATATACTAATTCAAGTTTTATTTGCGCTCGCCAACAAATGCGTTTATCATCGTTTACAAGCAAGTGATACGTAGTCTTGCATATAACGTTTGGTAACTCAAAGTCCAAGATCAAGTAAGGAACGTGTTTCCTATGATGTGATATGTCGCCTCAGGCTACCTCTACGTCATTTCACTTTCAACATCATGTCAAATCGAGTGGTATTCACTGTGCACATATGCTTATACTATGGGCGTACAATGAGGTCAGCATTACTTGCATGAAGCCTGTGAACCGAATGACGTTCAACAACGTGGTGGTGTGTGCGCAACGAGATATACGGTAAAACACAACTCTGAACATATCTTTTCTTTGCTTACTAAATTTTTATTATCAGCGCGAACCATGAACAACAACAACAACAACAACAACAACGCTGCCAGCATTGACTTCACCGCAAGACTCTTGCAAGAAATGATGGCAATGAGATCCGAAATCAGCCAACAAGGCGTACAACTGAACGTCTTGAATGATGGATTTCGACAGCAATTCATGTCGCCATTGGAAGACGCAGGCAGCGATTTGGCAACAAGAAGCATCCTGGATCCCACTTACAGAAGCCAGGTACTATCAAACAGCAACAGAAGAGGTCCTCGGGTAATTGAAGCAAACCCTACCGGCAGGGCCAGAGCTTCTCCTGTGGAGAGATACAACGCAATGCTCCAGCATCTACACAAACTATGCAATGGGGCATCTGTACCCGATTTGACACCAGGGCAGCTCAAATCGCGCAGGGAGAAGCTCCACCGCACAGCAAAGAGGGTCTTGGAGGCTATACTGGTGATGCATCCGAATATCTCGCATTGGAATGCCCTGGACCATGTGCAGGATGAACAGGTATATTACAGCCTGGCACTGGAGGAGCAGGCCCTGCAACGGGACAATCTCATGATTTGTCTCTGCAAGAAGCAGTGGTGTGCCAGGTTGTTGCTCTCCCAGGCCTTCAAAGCAAATAGAGCAAGCAGAAACCGAGCTGCTGCTGCTGCTGCTGCTGCTGATGCTGCTGCCAATGTTGCCAATGCTGCCAATGCTGCTGCCAATGTGTCTTTGCAAGAAAATGAGGCAAGAAGCCATCTTCTGGTAAGTAGCTCCTATTATTTGTTTTGGCCATGGCTAACATCTAAGTATTGGAAACATTTCAAATGCTTTTAGGAGACTGAATCAGCAATTGTTGGAGACAGTGATATTGCCCAGCTTGCTCAAACTGCCGGTGTTGGTAATGCTGAGGATGATGACAACCTTAGTACTACTAGCAATATGTAATGGTGTGTGCGTTTGTGAGATCTTGTATATTTCATCCAAAATAAAATTACTTTGCTTTTGTACATTTGATGCTGCCTTGCTCTATTGGGATTTGAGATGATGGATTAGCTGCGATGCCACATTTAAAATCACATTTGATAGGTCACTTCAGCTTAAAAAGTTACTTGATTTGGTTACATCAGTCTGATACTGTCCATGATTAGAGCGTGTTTCTATATTTTTAGATCGAAACTTTGTATATTTAGGTCATCCCTTGAGAAAAAAGTGCCTTTGTTTCTCTTTTTTCTTCATTTTTCATCTATTTTCACTTTAATTCTATCAGCATAAGAGACATGTACTCTGTAGCAGCAAGAAGAAGAGGCAGCATTTACCGTCCATGGCTTTAAAGGTGGAGGCTAGGTTTCAATGCCATTGAAGAAGGAATACCATTTCAAATGTGCGCCGTGGGAAGCTTCATATCCCTGCCTTAGTATCCAGGATGGAATCTTCATTTACACCCTTTCGAGACAACAAATTTATGGTATGTCCAATGCTTCTTGCCATATAAAAGCTAACAAATATCTTGTAGAAATGTAAAGGCGACTTTGCCAGGTCAATTTCGATGTCGCAAGTATGCCATTTGGTTAACCGTTTCCCTCCATCCTGCTGGTTCCATTTATCTGCTTTCTTGCTATCACTGTTCAAGTAGTAAGTCATCTTTTGCTGCATCATCAGGAAAAATCAGTCGTTACTCACCTGATAAGTTAACTAGTGCCAGCGTCGAGTGGGTCTGGCGGGTTTGGCTTGATAACTGAGCACATCTCTTGCATACTTTATGGATCCCCTTTTGCATCCAGTGAACAATGGCAGATGCTTCATAGTTGAATGATGCGGTCTATACATCTGATTCTTCTGACAGCATAAGACGCATTAACATTCGTTCGATGTTTTCTTTTCAAGAATGTCTGCTCCCAATGAGTCGCTGCCTGGTGGTGTGCTGTACTTTCTATCTGTCTTGTGAAAGAGGTATTGTAGTCATTACGCCTTTGCTGGAACGCTTTACTAACTTGATTCAGTTCACATCTTTGCTGATAGGTACATGCACATCTTTGATATTATGCTGGCTTTTGTACAATTCGTTGCTCTACATGGAACACTGTTGATGGCTTCAACCTTTTCATTCTATGCTCTCTCTGGATCTCGCCTGGAAACATCACTTTTATATTGCCCTAAAAACTGATAATATTGGGAAACACGAAACAGTTCATACTGATCCAGGCTATTATTCTCAATTATCTTTGACTCTACTATAGCTTACAGCATGACCATTACCACTACAAGGCTTTACTATTGCACGTTTTTGGCACGTAGCCTTCGTTTACCCATTAAAATTAACCAATAATAAATGTATAAATATTTAAACCACAATTTCTGAGCCAATGAAAGCTGCCAATATTTAAACCACGAATTATGGGCCAATAAAAGCTACCAATATTTAAGCTGATTCAGACCTTCAATGATCCCATTTCAGCTCATCGATAGGTTCATGCGCGATCATGAATGTTCTCATTTGAGAACATGGATTTGCTCATTTAAGAACATCGATATTTTGATTTGAGAACATCGATGCGCTCATAAACAGCTACATTTGCTCTTATTTAAGAACATGGATGTGCTCATATGGGAACATCTCGGATGTTCTTATGAGAACATCGGCCGACTTATAATAGATCTTTAGGAACGCCGATGTTCCCATATGAGAGCATTTTCCACTTTTTGGGAACATCGATGCTCTCGAATGAGAACATAAAATAGATTCTTATATGAGCACCTCGATGTTCTCATGAGAACATCAGTTGGGCCGTAGTGAATAGTTGCAACTCTGGTGTTGTTATAATCTGGTGGTGGTGGGCTTTGTTGGGCTTCTTCCGAAAATTGTTTTGATTGCGATACATCTTCTGATCTTGGCAAGGCAGAGGTATTTGCGACAGCGCCTGTTGTCGCTAATGCTTGGTTCCCTTGGTTTATCCTAAAAGACAGTTGCAGTTGCTGCTTTCCGGTGACTATATTGTCAAACACTTTTTGCATTTGCTGCTGGATTTCATCCGACTTCTTTTGACGTTCATTCAATTCTCGCATTGTATTTGCTATACTTCGGTTGATACAGGAAAGCTGCTCTTGTACTTCAGGAGCAAATCTTTCAATAATTAATGAATGGGGCACTTCATTTTCTTTAACGTGAGCTTTTGCTTTTCTATAAACAAAGCAAAAACATCAGACACACAGTTTTCATATTGAAAAAAAAAAGCTTTATATTTTTGAAATTCTAGAAAGAGTGGGTTTCTGAAAATTTCGTGCCTCCAAATAGGATGTTCAGGTATTACGTCCATCATCGCAACTGCGTCTTGTAAGAAAGTCGTCTTGAAGCATTTAATCAAAAGCAGAAACCTGTCGGCTGAACCAGAAGTTTCATGAACTGTCCCGCTTGAATGTCGATCATACTAATGTCTAATCATGCTAAAAGACAACTCCAGCAAGCTAATCATGATTTAGCTTTGTCTGGATGAATAATTAGACTCTCATCCGAAGTATTCTGATCTATTCTTTCTATAAGGATAAATAATATCGATCTAGTAGCATGTATCCGATAGGTACAATCTCCTTAGTCTATATCAACAGTACATATCTGAGTGTATATCGCTGAGCATACATCTTTAGCATGTATCTGGATATATGTCATGTCTGTAGCATGTCTCATATATAGCACGAGTCTGTAGTACATAAAGTATCTGTAGCTAGTATCACGGATATAGGCATGTGTCTTATAGCGTGGATCATAAAGTGCACATCTGAAGCAACAAGCTCATATTGCATTAATCTTGGTGCCTATCCAGATATGGCAAACATCCGTAGTCAATGTCGGAATACAAGTATAAGTCTATAGCGCCATCCATGTCTGTGATGCCATCTATAGCCTATATCTTATATAGTATGGATCTTATAGTATTAACGTAGTATCTGAAGATCATATCTTCTTATAGTATAAATCTGTATTGTATATCTAATCCAGTGCACATATAGTTTATATCTAAATCTGATAACTGGATAAATTGTCGAAATAATGCAGATCATAGTGGATGTATTCCGCAAGCGTAATTGACTTACTCTTCTGGCAATGCAACCGACTACCCCCTTCGTTTTAGGTCGAATTCTGTTCAAATCCAGCCATATTCAAGAACGAATAACTCATGCCACAAAGCGTTTTGAGCGCTTGGAATAGCATCACATGCCGCCTCTTGACCACGCTTTACTTCCTGATGCTTTATCTCAATTTTTTTTGAGTCGTTGCAAATTCATGAAAATCATCATATTTCCATGAGTATTAGCAAGGGAAAACTCTTGAAAATCAAACAATCGTGTTTTTCACCTAAAAAACGAAGACTTTTCTTATGATACATATCAAATCAAATTGATCGTAAAGATGGAATGCAACAGCGGAAACCCCTTCTATGAGGCTTGTATATGCTAAATTTTGACATATTCACAGAAAACCTGTTTTCATATTTTTGAAAATTGCTCATTATTTTCAGTCTAAAAACTAAATGTAACCAGCATCATTCGATGCGCCTTTAATGACTCTTTATAAACGCAATAGAAAGTAAAGTATAACAATGACAGTTTTCATAGTCAAATCTAGCAAAAACGTTTAAAGGATGTCAGATCAAGTCAAATTTGAGCACAAAAATGACAGCTGCACAAATCCAAATTTGATTGCCGCAGCGACAGCTGCTGTGGCAGAAGACTGAGGCCAAATTTACTAGCCGTGACGTTGGATAGGGCGCCCTCTCATTTTTCCATATCACCGTTTTTTTTTTCCTTTTGCAAAACGCGTTTAGTATCGAACCATGTTGGTTTGGAAACCGTTCGAATGATAATAACACTCCAACTTCTGATCACACTGCCTTGTATTGCTAAAAGAACTTGACACTGCTTCTTTGAAGAGGGATATAGTAGGTACCATTCGATAAACGAGCACTGGAAGACGTAGAATCAGTACTAACTGAATTTGTTTGTTAGGTTTTGATAATTTTTTTGCCTGTTTGACGTGGGTGCTGCTGCCATTCCTTTTCTGCTGTCTACTTTTTGGTCTTTGTCTGGTCTCTGCTAGTGTTGCTTGTTGTTTGGTCTTTGTCTGGTCTCTGGTGTCGTTTGTTCTCTGATTTTTCCATGGTGCTGGTGTTGCTGCTGCTGTTGCTAATATGGTCTTCTCTGGTGTACTGTGTCTGGTGCATGCTTTTTCTCTGGTTTATATCTGGTGATTGCGTATCCTCTGGTCTATCTGTGGTGGTGGTAAGTGGTAAGTATCTTCTTTCTTCTGGTTGGAATGATATAAAACCTCTTTGAACGTTTGTATTATTGCTTCCTTTCTCGTGATAATGCATTTTATCATAATATTTACTTTGTTGCGCTTTCTTCTTCTTTCGCTGGTTGCGTTGCCTTTGTGGCTTCACATGAGACAACGTTAGTCATTATGTTGCAGTGCAAACTTATACCACCATTGCTTTTGCAGTTTTGTGTGTTTGCGTTACTTTACATTCGACTATTACCATGCACTTTGCTCATGTATGCAATTTTGTTGCAACAACGAGCTCTTTTGAGCATCTCTGATGGTGTACTTGTTATACATTTCTTTGAATCACTTTGTGTGAGTATCCATTTTTTGCCCAAGTACTACTATACTCCTATAGTAGTATATTCTTTTATTCTTTCCTTTATTATCTTTGTGTTTCTTTGAAGCATACCTTTTTTACGTTGTGTGGATGTGCCTATCCCTGAAGCTCAACAAGACTCTATCGGAGGCTAGGAGGTAGATAGGCTGTCTCCACTTGGTTATCACTACTTACTTTAGTGATGATTGAGAGCCTCAACGCCAGAATCTAAAGCTAGGTGGTGTAAGTAAGGCATGCTCTAGCACCTGGGGGAAGTTTGATGATAGCAGCGGCTATATTGCTATTATAGCGGCGCTTAAAATTTTGCCTCACATCAAAACAGAGGGAAACCCTCGCAAATTTTTTTTAGGTCAGCGGAGTTTTCAAGCAATCTGATTGGCTCAGGGGTTGAAACAACGATGGGCTACAACTGGTTGATTTCCTATTGATCTGTCATGTATTATAATTTTGTATTTGTAATAAAAAGAGTATCAAATAGATCCAATTTATGTCGTCCTTTGTTTAAAACTATAAAATAAGGTGCAATCAATTGATCTAACATGCATTAAACTGTGGCATGTGAGTGAGTGTCCTTTAAACTTGATATTATGTGGTTGGAGAAAGCCCATATACAAGTACGATAATGCAATACTACTTTAAGGACCAGGAGGACTTAATAACAGATGCCCCGCCGCCAAGCATGCGTTGTTTATCAGTATTTTCCAACATGTCTCAATGTAATGGGTTGCTAACTTTTGCTTCATATCAACGATTTCACAGGATAAAAGTATCTTTTGTCATAAGATTTACGCCACCATCCACAATCAAGTCTTAGACTATTTACATCAGAGCTTTGAAAGTAGTATGTTCGTACAGCCAAATTTAGCGAGAAAAAAAATGCGTTAAGAATAATATAGAGAGAAGAAATATAATTAAAACTGAATATATTTATCATTTTATTTCAAGATTGAATGAGGGTTAAAACTAATGTAAATCTCGAATGTGTTTATAGTTATTTGACAGTGCCGCAGCAATAGGACCTTGATCTTAAATGCGGGATAATTGTATAAGCCTTGAACCAGTTAACGAGAATGTGCTGCATAACGCCTCATGAACCACCAGTCAAGGATAAACAGCAAATATGATCCAGGATAGAATGTTCTTCCTAGTAGCTTTAACGGAAGAACATTTGTCGGAATTGAAACCCAAATCCAGGGACGAAAGGCCATAGGCTACCACTCTCTAGGAACCAGGATATAGATTAGCCATTTGATGGCATCACTCATGTTCCTTCGTGCTGCTTGAATAAAGACCTCTCACTTCTACTATGCATTTCTGCTCATTCGCAGATCCTCTTATGTAATATACAACGCTTAATACATTTGCCTCTCAGAGATGATCTATATCCTAAACACACCGCACCAGCATGCATTTGACCAAGCATTTTAAAAATCGGAGCGTACGAAAAGGACCATATCAACTTGCTGGTTTCAAGTTTCCAATAGATACTAGACGTATTGAGGAATCTTGCTGTCAAGACTAGACGGCTGTAGCTTGCTTTGTTTAAGAATAACAGGTTTTCAAAGCTAGAGTAAGCATATTCTCCCGCTTAAAAATAGCGTCTTTAATGTCGATTAACTCACGAAGTATGCATTTCCAATGTTTGAAAATGTTGGTTTTTTTGATTTTTTTTTTTACCAATCCAAAGTGTAAGCGTTCGATTCTTGAAGAGTTCATTAAAATTTGCATGCAAATAAATAACGACGGATGTTATGATGTAGCCACATTAATATACATTCAAGTAGGCTTATGGTTTGACGTTCACAGAAGCTTTGTTTGAAACTTTTTGATTGTATAGATATGAATTAGCTTGTAGAACGCATTATAGACAAACTTCTATTTGTTCGTATCCTTCCATGGTTTGATGTAATTCGACAGGGTTCATCATCCATGTCTTTTTTTCCAATTCACTTCAGCTTTGTTTTTTGCGATAATAGCTTAAAAATAGTGCTATGTACCATACACCATACAAACAAGCGTTGCTGGATTCGGACACCAGGCTTAATATAATATGATTGCTATACACCCATTAGTCCAAATTCAACTCACAACGTAGCAAACCACTGGTATTGTTTCTTGCTTTATTTAAAGCTACATAGGATTATTAGCAAATGGGCATACCAAATGAATGCAGTATCTCAATAAAATGATTGCCTTATGTGACCCATCTGATAACGTATCTGTAGGGGGTGTTAGATAAACGTTGCTATGCAGTCATCTTATGTATCAGCAAGCACCAGCATTAAAAAAGAAACCACATTTAATTTTCTAAACTGATCGAAAATGTATCCCGTTACAGTAGTACCAATATTCACCACATCACCAAGTTTGTGGATTGCAACATCCAGATCATCAAATCACGTAACCTCTCTAGAGAGTTATGGATTGTATAAGTATATATATTTGTCATTTGATGTTTTTCAAGGTAAAAAAAATATGTATATCTTGATCTTTTTGTCAAGAAAAAGAAGAAATAAAAAGAGAAAATATCGTATATGGAAAATATCTGTGAAAAAAAAGGGGGAGTCTTTACATGTACAAAATGAATAATGTACAGGTGAATATAATAAAGAAGAAAGGAAAGCTGCCATCATCTATCCATGTTTTTTTTTGGCGTTTTTTTTTAGTGTTGTTTGATGTATAGTGTTGAATGAGGCCTACCCTTTCCTCGCAGTACAGTTTATATACATTTTTTTGTGTAGTAGTAGTATAACAAAATCAATTTGATTTTTTTTTAATTCAATCTTCCATCCATGAAGTTGTCTGAAGCAATGGCGTGGTGGTGGTGATGGTGGTGCATCATGTCTTCAGCTGTTGGATTCATGTCTGTATGATTCTCTAAATGATGGTGTTGTTGCTCTTCCTCATTGAGATCCAACTGACCATTGTTGATGAGAGGTAATAACTTTTCTACTTCTATATAAGCAGCAATGGTGTCAGTAGACATCGTTCAAAACCAAGCTTTAAAAGCGCACTTACTCTGAATGAGATGTTTTCCGTAGGTATACTTTTTCAGTGATTGTAGATGAGGTTTGATCTTGTTGACTAGCAATTCTCGTTGATCATCGTCAACAACGTCCAACATCTTTTGAATGACATAATTTGCGTATTGATCCTTCATCATGGTAACAAGGGGCAGGGTTCTACAGTAGAGTTTAGAACATACGGAAATCAACCGCTGGTGTAGAGCTTACCCATCAGGTCTAGGTTGAAGCACTTCCTCAATCAACAACTGACGATCTCGTTTTGATCCATAATCGACACATTTCTCAACCACATTGCTAGCAAACTTGTGCTTACTCAACTGAAGCACTTGACCACGAATCTTGTCAATCACCAGTGACTTGTCTTCTGCTCTTCCGCGCTCCAAAATGTGCTGAATCACATAATTACCGTATTGATCTTGTACAAGTTGACCAGTGCATCGATGCAACTCATCCAACAGAGGGCCCTAATTCAACTGTTAACATACTACCAAACACTAGGCGAAAGGGTTGTGCTTACTATTCTTACCGTTTGGTCTTCGGTACAATGTTCAAACATGCGTTGAATGACACGACAACCATAAGGATGTGTAGCTAAGTTATAGACCTGGCCATGGAAAGCGTCAATGATGAACTGAATGTGTTGTGCAGGGACACGTTCAATCGCCTTTTGGATGACGTGGTTGCCGTTTTGATCCTTGATGCATTTAAGCACACATCCATCCAACTCCTTGACCAACGTGGCTTGCTGTTCCGTCAAGACATGCTCTAAGGCCTTTTGGACAACACGACACCCGTACATTTGAAGCGACAATGACAAGACATGGCCTTCCATTTGCTTGGCCAAGATGGTTTTTTGCATTTGGTTGCCATGTTCAAAGAATTTTTGCAACACATAATTACCAAAGACGTCTGTCATCAACTGTAGGGCGTTGGGAAGCACTTCTTCAAACACCATTTGCTTTTCATCGCTATTGGCTGTCTCCAATTTTTGCTGTATGAAGCGAGATCCATGCTGATCACCACTGAATTCCACAATATGGCCTTCGATGTCTTTGAGCTCGTACTTTTTATTCTTGGAGTTTCTGAATTCTTCTAATAAAGGACTGCGCATGTTGAGAGTCATGTCTTGCGTGGATGACGATGCTTGTTGCTGTTGCTGTTGCTGATGATGGCTGTGATGCATTTGACGTCCATCGTTGTCGTGATGGTGGCTTCCTCTGGATCTGGATTGCAGATGATGGTTGTTGTTACCATGTCCAAATCCTTGGTGTTGTTGCTGTTGCTGTTGTTGCTGAATCTGCTGTTGCAGCAAGAGTTGTTGTCTGGCTGCCAGCAATTGCTGCTGTTGTTGTTGGATGAGCAATTGCTGCTGTTGCATTTGCAGGGCACGCAATTTCTTGTCAGTGGCTCCGGGAAGCGTATTTTCTGGGAAGCCAGCAGCATCAATACCAGCAGGTGCAGTGAGGGGACCTGTCATATTGTGGCCTAAAGCAGCAGCAGCAGCTACATGTATTGGTGAATAAAGATGGGCTTGGATTTTTTGTTGGAGAGGCTTACCTTGTTGTTGCTGTCTGCGATAAGCGACATCACCTTGACTCCAACGACCATACATGGCATCGTTACCTAATAAACCATCTGAGCCATCCAAACCACCTGACAATTCCAAAGCTGGACTGTAAGATTGCTGAGGGATATTATGAAGTTGAGCGTTACCGTAATAAGGGCTTCCACCGCCATAGGGGCTTGATTGGCCTTGATGATGCTGCTGAAATCTAGAGGCACTCTGCTGTTGTTGCAATTGCTGCAAGTAAAGGGGGTTGGATAGCAGATTGTAATCATTCTATAACCTTTTGGTTAGAGCTTCGTGCTTCTTGAGAGCCACACAACAACGACTTTAACTTACATCCTCATTCAAGCCGAATCCACTAAATGAGTTCATCATCAATTCCGTCTGGCGATCCATCTCATTGTATCTTCCTGGAGGCGTTGAATTGGAGCGGGCAGGTGGCGTACTGACGAATTTATTGCGCAGAGGAGGAGAGATCAAGGTATTGGCTTCATCTGATTGACGCCTCATTACCATATCGTCGTATTCGAGAGCGCTTAATTGGTCTCTATATTGCTTTTGTATGGCATCTAAATCCTGGGTGGGGTCCTCAAACGTGAATCCAGCAGCAGCGGCAGCAGCAGCGGCAGCGTGTCTCTGTCTCGCTTGCTGTTGAAGCGCAAATAAAGGCGAGGGCGTACGAGGAAAGTCCTAGTTTTGTCGTGTTGAGTATATCCAGTTGCAGTAACTCTACCATGTTGTCTTACCTGTTGAATCAAGTCAACCAGATTTCTCTGACGACGACTAGCCAGTGTGTCCTCTTGTTGCTTTGTGGGTGTGTGTCTACCAGTATAAGCGTTGAATCCAGTGCTATTGCTTCGCGGATCCTGTTGAATATAATCTAAATTTTACACGCGTGTATGTATCAATACGCTGCTGCTCGAGTCGAGTCCAAGTTGGAACATTACCTTCTTCATTATTCTGCCATAATTGCCACGGCTGGTTATTGACATCTTGCGTATACTTTAGTTGCTCGGTAGGGTCCATGGAGGCGGCGTCGTTCATGTTATTGCTACGACGAGCATTGAGCAATTGAGTAGGGGGAGCACTGTTGGAGCGAAGGTCGTCTGGAAACAGGGAGGATGCCACATTGTTATTGCTACTGCTGCTGCTGCTGCTAGGGTCGCCTTGAGATACAAAGAGATCATCGTAATCCAACTTGCCATGTAACAAGGCAGCAAGCTAATGATAGAGCAACACGTTTTCTCTTTAGTAAGCCAATTTTTCGCAATGGAGTTTCCTCATCTCGAAGGGAAAAAAAAAAAAAAAAAAAAAAAAAAAAAACCACGTAAAGACATACCTGACCCTGAGGCTGGTTTTTCGCTTTTGGCTGATGTAGATCAGACTTTTGAACACTAGGAGACATTTGCCTACGTGGTAACATGTTTGAGAGATAGAAGGAGCTGTTTGATTCCTTGCTCTAGTTTTTTTTTTGTTGTTGTAGGTTTTGAAAGGAAACTTTGAGTTATATATATTTGAATTCCAAACAAGAGAGCGAGAAGGAAAAGGATTGTATTTATAATTTTATCGCTTTATTAAAAGTCAGGGCCCATCCTTCCCTTTGTTGTGTGTGTGTGTGTGTGTGTATATATAGAAATCAAGATCATTAGGAACTGCTGGTTCGTTTTTGCAAAGCTTGCAGCATGTGATCTCTGCGTTGCTCAGGGGAAAGTGTGTTTAATTCATCGACAGACATATCCTCAAACGTCTTTGCCTCTTCAGTTTCTTCTTGGTTTACTGCCACTGCAGTGGATGCCACTGGTATGCTACTAGACGTTGCTCCTGCTGCTGCACTACTTGATCCTTGCTCCACAGCGGATTCCTGCTTCTTCTTTTGCTGTTGCTCCATCAATTTCCTTTTTTTTTAAAAAAAAAGTAATCGTTAATGTAAGCTCGACATGCTTTTGTTAAAACCATTACTTTCTGGCTTGAAGCACCATGAATTCTTTGCGTTTTCTCAGCATCTCTTGTCGCTTGTCTGGACTGGCCTCCCAGACCTTGGGTGGCTCTTGATCTGTATCTTGTTGCACATCAATCTTGTATCTCTGGACTAAATTGGGATGACTAGGTGATTTGCGACTACTGGAGGCAGTGGATGAGGTGTTCGTTGCGTAGGAGTTGGGTGAGCCTTGCTGCGATGGCATTGGAGATGGCTAACAGAGTATATGTGTGAATAGGATGTGATCGCGCGATCCATAGCATCAATCAACTTACAAGAGGGAGACCTCCATCACGGAGTGCATTATCAACTGTTGTCTCTACAGATCCTGTTCTTTGAAGGTCGGCCACGATGGCAGCAGTAGGGATATCGGGAAACATGGCACGCACCATTTCAATCTATATACATACGTGGAGAAAAGAGGGTCAATTACCTTGTCATTACAAAAGAGAGCCATGCTGTCTATACCATTTGAGGAGTGACACGATGCTGCATTCTTCTGGTGCCTGTTGTTGTGCGTCTTTGACCTTGTTGCTGTTGATTATTCGGGTTGTTGCCACCTAAACATACTATGAGTCATGGCAAGTGAAATGTGTACATGTTGAGCATTACCCAGCATCCAACGTAGGGCTATCAGAATGAGAAATACGGCTACCAGTATGGATACGCTATCATTCATCTTGTTTGTAAATGTAGTCGAAACGAAAGAAATAATAATGGTGGTATGATTCTCGGTACCCAAAGTATATTACCTACTCTATCGGTTGTTCAATGTAGTGCGATTGGAAAGCTTGTCTCTTGTTTATAGGTCGTCGTGAAGCCATATCATTCGTCATAAGACTAAAAGTGGAAAAACTCCTCAAGTGAAAAGTATAGGATTGATCCACTCCTAAGCAGGATTCACTGGTTATTGTATAAGGAGTTGCAGTCAATGGTGGCCCATTAACATTTAAAGAGGTCACTTGGGGATGTTGCTTATAATAAGAGGCTTTTCAAGCTAAGGATAGGAGACCATCAAATGAGCAGCTTGAATAAAAAGCTCAGTGTGGACACATGAATACCAATGAGTAATGATTCTAAGGATTTTATTGATAGTATAACATATTTGATAAACGGGAAATGGAAAGATTATTTACAGATTTCTAGATATAAATGTTGTTGTTGTTGCTATGACAGCAGTTGCAGTGCATGAGTTACTTAATAATCCTCGCGACGCTTAAAGTTTGAGCGACGTTCAAAGTTATCGCGAGACTTGAAGCCATCATCACGGCTCTTGAAACCACTATCACGACGTCTGAAGCCACTATCGCGAGACTTGAAGCCATCATCACGGCTCTTGTAGCCACTATCACGATCTTCAAAACGTCTACTGCTGCTGTTGTAGCTATCACGACGGTTGAAACTGCCACGATCATTGCTGTCGCGATCAAAACTCTTGAAATCACGGAAATTGTTGCCACGGCTAAATCCACGATCATTATCACGATTGAAACCACCGCCACGACTGCTGCCACCACGACTATAACCACTGCCACCACGGTTATTGTTACGGCTACTATTACCTTCGCTCAAACCAAGTTGAGACAAGAAACGAGGGCTCAAATGAGGGATGTTTGTCACACCAAGACCTTCAATAAATTTGTTGGCTTCAGTCAAGGCTGCAGAACGACGTTGACCCAGCATGGGCATTCTTCCAGAGTAATAGCCCAAATAGGCAGTATAGACCTCTCTCACCATATCCTCATCCATGTTGTTGATAGACTTGAGAGCGATTTCATTTGTTTCGTCAATCTCCTCTTGAGTGAGAGCGGGAGCCTCAATGTTTTCAATAGGGAGATCAGAGACTTCCTTGTCCAAAAATGCCTTTTCAAAAGGTGCCAACATGATGATACCTTCACCTTCACGGCCAGCGCGACCAGTACGGCCGAGACGATGGATATATTGCTCGCGAGAAGAAGGAACACCTACTTGGAGAACGAGAGACACGCCAGGATAATCGACACCACGGGCAGAGACATCGGATGTGAAGAGGATGCTGCTGTCCTTGGATTTACGGAACTTGTCAGCAATGCGAGAACGTTGATCTTGGCCCTTCTTGGAGTGAATTTCATAGACCATACGATCAGGCATCAGACGCTTGAAGATATTGGCGTAGACCATGGTAGCCTTGGTCGTAGGTAAAAAGACAATGACCTTGCCCTTTTGAGCAGCTTCGTGTGTTTCAAGACAATCGCGGATCAGTGCACACTGGTTTTGATATGGAGCAATCACAGCAGATTGCTTGACATGAATATTGGTGTTGACATCGTCCTTGCCCACGGTATCAATCAAATCATAGTTGGGTGATAAAGCGAATTTGCCCAAATTTTCACGAATTTCTTGCGAAATGGTGGCAGAGTAGAGCATAGTTTGACGCTTCTCGGGAATTTGGTTCAAAATGCGTTGCAATTCAGCCTTGAAGCCCATATCCAACAGCTGATCTGCTTCATCCAGGACAAGCACCTTGAGATTTTGACACATCTTTTTGAAATTGTGCACTGAGGAAAGCATGTCTTGCAGACGACCAGGTGTAGCAACCACGATATCGCAGCGACGACGCTCCAAATTGAGGATTTGACGTCTCTTGGAATCACCGCCCACCATACAATGTACCTTGAAAGGATACGCACTTACGAGTTTTTGGGCTTCATCAGCAATCTGGTTAGCGAGCTCACGGGTAGGAGAGATCACCATGATGGAGGTGCCTTGGAAGTGCTTGAAATCTTGAGGGGATTGACCCTCAATGGCTGTTTCAATAGCAGCTGTCAAAAAAGCAAGTGTTTTGCCGGTACCTGTCTTTGCTTTGACAAACATGTCATTCTTGTTGGGTAGTTTGGAGAGAACAGCATCTTGCACTGCTGACATTTCTTCGTACTTGAATACCTGACGGATTGCCTTTTGTGTGTTGGGATGAATGGCTTCAATGGAATCAAATCGCTTCTTTTGTTCGGAAATGGGTTCAATGTGAGTGTCGTTTTCGATGACTTCGTCCTTGATGAGCTCGGCTACAGCAGAATTAGGAGCAGTGGATTGTGTGTGGAGGAAAGCATAAGGAGAGATCTTGAGAGAGCTGAATAGTTGAGGACGAAGAGCTTGAGATCTGAGGAGAGAGCCAACTGGATGAAAACGACACATGGCATGAGCATAATGATGAGGGGCATGAACATGTAAACTTACCGGCATTAGGAGTGACTCTGGTAGCAGCAATGCTTCTTGTCAAAGAAGTAAAGGCACGAGGACCAGACAGCTTGATGGCAGAAGGAATCAGAACTTTACGCAACATGGCTGTTATATATAAAGTTGAGAGATGAAATGGGAAAAAAAAAGAAAGATACCAGGGTGAAAAAGATTTTAGTTGATCAAGACCTCTTTCCTTTTTTTTTTTTTTTTTTTTTTTACTCCAATTCTATGGATGCTTTAAGCTTGTCACAATAAAAAGCTAGAGGGATCCCTACCAAACCCAGTTGATTTTTGTAATTTATCTCGACTTTGATTTCAGGTACGCTCATCAGTATGCTTGATAACATGCTGTTTGGTCTCTTTTTGTTACGTATGTTGGTATATCATAAGGCATTTGACAGGCATGGCTCTCAAATATTGGCCCTCTTTGCAGAGATGTTGCTGAACTTGGATGTGGCTATCATGGAAAAAAAGTTTTCCTTTCTTTTTCCTAATCCAATGAGAGCTGTTCCGACCATTTGCGGGGTTCATGAATGTCAAAAGGGACGCAAACCTTATATGGCTGTGCTGCGTGAAGTCAATGAAAGGAGCAGATCGGATGTGCAGAGTTTAAAACTTGAGCAGAAAATGTTAAATCAAGCAATAGTTCTTCTAGATTTGACTCATAATTTATGCCGCATCCAAGGCTTATTCTAATGACTATTTGGCAAGCTCTGGATGTGATGTTGATTCCATAAAATCCTCTTCAATGTTGATACACATGTTTATCACTGTTCCCATGTGTTTGGTTGAATCAAATCTAATTTTGAGATGCTATTTTATGGCATACATAGGTAGATATCTTGACGCTGCGAGTATACAGTATCATAGACAGAGATTTTGTCGCTTTATATAAATGAACTGCCTACAAAAGTCAAATTTCACTGGAAAAGTTGATCTGGCAAAATCAGTCTCAAATTTAGGAACGTCAGGAGGTATATAAATGGACCTTTCTTGCTATATGTCTAAAGCACAATAGGTATATCCCATTAGCAAAATACAATTCAATTCAATCGTAGTGTTCGTTTTGTTTCTTACCTTGATAGCATGTTGAACGGTATGTCACACCTGCAGAGTATTTCAGCATCAATCACTGCTATTATGTGAGCCAAATGTCAACATTATTTGATGTAGCTCGGCATTGCCGGTGATCCTAAGAAAACACTACTTGTATTTGCGCATAAAGTCAAAAGTAAATGGCATGACCTACCAGCTAGTAAAAGTCGACCCAATCGATAGATAAAAAAAAAAAAAAAAAAAAAAAATTAAAAATTAGACATGTACAAGTATAATATTTGAAAGAGAAAAATGACATGAAAAACAATTGGACTACGACATATGTGAGTAGAATAAAAAGCGAGAGGCAGCGTAACAGACAGAAAACCACGAAAATGTTTATATGTATATATTATAAGAAACAGCGTTCAATTAAAAGTTATCACTCAAGTAATTTTCCTCGTCAATAAAGGTGGCTACGACAGTTCTATCTGCAAATTTACGGCCTGCAAGCGAACGCAAGGCTGCTAGTGTTTGTTGAGAATCTTCATATCTGACAAAGATCTGTACAGAAGCATCAATAATCAAATCTGGGCCATCTTCAGTGCTAAATGCTTACCAAACCACATCCAGGAACAGGTCCACTCTTGCTTGGTCGAGGAATCTTCATATCGATAATGGTGCCAAACTTGGAACACTCTTCTGCAATATCATCCCAAATATCTATCAATCCATATTAGCAAACAATTCCAACTATGCACAATTCAAGCGTCCAACCTTTGTATTCCTCATCATCCTCTAATTCATCGGGTGTCACCATATTCATCAATTGCAACACACGAGTAGCCTCCTCTTCCTTGGCACTTGAGATGGGTAAATAGTCCGCAACAGTAAGAGGTAATTGACCAGTTGCATATTCAGTAGGGAGCAAGCCATGCTTGGCGCCGACGCTAGCACGTTGAACCACCAATTTACGATCGCCCAACTCCATATTGTTCAAACCTTGGCAGGCCAAATCTGTGACACTAGGGTCCGCATACTCACAGAAAGCAAACCCTTTGTTGGCTCCAGTTACTGGGTCCTTGACTAGATTGAAGGCACGCAGTTCACCAAATGATTTTAATAACTCGACAACCTGATCGTCATTCAAATATACAGGGAGACCACCAATAAAGATCTTGTTGGGTGTGTCGGGCACGTTGGTAGACACTAATCCAGGCAATTGATTTGACAGATCGCCATATTCTCCATCAACAGGTGCTTGGTAATCTTTGGGTCTGCGAATCTTGAGTTGTTGTCCTTGGAACATGATGCCGTCAAATGCCATGGCAGAAGTTGCCTGTTCAGGTGTTTGAAATTCAACAAATGCGTAGTTTTTGTCATGATTGATTTGGACAGCCAAAACAGGTGTTGTATCTGCCAAGTGTAACTTCTCCATTGTCTCGTTGAAAAAATCAGCCATGGGCTTTTCATCGATGCCAAAGGGAATTTGTCCAACATAGAGTCTCTTGGCTTGTCTAGCTAACGTAGCATTCAAGGCAACAGGGCCAGCAGCACCCTGAGTGACGCGAATACGAGATCCATCGTGCATCATATGGTCTGAAGGAGGAGGAGGTTGGAAGGATTGAGGGGTACGAGTGCCAACTACTTGACCAGGTAAAGGAAAGAGACCAGTCGATTTGACTTGTTCAGCTGACATGCCTTCCATGCCGGCAGGAGCCATATCCCAGTTGTGAAGCTTCTTTTCTCTTTTACTCAATGGAATGACATTTTCATCATCACGTCGACGAGAACTAGGGCTACGTCTTCTGCTTGAACGACGAGGACTAGGGCTTCTTCTACGTCTGCTGCTGCGATAATCTCTATCATCTCTGTTGCTTCTGCCATGGTGACGGTCGCGAGGTGAGCGCTCACGTCTATCTCTGGATCTTCTGCGTCTACTGTCTCGGTTGTCGCGCGATCTATCATGGTAACGGTCTCTGCTATGACGTCCATCTCTGTTTCCTCTGTCCATATCTCCACCTCCGCCACCTTCTCTTCTGTTGCTGCGGTAGTCGTCATTTCCTCCATGATACCCCATCTCTTCGCCGTAACGACCTAGACAAGAAAACGAGAGCTTTTTGTCAGAGGCTTTGTCTTGTGGTGGATTTGATAGTGAATGAATTTTACCTTGAGTTTCGTGGCCACCACCGTAAGGGGTTTCGCTAGAAGCACCGTGAAGCTCTTGACCTACAGAGTTTAAGAAAGAACTGGCAAGGTCTGCTGCTGATTGCTGTGGAGCAGCTAATCAATCAACATGCGCAATTCAAGCAAGCCATGTTAGTATTTTGTCAACGGTGATGATGAATATCAACATTTACAATTAGAATCTCTGTTCCATCCATAGGACATTTTCTGTATAATTCAACTAGTGTAGTGTCAAAAAACTGAGCTAATATGTGTTTTGGGGGCGTTTCAAGAAAATACAACGCCTAGTGATATTAAAGTAGAGAAAAAGATGAACAGGCTGTTCTTTCATGAACCCTCATGTGTTTTGGCAAATTTTTTTGAAATAGGTGGTAACATTGAAACCCAGGCTTGGTAGTTGAAGTTGTGTCTCTAGCCTCTTCCAGAGTAAATGTTCCTATAAGCAAGCGTCTTTTGTTGACATGTTGTTACGAGAGAGGACGTTTTAATATATTCAATTTGTTGTTTATTCATTGAAGCACAACCATAGGGCATATCAGCATTCATTGGATGTCAGTCGATGCCCTTGAGAAGCCTAGCATTGATCCTTGCAACATGAGCCAACTATCTCGGCTGGATCTTCTTGATCAATGATTGATTTCTTCCAGCTTGCAATTCCAAGTTGTCCAATGCTTTTACTTTAAACCATAGCACTGTCAGTATAGCTTCCTTGTCGGTGATCAGTTGTTTATACATTGCGGTTGAGATGCTATTGAACAATTCGTCTGTAACTGGATCTTTTTGTTGTTTGGCAAGGTAGTAATTGCATGATTTATCCTCGCTTTCAATTGCAATGCAAACCATCGGTACAACAAGCTTCTTGCCATATCGATGAGCGAAAATGTCGAAAACCAGTGATTCGAGATGCAAATTGGATAGATCGTACATGTGAAATGAAAGGCTGCTTTGAGCTAATGGATCATTTTCAATGATTGATTCTGACAAGCAGTTGACGAAGCAGAGGTTTTTTAGTCTCGGATGGTTTCTAGCAATCGCTCGTAAAAGTTCTCTTGTAATAGTAATCCCTTTCACTGTTAATGCGGCTAGTTTGGAGTTCAAAGCCGATCTGGGGTTATAATTCCAGCAATGCGACGGCGGATGTTGATGATTCATCAGAGAAACATCCGGCGAAAAATATGCTCCAGGAGAGATCTCCACAATGAGGGTTAGCTCCTGAAGATTAGGACAGAGACAAAGGACAAGATCAAGATCAGCTGCCTCTCTGTGCTTTGCTTTTGACGTAGTGGTGATGTGGAGACGTTGGAGATGCTTTCCGTAGGATTCAAGGTGTGTCAGGTAAGGCAAATGTTCAGTTGACTCTACCTGCAGATCTTCATCCATTGTAGGGTCTGCCACTGAAAAATCCCTTACAAATGTATAGTTGACCGTTTGCTTTTGTGCACCTTTTTGTATCTCAATTTGTGTTCTCTCTGTTCTGCCATGATTCACCTCGAAGGAAGCCTCGATCCAGGCTGAGCTGTGTTTGCCACTGTACAATGAGGGCAGATAAAAGTGCTCCATCAAGTACTCGACGTAAGACCGTCCATGAATATTGAAATGCAAATGCAGTTGGTTGAGATGAGCAAGGAACGCCATAAAATCACTTTTGAAAAACTGCATTGCTGACTTCAAGTGTTTGTCTTGTTCATTTTTCCATAGCTTTCTCTGGTGGATATCGATTTGATTCATCCTCAAAGTAAAGTTTTTGAGATTTTTGAAGCGATAGATAATGTACTGTAGCTGCTGTGCGTTGAAAGTAGACTGGTATATATCGAGCTCCTGCAAAGATGGGTATTCTGACCATGATTGTTGACCGCTGTAAGGCTGTCGTTCAAAGAAGGGATGGTCTAATTGAAAGTTGAGCTGTCTCAATCGCTTGCACGAGTTCAGTAACTGATCCAAGTAAACCATGTAACGCTGACTACCGCTCTTGATGGATAATGATTTCATCAAGGGAAAGTCTGCCAGATAAGAATAAAGGCTACCAAAGCCATCATGTATAGATGCATCACAGGAGCAATAGATCTCTAGCTCGCTGATGGATGATCTAAATTGATGCGCCACCTTGTAAAAGTACTCTTCTTCGTAGCATCGCAGCTTTCCTACTGTGAAAAGCCTCCTAGGTCGTATGATGTGGGTAATGTGAGGATCCATTTCGTAGACATACTTCCAATAAACTGAATTGATGCTGAATGCCAACTCTTGTAGATGGGGACACATTTGCAATAGTGCTTGTAGCTCTTCTTTAGATGATGGAGTTGGTGTTGATGTTCCTGAAATGATGCGGCCCCCTATTTGACGCTGCCCTTCGATCTGCATGGTTCTCACCTTGTCGCCTATCAATAGATCTGGGAACTTGGAAATGTACTCTACTATTTTCTTGATGTCTGCGCTCCTTTTGATATTGTCGCCTATGCGCAACTGTCGATAGTACACCTGACCTGCTGGATGAAACCAAGTCTTGCAGACACTTAAACAAGTAAACAGTGTCTCATTCGACAACTTTTTGAAGATTTCTGTCAAGATTTCAGCAGGGAGAAGAGCATTTTCAGCGCTTTCTTGCACTATATACATAGTTCATAAAGATAGACAGAGATAAGAGATGAGAAAAGAAGTAAAAAAAAAAAAAAAAAAAAGGAAAAAAGATGTTGATTTGCTCCGTATCATTTTGCGCATTGGTTTTTTATGCTTCTCAAGTAACCTTAAATTAAATTTTTGGCGTTGTTCATAATTTCTCGGGTCTCACAAGGTTTGGGCTATGCATTAGAGTTCTTGGTATTGATTCAGCTGCAAACAGTCAGCATGGGCAAGCTCTTCTGTGTGTATGCTATAGATGTGCCCCTAGTTTGACCACAGGTATCGATAATGAACACTAGACTTTCTAGTCAAGAGTGCGCTTCATACAGCAAAATCTGGCTGCATTGAGCCGTATTTTCTCTTGCTAGAAGCCGTTTTACATTGCCAGAATAGCACCAAACAATTGCTCTCATCCAGCACTTACTTTCTGACACCTTTGCTCAACTTTTTGGGGACCAAAAAAAAACATCGTCAAAAACCGACCAAAAAGCATGAGGTACCCCCTCATGGTTTCCATTGAAAATCAAACGATCGCGTTTTTTTACCTGAAAAATGAAGACTTTTCCTATAGTATATATTGAATCAAAATGTTTCTCTCGATCTGTAGTACCTCCTGAAACATCTTTTATGAGAATTTGATATGTAAAATATCGACGTTTTGACCAGAAACCTTTTTTTCATATTTTCATAAGTTGCTCAATAAGTTTGTTCAAAACCTCTATGTCTACTGACACCATTGGATGCGCCTTGAAAAGTACTCTTAGAAAGCTTAAGGGAATATAAGGCAGTTTGAACAACTTACATAGTCGAATCCCATAAAATATTTTTTTTTGTAGGGCAATTGTATTGCTTTATCTAAAGTCCTTTTACGTACGCCTATTAGATGGGAGAGGAAAAAAAAGACTGGATATATATTGGGGGGACTAATTATGAAGACTGATCTAAAGTTTCTTGGAAATGTAAGGTATCTAATGAGCTACGAAGTGATGAGAGTAAAATTGATGGCAGGAAAGGTTTGTCCTGGAATGTAAACTGGTAGTGGTGATACCATATAGTTTGTAGCATGCAGGCGAAAACCTGGTAAGCAGAGAGATCCGGATAGATGGAATGATCTTGACGAGAAGGGCTGTGTTCGAAAAGAAGGAATTTCTGGAAGTTTTGGTAACTGTTTTGGGAAATGAGAGGGGGCATGGAATCCCATAAAATAGATCAATGGAATCGAAAGATAACCATTTCGAGAAGAAAAATGGCGTTCGGAGTTTTAGTTGATTTTGGTGGTTGGCTAGCAAACCCAATACCGATCTTAATATGGAGGTAACTAGCCGATCCATCTCACTACGCTCGATGTCGGTGTCGCCCTGTGGGCTCTCGCCAAAGACATTTTAAATCAGATATAATAAAATTTTGCTATATCAAGTAGATTTAAAACAACCAATTAGTAGTTAGTAAAAGGAAGGTTATATCCAAGCCAGGACGAAGAGAGGAGGCATCTCCTTCAGCATCCTTTTTGCTTACACTGCTATCAAAAAGTCCACTGCTCGTGCTCCCAGCAGGCATTAGACAAAAATCTTGAGCCCTAAAGCACGCTGATTAGTTATAGTTCGTTATCACTGTTGCTGTGGCCGGGCCGTTTAATGAAGCACATCTCTACCCTGACAACTGCTTTTTCGATCGTACATCTGTAGACTGCATATCACTTGATCAAATGTTGATGTCTTTTTCAGTGAATCGCTTCATTTAGAATCAGCCGAGGCTTGTAACGTTTGAGCTGTTGGATGATAGGCTTGCTGATAGTGCTTGAATCTGCCATTTTTTTTTATGTATGCATGCCTTCTGACCAAGAGTGGGATGGAATGAAGGCATTTTACTGCCCAACAGGCATTTCACTTCAACTCACTGGGCAAAATACATTGTAAAATCTACTTTCGATTGACTATGTAGGTTTCAAAAGATGCTACAAGCCTGTATAAATGAAAAAAATGCATTTTTAGTTTGACATCATATGCATTTTGTCCCTTGCTCCTCTTTTATATAGCAAAACAAGGCAAAATGTGGGTATTTTTGATCCCAAATACCACCCTTTACAGGCCGTTTTAGACATCCGGAATAACACCAATCGATTACTCTCGACTAGTAGTAACTATTTGATGCATTATCTCAAATTTTTTTGTCCAAAAAAATAGAGTCGAAATTTCGAGATTTTAGATGAGTAATACCAAGGGAAAATCCATCGATTTTACTTGATCGCATTTTTCACATCAAAAACGGCATTTTTGTATATGGTGTTCCTAATATTAAACTACTTCTACAAGTCGTGTGCAGCGTACCAAATTGGTTTTAAAAGAGATGTGTATGCAAAAACTCGGCATTTTCTCCAAAAACACCTTTCCAAACTTTTGTAAAGTACGCATTACTTTTGGTAAAAAAAAGTTCAAAACAAATAGCACCATTCGATTCGCCTTTAAAAGCTTCACCTGAAAGCATAAGAGAGTTGGTTTGGTAAATTAGGTTAACTGCGTGTAATTTACCAAAATAGGAGAAACGATGTCGATTTAAGTCGATTCAATCACGAATGTCGTTGCCGCTTCAACCTCAGAGCGGGGGCTAAATCGCTTTGAGATCGCTCAGTAGCGGATCAGCTGCAGGCTTCATAATTGCAGCAGCAGATGATGCAATATTCTATTACGCATGACAATAAATCTAAAATGATTTCGTCGAGACCTCAACTTGCTTCATAAAAGACAACCATTATATATTGCCAAAGATATGGATACGTTTTTTGCCACTATATACGATGAGCAATAAATGTCAATGATTCAGACTAGGAAATATATTTTGATTTATACATAGAAAGAATAGTACAACTATAAAGATAAAAATACAGTCGTAGCAACTCAACTAACAAATTGCTCTACCTCAAAGATAAGCAAATGGCAACTGTCTACTTGATCAGCTTCATTCTTTTGTCATTGATAGCTCGTAATTTCTGATACAAGAAATTCTTGTGCAGTAATGTTAATTCATTGTTGGTGGCATCTCTCTCTTCATCGCCGTAAGTGAATTGCAGCATCCAGTTTTTGAATTGGCCAATATTCGTGCTTTGCTTGGTTGCTTCCAGTATTGCTGCATTATAACTAATATATATGGTAGTTGATTAGTATAATTACTTTGAAAGAAGTTGTAGTTTATAAATTACTTTGGCTTTTGTGACAAACCCAGATCTTTCCAAACTTCCATCGTCTCAGCCATTTATCTGCATTTCTGTACTTGGGAATGATTAATGACACCTCTTGAACCACAATACAGAATGTATGACGCCAAGCTGAAATAATCTACAACTCTGTTTGTGTTTTCGTGAAAAGTAAGAGGATGCTCGGTGTGAAATCCCTTTTTTCACAAAGTTTTGAGACTTGAATGTCCAATTGTTGGTGCTGGCTGTATTGCGAAAACTTTGCAATAAACGAGCATCTCTCTCGCAAGGAACGGCGGTCTGCGGTGCGATAATTAGCCAGTGTGTTTGTTGCATGAGGGTGACTGGAGCCCTTGAACTTCCTAAGAAACACTCATGTTGATCGTTGTCAAATCTCCCGCAAACAGCACCGGTAATAAGCAATTCGTAATTCTTAAAATATATCTTCAACTCATACCAAGCGTTTTTATATGCTGTTTTTCTCTCGTACATTAGCAGGCTGGTTGTCAAAGGAGCCATAATCTCACTGACTGGTGAAACCTCTCTGGCACGACGGTCTAAACCTTTGCCTCGGCCATCTTCTTCCTCATTTCTTCTCTTTTTTGATCTAATTCAAAGAAAATTAACGGAGGATTTCAAAATGTATGCAATGTTTCTCGCTTACTCGATTAATTCAACACTTTTGTTCTTTTTAAAATCAACTTCTATCCTGAGCTTCTTGAAATAATCTGGGTTGACAGTTATTTTATACGAGCGTCTTGTTTGATCAATGCAAGACAAAAATCGACCGCTGTTGAGGTTTTCCTGATCCAAAAGGGTAAGATCAAGGTGATTAACAAATCGAAATTGTGTCAGAACCTTATAAAGGTCATGAAAATAGACTGAAGGATTGGAAATCTGTAAATGTTCAACCTGATGCACAAGGAAGCTGCTTTGGCGCTGGTCGTTCAGGTCAACAGCTAGGTAAATATCGCTTCTGATCATTTTCACAATATCGTAAGACTTTTTGCTTGTCATTGCCAACTGAAATCTGTCTTGAAAATTCAAGGAGCAAATTTGCTCCCAAATTTCTTCTGGGAAATTGATCAACAATGTCGCAGCAACCATGGTAATATACGAAATGAAGAAAGAGGGAGATTCACCATATGCTGGTATGGCAACCCATTATCAATTGACACTGTTGTTTACTTGCAATGAACTCTATTTCCAGCACAGAAGTTTTTATATGCTCGTGTCACCTTGTTTCGAAACATTTGCCCCCCTATTTTCTTTTCAAAATACATGCCGTACTCGAGGTAAGAGAAGAAGCAATGCTGATGAATCAAGCAGCATCTACTAAATGTAATCTTATTTGTAGTCCTGCGTTGCCATCACGGGTAAGAACTGAACCAAATGATACTCTCATTGCCTTCAATTTGTAGGGAGTTGCTTGGTTATGAGTCAGATTCTTTTTCAGATGGTGGTACAGAATAAAGGCATTAGGATCATGCACTACTGCTGCCGAATCTGCGCCTGTTGTATCCATGTCCTTGTCAGTGAACTGGGTCAATGGCACTACCATGGCACGCACTGCATCCTTGTGTCTGTTTAGCAACCAGTAAGCCATACTGACCAGCCAGCGATCGTTGTTTTCTATCGCCATGGGGATCACGGAATTCTCTAGGATGTCTCGTAACAGAGGACTATGATCTCCTTCATACACACGACAGATGGCGATGGCGAGATGAAAGTCTTTGACGTTTTTAAGGATGACATTGACGGCATCCTTCAGTTTGTCTGCCAACAAAAAGAAGGCAGCGGCGTATTCTATCGATGTGTTAACGTTGTACATCTACTGGTTTGTTGATATACACCTACTAAATCGTTGCTTTCCCAATAGTGCAAACGCATTCTTTGACGCTGCTCTCTGCCATCGTGGATCCGTGAAATCATTTGCCAGGAACTTTTTCATGGCTGCTTGTCCTTGTGAGACGAAGTTGTCTTCCACAAACCCTCGATGAGATTCTTTTTACGTAGTGCCAGGTAGTACAGTGTGCAGTCTACTGGATCTCTTGCTTCAGCGGATTTTGACAAGTATATATTTCTTGCAATGGTGGCCATTTGGTCTCTCTGCCAGCACATTGAGAGTGAGTATACGAAGCAATGCGCCTACTGAATCACTTACCACGACATCAATCTTTTGCAGCCATATAAACAGACCCAAATTGCGAGCATCTTGCCAAACCAGTGTATTGTCACAGAGTCGAATACATCTTTCCAACAGTAGATCCTGCGATTGACTGTGCAATGTCCATACATAATCCCTTGATTCCAATTGCATCTGTCGTTGTTCTGGTGGCAGTGATTTGTTTAGATGAAAGTGATTTTCTAGTAGTGCCGTAAATCGAGCACCATTCTCATCCAGTGAGTCGCCTTGGTTGGTGATCTGTGTAGCGTTAGTCGCTGTGTTAATGGAGAGGCACAAGGTCAGCTTACTTCAACAATGGTATCCACCATAGCAATCAAGTGAATTCTCTCACCTTCGTTCAATCCAGGCAACACTTTCACCTTGAGGTAGTGAGCCAGGTTCTTGGCTTCACTTGATGTCAATGCTCGAACAGTGTCATCGTCCTCGTTTTGTCTAGTGGTATGGTAAATCAATAACAAGGAAGAAAGCAAAAGAGAAACAATACATGATGCGAATACTTATACATACATTGTGTTAGCATCGTCTGCGTCATCATCGTCCTCAAACAACCCATTGTACTCTTGCTTGGCACCCTGCTTGGACTCGCCCTATATTCAACATGATTAGCGCCCAAATGCGAGGTATATGCTATGCCTATAACATACATTTTGAAGCTTCAACATCTTGGAAAAGGACACTGGAGGAAATTCGTTGATGCTATTGTCCTCATCATCGACAAACTGTTTAAAGAAAGTGTACAGAGAGACCAAGACACTGTGTACCAGATCCATTTTGCCCCACATGATGTAATGCATAAGATGATCTGGATGGTAAAAGGGCAAAGGGCCGTTCATTTCATAAGAAATGTCAAATATACTGGACATGGGCTCCACCTGACTATCTCCATGCACTCGAACAGCTAAAGCCGCAAGTCAGTAGAGAGACAACACAGTACCTATTCACTTCATTACCTTTGGATATCGTATCATCGTCAATCAGCCATTTCAAATAACATCTAAGCTGGTTTCCTGCTGCCACTGTCAATACACCGCAATCAACCCAAGCCAGCGCAGTGATATCCTCCGGGCTATTCCAACAAGTAAGCAACACTCTTTCATATCTACAACAAAGTCTACTCACGTACCCACCTTGAATGTAGTATACCAAGCCCAGATATCATCATTGTTTGCATTGTTCGATGCTCTCTTTTGCCCAAAGATACCGACACTCTTGGGAAATGCAATAGCTAGGATAAGCTGAGCATCTGAAGCAACATTCCAAGCAATATCACGCACAGGCTCATCAAACTCAAATGTCTTGACACAGCTGGGTGCTACGCCTGATCGTATTTCGATCCAAATAGACAAGGTTTTGTGATCTTGACCAGTCACCAATGCCACTGTGCCTGGCGCACACTTGATTTGATGTATACGACTACTGCTGGAAGTATCCATGCTGAACAAAGCATTCCATTCAATGTTGGTTGCGTCGGTGTTGATGCCATAAAAAATGATCTCTGGTCCCAATGATACGATCAATACAGGCTTCTTCTGTAACGCCATTTTGTGGAATAGTTTCGAAGCCGTGTTGGTTGCCCATTGACTGGCTGATCCCACTACATTGGGATCCACTGTCCAAGGCATAGTCTGTGTACCTCGAAATGCGATATCCATGTGTTGCAGATGGTTGCGGGTCAAATGCCAGGTACTGATTTGTCTCAGTGTGGTGGATACACCTATCAGCAAAAATGATTTCTCTCCTGAATCTGCTTCCTCCATATTGTATACATGTAATGATGATAGATCCAAAGCAGCTTCCGTCTCGCATGTGATGAAATGGTATAAATGGCAATTTTGTTTATCAAACTCGTACAGCTTGACGTGATGTCCATCATACACTGCTAAAAATTTAATCTAATGTTGATTTTTTTTTAGTGCTCTTCTCCTTGGTTATAACAGAGATGATCTCTACCTTTATCCACAGGTACAGCCAAGAGTTGCTTGGATTCAACAAACAATGAACAGCCCAGTTGCAACTGAGTCGTCATTTTGCCACATGTCTAACGCATGTTGTGAGTAGCACTCTCAGGGCAATACTTCATCAGTTAATAAAATACCTCTCTCAGCTCATATTTCCACACATTGATCTGTCCATCGACACCCACTGTGCAAAATCGGTTCTTTTGTGTTTGATACAGTTTTGAGATGGAGTGCTGATGGCCCAACCATGTGTATTTCAAGTGCAGTCTGGATGAAAATGAAGTTGAATCGAGGAAATCAATCAAATTGAGACTGTAACAGCGCACTTGTCCGTGCAGATTTCTGGCCACCAACGACAACTCGATGGGTTTGATTGTGGCTGTATATCTTTCAGTATGACGGCACGCCCAAACAAGCTCTTTCAACTTACATGCTGACTGAATATGTGAATAATCATGCAAAATGTGTGTCGGATTTAAGAAGTAGATAACATCCAACGGATCAATGGCCTTGTCCACACGCAGCACTACAAACACTCTTGGAATTCGACGAGGCACTGAATTCAGATGCTGCACACCCCAAAATGTAAGTGATCCATCTGCCTGTATACGAAACAGCAAGTCATGGGTATCTCGCACTCTGTCTCGGATGCGGTCCACGCGTTGATCAAAGCGCTCGTGTTTGGAATGGGACCTGAATCTGGCGTGAACGGCACTGGCTAGTTCATCACAACCGATATAATGAATAGGTGAAAAATCGTCCTGCTCCTCCTCCTCCTCCTCTTCTTCTTCTTCTTCTTCTCCTTGAGCGCTATGGTGGTGGTGATTGTCCTCTTCTACTTTGCTGGTGACCAAAGACTGATTGGAATCAATCACTGCACACATGTACAAGAAATGAGGTTGCTGTACATCAGTAGGACTCCAAAATCGACCAATGCCATCGCGTGCCATGTTGAATAAGGTGCAATCGTTTTCTCGGTCATTGCTGCCTGGTAATCGTCTCCAAACAAAGTGCGTGACATATTTAGGGTGCGAAATGAGCGTGAAATTGTAGTCCACTGTTCTTGTTGCTGCAGACGCATCGTGATCATCCTCGGTGGGATACCATATGGTCACTATGCGATCATACTAGGGATAGAAGGATGGATGAGATTGTCTGGGTGTGTATGTTTGCAGTGTATGCCTACAAACCTTGCCCAATGTCGCAAATACGTTGGATTTTGGCTCAAATTTAGCCAGTATCACATCCGAAGCTGGTAGTTTGCTGCACATGGTTTTCCATTCGGAATCGCTATCGTCGTATTTCCATAGTTTGATCTCTTTTCCTGCACTCAGCAATATGTCTACATTTATATCCCAGTGTGAATAAGTCCCACATACATCTTCTGCCTATAGCGCTGTACAGCAAACTCACCATGCATGCTCCAATCAAGACAGGTTATAGCTACTGAAGTATCCAATACAATCTCTAATTCCCAGCCTATCTGGTTTTGTCGTTGATAGGGCCTCAACACTGCTATTTGAGTACGATACGCTATAGCAATCTAATAACATACGTGTGTCTGTGTGAGATGATTTGTTATATCCACTCCAACCCCCCCCCCCCGTATTATGGATACTAAGGACTAAAAAGTGGAAATACCAGTATGCTACTTGCCCGTATATGAAGTAGATACGTGTATATGGATGTAGAGCATCAGATAAGAGTCAGATCCACAGATATTATAAAGGGTTTTCATGTGTAAGTAGAGGGTCAGCTTGAACGTAGTAGTATTATGATAAGATACACAAGGGTAACCGGTAGCTCGAGCTGTCGCTGTGCAGGTTGGTTCTCTACCTTCGCTACGCTTCGGTGAGAACCATACGAAGCATAAACACTCATATGATTAGTGATTATATATCAATCAACAATCAGGGTTCTTCTTCTAACATTTTAGCTATATTAATATTGGGATATTAGCCAAAGGCCCGCGGCAGCGCGAGCCGTTTGAACGTAGGTTGGTTTCCACCGAAGCGAAGCGTAGGTCAGGAAACCACCCGAAGTGCTGAAAGGCTCGTATACTATAATAAAAGTCTTCATTTTCAAGGTGAAAAACACGATCGTTTGATTTTCGAAGAAAACCATGAGGTACTTTTTTTTTTAAAATTGTTTTTATTGATTGCTCCGTGTAAGTAGGTCCCTAGGGCACTACCAAGAGGCGGGCGCAATTGATATGATATTCAATTATATTTAGGATAAAGCGATAGATGACAGGAACAGATGATAGATGACAATTGTGATCAGAGAATTACAATTGCTTGTGAATTTCAGTTTGGGCATGTAGTTGAAGGAGCTCGTTCTTGATCTTCCATGAGGTACCCCTCATGCTTTTTGGTCAATTTTTGGTCATGTTTTTTGGGTCTTCAAAAAGTTGGGCAAATGTGTCAGGAAGTTACTACTACTCAAGTGCAATTGCTTGGCGTTATTCCGGTGGCTCAGAAAGGTCTACATGTCAAGATATGAAGGCTTGAAAGCTGTTAAATTTGGTTATGTATTGCTTTACAGAGTTTATTTACACGGCATAAATCACATCTTTGGTAGCTGCAGTTTACTGGAAATGCAGTTCTGTAGCTTGTATATATAATGATAGTTGCTTTAAAGGGATTATGAATCGTCAAGGGCTACCACTTTACAAAAAGATGAAAAGTGCTTAAAAATATATAGGAGCAATGTGTGATAGTTTATGATTGGGCAGCTCATGCTTTATTTACAAAGAAATTACTATTAACTATTTCTGATTTGGACAATGCGAATGATTAAGAATGGTGTATAAATAACGGTTTGATAATAAATATTTAAGCAAATGAAGAGGAACCAGTTCCACGATGAGCCATATTCTTATCGCGCTCTTCTTTCACTTCTGAAAGAAGATCCTCTTTCTTGAGAGCAATACGGTCAGACAAAAAGTGGTTTGCATCACGATGGACAGCCTCATCAGCTCTAACAGCGAGAACAGTGTCTCTCACTGTGGCATTAGGATGTAAATTGTAGTAATCGATGGCTACTTGAGGTGCAGGACCATTGGGGATCTTTCCAGCGTCAATATCTTCGAGAAAATGTGTGTAGGAAATGACAGCTTCCTCCTCGAGATAACCACACATACGATGGGCAGTCTTGGGACTGAAGAGATACAATGTAAAGTAGGCATTAAAGAATACACCTTGGACACCTAATACCAACAAACGTTGGAAAGAGGAAGGCTTGAGACACTCCAACCAAAGGAACAAGTGAAAACGCTCATTTTCAGCTTCATGAAGCAAATGAGAGATCCAACCATTGTCATCCTTCAAGCTACGAAGAGACTTCATATGTCTGAGCATGGCACCTACCATTCCAGGAACAGCGGCCACACTTTGCAGAAAAAACGGGTTAGTAAAGGAGCAAATCTACCGAGAAAATCATTAAAAACTTACGTTTCTAGCATTACAGAACGCATGTAGTGATTGTTGCCAAAATATGTGTCAGGCAAAGTACGCAGGGCCTTGACGAGGTAATAGGCAGCCTTATCGCCCATTGTACGAGGCTTGAAGTGCTTTCCTTTACCAAAATCAATCTGTTCAAGACTTTCAGTGGTGAGCTTTTGACCCTCGAGGAATTCTTCACGCATTGGAATAGGTCTTGACTCAATCACCTCACGAAAGACATCTTTAGGCATGGAGCCAATTACATCGGACATTTTCTCGTTTCTGCTTGCTTGACGATGGACCATGGATGTCGAGATTGATCTACGGGCAATGGAAATAGCAGCAGCAGGTAATACATTGCGAGACATGACCAAAGGAGATGCAGCAGTCTTTAAGAATTGATGAGTCGTAACTGATCTAAGCATTTTGTTTGATTGATAAATAAAGAGTAGGGTTTGATATGAATAGAGAGAAGAGATGGAGACTGAGACAGACTGATTCACTTGTTTATATATATATATATATATGCCGTTTTCGAAATTTAGAACATTCAGGGAAGCCATCTCTCCGAAATTTTAATTTTATGCGGAGTGATGCCCGAAATTTCTCGATGATTCCCTTTTCGAAACCTGGATCTTTTTCTCTCATGGCTACTCATTATGAAACCTTGGCAGGTCATATGTAAAAGGTTGCCATTCATATATTAGAAAGAGTCTAAATACGAAAAGATTCAAAGAAAAATTGCATTACTTTTTGTCGAAATCAACATAAATGAATAGGAACTACTCGGACGAAAATGGCCTCCATTATGACTCTTACCTGGATTCAGGTTTTGGGTCAGCCAATCACAAGACTCTGATTTACTCCAACGAATTCGTTCATAGTCGTTTCCTTAGATAGCATCGCTCCCAGAATAGCCCACATCCAATTGAGCCTATCTTACTAATACTTGTGATTTACTCCACACCTTTCTTGATGTCTTTTTTAATCTAGAGCCGGCAGTATAACTTTAATCCATCTTTTACAAATTTGTAAATATGATGGCATTTTAGTTGATTGAAAGTGACGCTAGGATATTGTATAGGCTGGGGTGTCTCCAGAATGGATAGTATACTAAACGATACTTACACAAAGACTGGAATTGATTGCTGATCTGATAGACAAATTTAAGTACGTAAATCCCAATAGGCTGCAATGATGAGCCACCCATGTGCAATCAATCAATGTAGTATTCAACACCTTGAAATGTCGCAGGTCATGTTTTTTTGAATCAATGAGATTGCAGCAAAAACGTCTCAATTAAGGTTAAGCTTAGCATTTGTTTGTGATTACATGTCCAAACGTCACCAGCGCCAAAAATAAGTACACCGGATTAAATTTTAGGAAAACATTTCATATGCCATTATGAACATGAAGTGACCACATCAAGTCTTTGCCTCAATTGATGGCATTATGATTTTGTTGTAGACTTGAATTCGTTCACTTGCCAAGATCAGTTTCAATGTTCAAGACGAACCAACTACCATAGATCATTTGCAGTTCTATGGTCGCTTATATATTCCCGAGTGTCAACCTTAGAGAAATGTTTCAACTGTGATATCTTTGATTTGATAATCACACCTGTTTCTGAAAATCACAATTATGGATGGCAACAATATATGTGGCAGACATCACGCTTTCAATGTGCCATGTCATTTGCAGGTATCGTAGCAACTATTTGTCATAAGTTGAGGCGATGCTCGAAACTGTAGCATAGTATCATTATCATATGTATACACGAGTGCAGGTTCTGATGTTCATATGATAGTGCACATTAAAACAATTTCAGTATCGTTAGGAACTCACATGCCAGATATCTCTCTTATCGAATTTCTAATCCTTGAGTATCAAGCAGCACTGTGTAAAAACAAACAAAATCAAGATTGGTGCTGTCTCAAATTTGCAGCTATACTTATCACAGGTAATCAAAAAAAAAGTCTCACATAAACACATTTAAAGCATGGTCGTCCTTTGGATTTGGGCTTTGGGTCATCTCAGGAACAGAGTAGTACATTCGGTTAACGAGATACATTTTTTCATATACAAATGGCACACGTTACTCTTCTAGACTATTTTATAAGAGATTGAGATGTGTGTCGCTGGGCCAACACAAGATTTTACAGACACGCAAGGCGTCGATTTTGATTATTATGGGCGATTCTTCAAAATGAGAAAACAGTTTCAGCTGCTTGTATTCAGCTTTTGTCAGCTTTTGTCAGCTTTTCATACTTTTCATCAACTGCATAATCATAACCATAGCGATAGCGATAAGTTTTGCCCAAGCCAGCCTGAATCTTCAATACGCAACCTGTGGCAATGTCAAATAAGTGAAGGGTCTCAACGACAGTATTTGGCATATCAAATCCACGTCTCCGGGTTAGGATATAGTCTCTATAAAGAATCATTTTATCTACCATCAGAAAAGTGTGGGACATTGAGCACTCATATACGAGCAAATCATCCATAAACAATTCGTCGCCTTCTGGGAAGTCGTCGGATGATGACAGACTTAGATGGCACAGCTCCAGTTCTTTGAGACTTCTGCAATGATTGAGGATGTAGTCGGCGCAACCACCAAGAATTTCGTTATCTTCTCGGTCGTTTTCAACGCCAAGGCTGTTTAGTACGACGCTTAACGGCTGTACTTTCCTGGCGATGACCTTGAATAAATGCAGGCAAAAGGCTGTTGTCACTTGTTTAACATTCGCTAGCATGCTCGTTGTCGAAATAAAAAGAGCCATGATGTTCGCTATCTTTAGATGAATCAAGCATCACGCCAAATTGGTCCACATGAAAGTAATTGATTGCATTCTCGAGCAATGCAAACATCAAGTCAGTCGATATGACCAGTTTTCCGATGTTGATCTTTGTTTGTATATATATATATATATATATATATATATATATATATATAACTTATCCAACTGAGGCAGAATGTGCTTGATCAGTCAAATGTCCTTTAACGAGAATGAATGGGCCTGTAAATCAGCTACTTTTACTTGGGGTAGGGTGCGAATACCAGTACAGGAATTTCTCTCGGTAATGTCTTGATCTTCAACAGAAAGCAGTGGTTTCACCACAATCTTCTGATATGGGTGGCTATTATCTAATACTGTGCTCATTTGATGAATTGTAATTTCAGTTATTGAGACAAGTTTTACTTGATTTAAACGGCCAAATAGCGAGAGATGTTCAGTCAGAGCAAAAGTAGAGGATTGATCAGAGGAGTAGTTACAGAGAGACAGTTCTGTAATAAATTCTTTTGATGCGAGCATCAATTGGACGTAATCTGCATTGACAGCTTCAGCATTGAGGCAAAGTAACAGTGCATCGACTTGCTCCAGGTGCTGTAAATGGCCTTAATGGCGCAGAGTCAATAGCTCGGGATAGTAGTTGTATCTAGTCCCGGCGGTTGATTGTTTAATAGACCTTAGGTTGGGGCAGTAGCTCACAATGGACGACAGATTCGTGTTGGCAGATAATGCAGTAGTACTAAACTCGAAATGTTTGATGTTGCAATGCCCTCTTCAAAGAGCCTGCTATACGAGCATGTTTGAATACGTTGATTGATTTGTAGAATATCTCTTTAGCGACTGGAGCCCATTCTTTACAAGGCAATTGTAGCTGTAGTAATGTCTTTTTGTCTATTTTCAGCAATGTAAATATTTGATGCAAAACTTCTTTGGGCAGTTTGGCACACGATAACGTCATTTGAATGAGTTTGAGCGCTGATAATGATAAAAGGAATGATTGAACAAGGTCACCGGTCTCCTTGAGTATAACAGTGGCATTTGATCCAGGAACTCAGACATTGCTTGTAAGCTCGATGCTTAAAGTGGCCATGTCTAATGGCGTCAATACAGATGATGAGTTTACGTTATTCGTTTCGGATAATGTGCGCTATTATTTTTCATGTCTTTTGAAAGCTCATCCATCAGGTTTATCAGGCACATGCGAATCCATGTCAATAGACACCCATCAAACACTCTCAATCATGGCATCCAGCAAAGATTTTCATTGGTGCCTGAAAATCTGAAGGACCTAGAACGTCCGTAAAAAAAAAAAAAAAAAAAAAAAAAAAACCTGAAATGGCGATGCTCAGCAGAAAAGAGTCTCTTCTCTTTATCCTTTTGCTAAACTGTTTATTGATAGATGAGCTAGATAAACGGCTATATGAGAGGCCCTTGTATCTTGCATTTATGCCAAATGCTGTCTGAAGATGTTTATAGCTGCTCTTCAGAACAATTTACAGCCTGGAAGGGGATTCAAATCCTAAATGGGCGTTCAGCATCACACATTTTGTGTAGCAAAGCAATGAGGGAGATTATAATTGCCATGAAATTACCTTTTTTCCCTTCTTTTTCTTTTAAATATTCTATTTTTATACTGCTATACCTGTTTTTTTTCTTTCAACGCTATATTCAACAATTGAGATGGGTCAAGCGAGGAGCAAAGAACGTCAAGAGAACAACATACTATCCAAGAAGACGCACTGTAAGTTGGTTTTGAGCTTATTGAACCCCTGATAACAAACAACCATGAGCAGTTACGAAAAAAGAGATTCATGATCTCCGACACAAGGTGGACGCTACCATCCATGCGAACAATGCCAACATAACACAGCAGGTATTCAAAGAGGTAGGCATCTATTGTGTTCCGGGTGAAAGCATGATATTGATTGTGTGCTCTGTTGAATAGACTGTAAAGAAATACGTCCCATCAGTGTCTTCCAATGATGATGCCTTTCTCGAGCAACTATATTCAGCGTTCGATGTGGATGATAATAAGGCGATTGATTTCAGCGAATTTGTTGACGGTCTTAGCGTGTTCATGAAGGGCAGTCCAGATGAAAAGTTAACATGTAATGTATTCATATTAAGTGTGTGTGGGAAAATCAGCGGTTTTAAACGCATGTTTCAATGCAGTGTCGTTCAAATTATACGATGTCAACAAGGATGGCTACTTGACAAATACAGAGCTTGAAAGAGTTATGTTGAAATTGGTAAAAAAAAAAATAGTAGTCAAAAGGGAAAAAAAAAAAGAGGCACCCGAATGCTAAATCAAATTTGTCACAGTCGGGCACCTTTTCAAAGGAAAATCGAACTACCGAGATCAAGGAAATGATTGAGCACATGTTTAGGGATTTTGATGTCGACAACGATGGGCGATTGGTAGTGTGAAATGGTATATTCTGTCATGTACAACAGCTATACTAACAGCGTCCAAAACAGTCTTTTGAAGAATACAAATTATCCGCCATGAAAGAGCCACTGATTGTCGATTTTTTGGAACAGTTTTTGGCTGAACATCACATATCCAACTTCCCTCGAGCTCCCTCTCGTGCAGCATCAATCCGATCTTACATTTCAAATACAAACAATGGCAATCGATCACCCTCCTCTGCATCTAAATTGTCCGTCCGACTATCACAAGCCGAATTGCTGGAATACAGTCATCACCAGCAACAACATCGATTGAGTAATAATAGCAGTGTTGCAGCACCTGCAAGCCCTACAGAGAGGAAGCAATTGAGTCGCCCAACAAGCATGACAAGTTTGGATGCTGCATTAACCTCAATGGAAATCGGCGATGCTGCTGCAAAAAAACAGCAGCCTGCAACACTGTCAAGCATAGCAACCACAGCAACAACATTATCAAACAAGAAGCAATCGTAACCATATAATACAATTTATAATAATAATCACAGTAATTAAAATTGAAACGTCCGTGCTCTGGAAAGAGATAAAAAGTGTGCCTGAATTCTGCGTTATATCCAGAGGATCTAAGCTGAGATTTGCGTGTTCTTGGATAAACACAGTTTTGATGGCTAAATCTTGTCAAATTTCATATTCCATTGGCTGTATGCTCTTCGATCCATCTTTGACAAGGGCAGTCGATATTTAAGATTCAAATCAGTAGTAATGACAACTGACCGCATCATAAATCCACCTTGCAAATCGAAGGAAGATTTGCATTAGGCTGTACAATTTGCAATAATTACCTGTCATATATACAAAAGTTGTAATATAAAGGAGTTAAACTAGGCTATAGCACATTTCAGTTGACAATCTGCTTCTTATTAGCTTTAGAAAGCATCATTCACTTTTACGATGAGAAAGGCACACACATCTCGCCAACAGCTGCCAAACTTGGTTGAATCTCCGATGCACTTTTTGGTTCAGATTGGACAGATTCTAATTAAAATCGACTCCATTGATCTATTTTATGGGATTCGACTATGTAAGTTGTTCAAACTGCCTTATATTCCCTTAAGCTTTCTAAGAGTACTTTTCAAGGCGCATCCAATGGTGTCAGTAGACATAGAGGTTTTGAACAAACTTATTGAGCAACTTATGAAAATATGAAAAAAGGTTTCTGGTCAAAACGTCGATATTTTACATATCAAATTCTCATAAAAGATGTTTCAGGAGGTACTACAGATCGAGAGAAACATTTTGATTCAATATATACTATAGGAAAAGTCTTCATTTTTGAGGTAAAAAAACGCGATCGTTTGATTTTCAATGGAAACCATGAGGGGGTACCTCATGCTTTTTGGTCGGTTTTTGACGATGTTTTTTTTTGGTCCCAAAAAAGTTGAGCAAAGGTGTCAGAAAGTAAGTGCTGGATGAGAGCAATTGTTTGGTGCTATTCTGGCAGTGTAAAACGGCTTCTAGCAAGAGAAAATACGGCTCAATGCAGCCAGATTTTGCTGTATGAAGTGCACTCTTGACTAGAAAGTCTAGTGTTCATTATCGATATCTGTGGTCAAACTAGGGGCACATCTATAGCATACACACAGAAGAGCTTGCCCATGCTGACTGTTTGCAGCTGAATCAATACCAAGAAGTCTAGTGTGTATAGCGCAAGTTTTGTAAGACTCGAAGAATTATGAACAAAGCCAAAGCTTCATGGCTTGGGGTCGGTTCGTTTGGAGGAGTTCTTCTTGGATTCATTGTTTGGGGGGGGGTATTGAGTATGGTGTCGTAATGTCAATGCACTTCTGAGGCTAGAGTCTTCTCTTGCATTCAGCCCATTGAGAGGCTACGCAACGGGCAGCTTGTATGTTATTGGAAATGGACGTTCGATATTTCGATTTAACATCAATGCGCAGATGAAAGGCTCGTAAAAGCGCTCACTTGATTATCAAATCCTTGCTGACACATCCATCTGGCAACGCCAAAAGGTATTTCAAAGGTGGCTTGTGAAACGCTGAAAGATGGTTGTCATGAAACATTTTCTTTTTCCACTCTTTCCATACTAAAAGCTGCATAGATTAACATTTCTTGTAAGATAAATGGACATTGTCAAGGTGATATTGCAATACGTAGGCATGTGGCTAGTAATACATGCTGCATTTCACATGACGCAAAAGCTGTGCACGGTAATCTGGATGATGGAACGATAAAAGGAGGTCATTGCTGACTCATCCAGGGTTTATAGAAATCAAGCAACAGTACAAATTACGCTGCTCCTCCTTTACACCGGTTTCATTCAAGGCCATTCAACATCAGTTGGAGCACATCCGTCTTCAACAACGATTTCGTCCGTGTTACACATACATTTGCACCAAATTTTTGGCATGCTTGGTTTCAATTAGGCACCTGTGTCACTCTGTGTACCATGCTTGTAGGCACCTGTATCGTGATTCGATCCGGCTGTGAGATACTCTCCATCATGTATGCTCACAGCCATTTGATCAAGAGCTGGGTACATTTAGAGAAACGAAACTTTCGCTTGTTATTGCATAACGAGCACAGTACATTACTTCCTATGATACCTGGACTGACATTACCCATCAACCATCTTCACTATTATTTTGTCGCTCTGCTTGTAGGAGCGATGGTTCATGAGCTGGGCCATGGGCTATGTGCTGGTGTGCATAATCTCCGTCTCTGTCATGCTGGTCTCTTCTTTAGTTACATCTATCCTGGCGCATTTATATCTATTGCAGAAGCTGATTTGGGCATGCTAGACGTGTGGCAGAAACTACAGATAGTTTGTGCTGGTAATTGGCATAATGTGGTCTTGTTTGGAATTTGCAAGATGCTGAACAGGGTGGCCATTCGATGGATTTGGTGCCATTTGGGGTGGCAAATGTTATCAGATGGAGTCAGTGTGGTGAACATTCATGCAAGCTCGCCACTGGCTGCACATCTCAAGCCTGGAGCACGCATATTTCAATTGGATGATGTCCATCTTCTACATGGCACAGATGACTGGAGATCGTTCTGGAACCGAGATTTTGCCACTACACCCGCGCAAGGATTCTGCGCCCTGATGGGTGCTACAACATCCAGTGATACATCTTGCTGTACATTTGCCAGCGATCTGCCTTTTGGAAACTCCTCGGATACCACGATATCCTGCTTTCAGAATGTATCTCTGGGCGATATAGAAGTGATACAAGGAGAATGTTTGAATACATTGCAAACATTAGCCTCTTACACGACTATGCGCTGCCAGTTGGATGGGGATTGCTTGGGTAACAATACTTGTGTCATACCTGTTACACCATCCATGTACGGCCAGCGAGTGCGCATCTATACCGAAAATGACGGCCAGGAGCTCATTACATCCATCTATGAAGGCGCGCTGAGAGATGTGCTAGACAGTGGTAAATGCTGTATCCATGTATTTTGGTTTGTTTGTTTATATAACATGTTATGTTACATAGTTCAAGTGAGCAATTTGTACCCCAAATACCCACATTTGCCCAAACAATTACCACATCAGTTCAATTTGCTTACCAGGTAGGCGTAGAAGGCCTTGTTTATGTTATGCTACACATATTTAACACACAACAGCTATACGGCTACATTTTCATTGGCATTGGCCTTGATGAATAGTGTGCCTGCATTCAATTTGGATGGTGCATCCATTCTAAGGAAGCTACTATTCAACACCCAGAAGAAGCTGTTCACTATGATCACCAAGATTATGTCTGGCTTGGTGCTGTTTGTCGTCATTGGCAGCGTATTTGTCCTCCTTTTGCAGGATCTCTAGTACCTGACTACACCCCCTATTTTAGTTGCTTGCGCATTGCTTTCACCACGCTCCAGTCACATCAAGCTTATTTGGGTGATGTGGAAACTCCTTTAAAGCGGTTCTAAATGAATTGTATATTCCCTTCTCTCTTGTTCCCTTACTAAATACCAAAATGAATATATTTCGACTCGTAGCGGATTTGATGCATTTGGCATCCATCTTTATATTGTTGCTAAAGATCAGAAAGACAAAATCGTGTGTTGGTAAGTGCAGTTTTTGTGTGGATTTAGCCGTCATTAGGAGGCGAGGTTGGTATTAACGATGGCAACAAGGCATCTCATTCAAGACGCAATTGCTGTATTCTATTGTCTTTTTGACCCGTTATTTGGACCTGGTGGTCAAGAGAGTGTCTGTCTACAACACAGTGATGAAGATATTCTTCATCGCGTCGTCCATCTACATTCTGTACCTGATGCGTTTCAAATACAAGGCGACGTACGATGCTGGATTAGATACTTTTAGAATAGAATACCTGTTGGTTGGTGCTGCTGTGTTGGGTGTATTGTCCGCCTATGTGTATACAGTGATTGAGATACTTTGGAGCTTTTCGATCTGGCTAGAGTCTGTGGCTATTTTACCACAACTGTTCATGCTGCAGCGAACTGGAGAGGCAGAGACCATCACCACTCACTACTTGTTTGCACTCGGTGCGTATAGAGGGCTTTATTTGCTGAATTGGGTATATCGATACGTTGATGAGGGACACACAGACTGGATTGCCACTGTTGCGGGATTGATCCAGACAGCGTTGTACAGCGACTTTTTCTACATTTACTACATGAAGGTGATCAAGGAGGGCCAAAAGTTCGAACTACCAAAGTAAGTATGTGTGTGTGTGTGTGTGTGTGTGTGTGTGTGTGTGTGTGTGATAGGAAAGAGAAATGTGTATTTATTGGCAGTGTCTCATATCTATGTTTCTCTTTTTTTTTTTTTTTTTTTTTTTTTTTTTTTTTTTTTGCATGATTACCCTACAGAATGGTCTAATCTATGAAAATTATTATCCGAGTAAATAACATTTCTTCTCTTTTGATCTTTTTGAAATAAAAATGCCTGACAGTGTACATCCATTTTCCACCCAACCTGCCTTATCACAAGACTATCAGAATTTGATTCTTGATTTAAGCCAGCAGGTCAAAGCAAAGAACCCAGAGGACTTGCTTCAGTTCTGCTTTGATTTCTTTCTGGACAAGTTGATGCAAGAGAGATCTCACAATAGATCACATCAGCGACAGACACAAAGCACATCCCACGTAGGCGGCATTGGCCCTTATTCCACTGAACAGGAATCACACGCAATCCCGCCTCATCCTACCATTCACGAAGAAGACGAGGACGAAGACATGGTCTCTGATCATTTGCCAAACTTCCAAAAAACCTCCAATTTCAGAAATCGTCGAGTATCTGTCAGTGCCGAATCATTGCAACCTTCGCAGAAATTGCAAAAGAAAAAGATTGCAAAGTCGCAGCAGGAAATCGACATGATTACCAACTCTTTGAAATGCCATTTCCTGTACAAGACATTGGAGCAAGATCAGCGTCAAGATGTCATTGACTGCATGGAGGAAAAGCAATTTCGTCAAGGTGATGTTGTGATTGAACAAGGTGCAGTCGGCGACTTTTTCTACATTGTGTCCAGTGGTACATTGGATTGCTTTGTGGATGGCAAATTGGTCACTACATACGAGCGTGGTGGTAATTTTGGTGAGTTGGCGCTAATGTACAATGCGCCTCGTGCTGCTACTATCAGAGCGACATCAAATGTCGTCTTGTGGGCGCTGGATCGTGTCTCCTTCCGTTCCATCTTGATGGATCACAACTCCAAGAAGCGTAACATGCACGAAGAGTTCTTGAAGGGCGTGCCTTTATTTCGGTCGTTGGAGCTGGCTGAAATACACAAAATTGCAGATGCACTGGAGCCTGTCAGCTTTCGTGACAATGACATTGTGCTCAGGCAAGGCGATGTGGGCGAGGATTTCTTTCTAATTGAACGTGGCATTGCCCTCTTTTACAAGACGGATGAAAAGGGTCGACAGCTGTTGGTCAATGAAATGAAGCAAGGCGATTACTTTGGAGGTAAGTGCTGCAGCATTCGCTTTATATATACATCTAAACGTTTTCTTGATCAGAACTTGCTTTGCTAACAGACAAGCCAAGAGCTGCTACTGTTGTCGCTAAAGGAGATTTGAAATGCGTCACCTTGGGCAAAGCAGCCTTCACTCGTTTATTAGGTCCTGTCATGGACATTTTAAAACGCAATTCAGTTAATTACCATGCCATCCTTCAAGAAGCCAGATCTTAAAGCATGCTCAAGCAATAATAAATTATTTCTCTTGTAATTTCTGTTTCTTTCTTGCTAGGTAGCGATCTCTTGCGCTCATGGCTGCATCTTCTGTTGTTCGTTTTGCAGTGGCCTTCTCCTCAAACTCCTTTTGCTTTCGTTCTTCTTCTTGCTTTTCTCGTTGTTTAGCCTCCATCATTTGTCTTTCCACTTCCTTGCTGAGTCGTTCCCGTTCATCGCTGCTCTTGCCTTGCTTGCGTCTGGATTCGTATTCCTCCACCTTCTTTCGTTTGTATTCTTCATATTCGTTCATTCTCTCTTTGATGCGATCGTCTGATGCAGCCAAGGAACCCAGCGTGCCAAACTTTGGCTTGATATTCAGGCCAGCACCAAGAAGTTGTCTTTTATCCACAATCTCGTTATTGTCATTGACCATGACATCCTTTCCTTCTTTGCTCGCTTTTTCTGCCAACTTCAAATCATCCTCCTTATCGGCTGTCGTTGATTGTGATACGGATGTTCTATTCTTGCTTTTATCTGCTACAGCCTTCATTAAGGCTTGGTGCTCTGCCTCTTTTCTCTCCAGCACTTGTTTGTAAAACTGATCCATGCCTCTTGTCTTGTCTGCCATTGCTTCGCGCTCCTTTTCTTCTCGTTCAATGCGCTCCAGTTCCTCTTTTTGCTTCTTGAATGCCTCAGTGACATAGACATCTTTATCAGCAAATTCATCGCCCTCTGCTTCTCTTTCTCTGGCCACTTTCTTTTCCTCTGCAAGCACACGGTCTCGCTTTCTAATCTCTGCCATCTCTAATAGTCCAGTGATGTATTTGGCCTTCTTGGACGAGGGTTTAACAGCTTCCTTTTTCTTGTTCTCTGCTTCCTTGAGGTCGTCATACACTGCGTCGTAATCAAAAATGTTGGGATCTTCTTCTAATGCTTTGGCTTGCTGTTCAGCAATCTTTTTGGTCATTGTGTTGTAACTGGAAAGCTGTCGATTGACTTGGGCTTTTGCTTTTTGCGCTTTTTTGCTTTGATCCTGCACTTCCTGTTCTTCCTCTTCGTCATCGTCGCTGGCATCACCAAATGCGTTTGCGCGACGAAGCATGGGGTTTGTGCCGGTGGCTTTCTTTTTCTGAAGATTTAAGCCAAATTTCATGCTTTGCATTGTTGTTGTGTGTTGCGTAAAAAAAAAAAAAAAACAAAAGTGAAAGAGAGAGAGACTGCAATAATTGTAGATACTCGCCGAACAAAACAGAAAATCAAATCCGGTAGTAGAGTATACGTTGTGGAGGCCAGAATGTACCAAAAGTGGTGAAAATTTTTTTTACCTTCAATTCTGTTTCTCTTTTTCCACAACAAAATTATTTGAAAGCTTTGGACTTTTTCTCATTCTTGCAGCAAAGAACAAGAAAAAGATTAAAAAAGAAAGAAAATCATTGTTATATCATAAGTAAAATGGCCCACGCTAATGTTTGGAATTCCCACCCCAAGAGCTTCGGTAAAGGCTCTCGTCAATGGTAAGCTTCATTGCGGTGACAGACTGAAAAAAAGTAAAAAAAAAAAAAAAAAGAAAAAAAAAAAACTGACTTGATTGATAGTCGTGTCTGCGCTCATCGTGCTGGTTTGATCCGCAAGTACAACTTGAATGTCTGTCGTCAATGTTTCCGTGAATATGCCAATGACATTGGTTTCCACAAGGTAAAATATGGCACAGCCCACATGTTGACATGTCGTAACTAATTACAATGCAGTACCGTTAAATGTCGACTCTCTGTCAAAAAGAGACCCATTTTGTCTACACTGATAATACTACAATAAAGATTTCTTTTTTGGAACAACAGCTCTCCATATTCTTTGCGTTACCTGATTTAAATTGGTATATATTTTCGTTGTTACATTGCAATTTCTTTTGTTTTTTCCCTCCTATTTTTCATCTTACAGCCAACTTTTTTTTTTTTTAACTATTTTGCTGAGGAAGATACTCCTCTGTCCCTAACTCCCTTCCTTTCCTTTCACTTCATTTATTTCATTGTAATTAGAAACAAGAAAATGCAATTGAACACAACACACATCACCAAAAATCCAATTGTGTTGGTCTCGGTCATCATGTCAGTGGTAAATTTTTTTTTTTGAAAGTGCATTTTCAGGCACACGGGCCTTGACCAGCAATATATACAATTTATAGGTAGGCTGGCTTATCACTTTTATTGGCGCTTGTATCATAGGCAGAGCTGGTTTACTCTGGTGGATCGTCATTTACGAACTATTATTACTTGGAGGCATCTTTTTCAGTATCTTTAGACAGGTATTCCATCATTATCAAATCGTGGTAAGCACTTGATATTTTAGAGATGGAGCAGCAACGTGGATTTTAAGCACAGTGAGCAGTTTTTAGTGTTCTTGGGTATCAGCATCTCCATGTTAACTGGCGCTATTGATGGATTGATCCATTATACATCTGGCGGAAGCCAAGCAGCTGGTGCAGGTGCAGTTGTCTTGATTGTCATGCAGGTAATGACGCTTGGCCAACGTTTACAAGATCAAATGCTAACCATTTGAAAAAAAAGTTTTTCTGGGTCATCTTATGCGGCAGTACAGAAGATTCTTTAGTGTATCAGTTCATTTACTCGGGATTTGTTTCTCCTGTGTCACAAAATGTTGTAAATATAGGTATGCATGGTAATGGTAGTCCTAAAGAGAGCAAGGTAGCTCTCTCGTCACCTGAAGCAACAAGCTACCATACACATCAACAGCAGCCCTCCATTGCAAGCATTCATCAGCATCATCGACATCATCAATCACCCATCATGAACTCTCCTATCGTTGCCTCATCTCCCCCTGGTATGGTGCCACAACAAGCGCAAAAGCTAACTGCAACTGCACTACATCCTTGTAAGTCATCCCATATCATATGCAGGGTGTACGTGTTTTCTCATCTCCTTGTAATAATCATAGATACTGCAAATCCTGATGATCCAAATGAACTCAGTTTTCAAAAGGAGGAGGTTTTGGAAATCTTAAATAAGAGTGGCAATTGGTGGCAAGCAAAGAAGCAAGATGGTACTATTGGCATTGTACCTAGTAACTATGTAAGTTGTTTATGAGGCCAGGACAGTCATGCATGTTTGGTAAATTGAGCTTTTTTTCTGTCCATGTAGTTTGTTCAATGAGGTTCTACGTTTTTTTTTTCTTTTTCTTTTTTGCTTTGATCTGCTGACAATACACGTACAATATATGTATACTTGCGCAGGAAATAAATACTGTCACCAACAGCGAGGCTATGTCTGTTTCTTAAGAAAAGTACTAGCAAAGTATGGGATGGTTATCACAATGTACATGGTGGAATTTAGCTAATTGTAATTTGAAAATGAAAATATGTTCATTGCAGTTTTTCGTTCATTTAAAATTCAGTTATGATCCATCATTCAGACACATTTCAGTTACAAACTCATTGATTCTGTGGAGACAATCTTGAATCAAATCCTGATACATGATGCTTGTGCACACGAATTGTTTATTCAACACAAAATTTGATGGCTTCATTAGACTATTGTTTTATCGCCTCTAAAAATTAAACAAGAGTAAACGTAGAGCTCTACACTGGCGATGATCATCAACAGTCTGTCCCTACAACGATCATTTCACTATTGTCAATGCAGCTAAAACCACTTCACATGAACGTCATTAAAAGCAACTGTTTGTTTTTAAGTATTTTGTAGTCCGTACTTTAAGCATAGTTTGCATGTCAAAGGGTTACTGTATGTTTATAAAACTGAAAGCCAGATTCATTTTGAAAATACAATAAAGTCTGATTTAACGCAATTTTCTCTCGTATTTCAAAACTCAATTTGAATGACCCAAAATTGTTGATATGAGGTAAAAGATAGCAACCCATGAGATTACAACAAGTTGGAAATCAATAATAAGCGACGCTCGTTTGGTGGAGCATTTGTTGCTAGGTTGGCTTTGTACCTAGTGTACAGCTGTACTTATCATATAACTTTCGTCACAGATAGCTAGTGCTCATAGAAGCATCGAGTGCGAACGAGATTGAGCTGTTCGTTTAAGCGAGTAATATGGAAGATCATAATATATTTCGGCAAATGCAAGCGATCACGAGTCCAAAGTAGCAGACAACAAAACAAGATTCAAGAGAGCATTGCTTGATTTATGATAATGAAAATGAAATTCAAGCAAGTATTTAGAGCGAGCAAGCAAAAATTTGTTCAATTCAAATAAGATGCAAGCAAGACAGTTGTCAGTTCAGTCAAAAGTCTAGCAGGCAGCCGTGCGATTTTCAGTTTCAAAGCGAGTGCAAGCAAGCGCTCCTTCTGAAATAAACAAATTCATTGTCAAACAAGTTTAACTACTAGACTCGCTTGCTTGCTTGAATTCAACCCACTCAACTGCGATTCTTATTACACATTATAAATTTAATAAAAAAGATCTCTCATATAAAACTGTTCAATAGATGCTACATCGAATAATTGCACCTTCTTATCATACTTTTAAATAAGAAGGCTTTAAATTGTATCTATTTCGCTACCCTTTTATTACAAATATAAACTCATTATAGATGACAGCTCAATAGGAGATTAACTAGCTAGAATCCTTCGGTCCCTGAATATCTGAGCCAATCAAATCGCTTGAAAACTCCGCTGGCCTAAAAAAAAATTGCGAGAGTTTCCCCCTCTTTTGATGTGAGGCAAAATTTTAAGCGCCGCTATAATAGCATTATAGCCGCTGCTATCATCAAACTTCCCCCAGGTGCTAGAGCATGCCTTACTTGCACCACCTAGCTTTAAATTCCGGCATTGAGACCCTCAATCATCACTAAAGTAAGTAGTGATAATCAAGTAGAAGCAGCCTATCTACCTCCTAGCCTCGGATAGAGTCTTGTTGAGCTTCAGCGATAGGCACATCCACGCAACGTAAAAAAAAGGTATGCTTCAAAGAAACATAATCATTATAAAAGAAAGAAGAAAAGAACACACTACTATAGGAGTATAGTAGTATATGTAGGCAAAGAAAAAAAAGGATACTCACACGCAATGAGTCAAAGAAAAGTATAGCAAATACAACATCAGAGATGTTCAGAACAGCTCGTTGGTGTCGCAACAAAAAGGCATACATGAGCAACATGTATGGTAATAGTCGGATGTAAAGCAACACAACCAACAAAAGAAAAAGAAAAACGCAACAAAGCAAACATCATGAATGCATTATCATGAGAAAGGAAGCAATAATACAAGCGTTCAAAGAAGTTTTATATCATTGCAACCAGAAGAAAGAAGATACTTACCACCTACCATCACCGTAGATAGACCAGGGGATACGCAATCACCGGATATAGACCAGAGAACGAGCATGCATAAAAGACAGTAGACCAGGAAAGACCATATTGGCAGCAGCAGCAAGACCAGCACCAATGCCAGCACCATAGACAAATCAAAGAACGAGCGGCACCAAAGAAAGAGCATGCACCAAACACAGTAGGCCAGGAAAGGCCATATTAGCAGCAGCAGTAGTAGCAGCAACACCGGTATTATAGACAAACCAAAGTACGAAGAACGACACCAAAGACCAGACAAAGACCAAAGAAGCAACCGCAAGGCATGATAAACCAAAGACGCAGACAGCAGAGATAGCAGAATAGTAATGGCAGCAGCACCCACGTCAAACAGGCAAAAGAGTTATCAAAACCTAATAAACAAATTCGATTAGTGCTAATTCTACGCCTTCCAGTGTTCGTTATCGAATGGTACCTAATATATTCCACTTTAAGAGAGCATTATCAAGTTCTTCTAACAGTACAAGACAGAGTTATCGAAAGCTAGAGTGTTATTGTTAATCAAACGGTGTCTAAAACCACCATGGTTTGATACTAAAACGCGTTTTGCAAAAGGGGTAAAAAAAAACGAGGGTATGGAAAAATGAGAGGGCACCCTATTCGACGTCACGACCAGTAGGTTTAGTCTCAGTATTATGCCGTAGCAGCTGTAGTTGCGGTAATTTAATTTGAGATTATGCAGTGGTATTTTTGTGTTCAAACTTGACTTGATTTCACATCCTTTAAGCGTTTTTGCTAAATTTGACTATGAAAACTGTCGTTTTTACACCCAACTTTCTAACGCATCTTTAGAGGACTAACGAAGCCGCATCGAATGATGCTAATTATATACAGCTTTCAGACTGAAAATAACGAGCAATCCGCAAAAATATGAAGACAGGTTTTCTGTGAATATGTCAAACTTTAGCATTTGAAAGTCTTGTAGAAAGAGTTTCCAATGTGGCATTTCTTTACAATCAATTTGATCTAATATGTATTTTAGAAAAAGTCTTCGTTTTTGGGGTGAAAAACACAATTGTTTTATTTTCAAGATTTTTCCCTTGCTAATGCTCATGGAAAACAGCTCTTACACACTGCTGTAACAAAAAGATTTGCATGTGTCACTACAAAAATGAGTACTATTTGTACTCATTCAGAGTTATATATTTTTCCCTTAACACTTGGGGGATTTTTGTACAATCACAGATGATATTGAAATCACAGGTGATATCAAAATCCAATGCTGCTGGGCTTAATAGGCCCTGCTGTCTATACCTTGCTGTCTATACATGGCTGCGTATAATACGTTCTGCCCTATACTATACTTTGCTGTCAATTGTTTATTGATCGCAATCATTGGGGAATGCCTTATAAATATCATTTGATCTCAGTAGGCTATCATGCCTTCCACAACTCACTTGTACCCCCACGCTACTAGTTGCGCTTGGTTTAGCTTTCTCTTTCGACTGACGCAGAAGCTTCTTCCCTTTACTATATTACCCTGCCTGCCTATCTAATTCTAGCTTCATTCTCTACACTGCATTATTTTCGTAACAATAGTTTCAAGCATGCTACTGGCAGTTTTTGTCAGTAGTTTCTTTTGCGAAAGCATTTGATGCGCAATTTCCTTAAAACATTGCAAATAATTTTGATGAGCACTCATCAAACACAAATTTCTGATTGCAGTCAACGCAAAGTACTTTTCTCTGCTGGTATGTGATTCAACAAATTGGTGTTTAGAAAAGATCACAAACATCTTCCCCAACTGTGTAACTGTGTAGTTTGTGGAACAATCGAGTCGCCCTGCCAAATACTCTTTGTAAGGAAGCCAGCATCACTTTTCTATTTTCGTCCGCTATTCATCAAATGTTGAAAAACGACGCAGCTTATAAAATTGCCAAGAGAGCCAAGAAAGCCACAGGAGAAGAGACAAACAAGGAATCAAACAAAAAGGTCATCAAGAAAATGCCAACGAATGCAGAGGAGATAACATTAAAGAAAAAAGGCCAAAAAGCACGCAAACAACGTAGCCGCTCTACAACAAAGTCTCAGTTGATGAAGAAGAGCTCAAAGACTGCACATGCGAAAACCATCAAGTACATCAATGAGCTGGAGAAACAGAATAGGCAAGCTGTAACCCAGCCTAATGCTTCGCTGAACGACAACACTAGACAACTTGTCCATGCAAACGAAGCATTTCATTTTGACGATGACAGCATCGACCATGGCTTCGACTACATAGAACCTTCTAACCAGCGTTATGGTTTTACAACCAATTTCAGACAAAAAAAAAACAAAGGAGAATTAGAAAAGACTTTTGGGCTCAAGAAAGTGTCTCGCTCAAGAAGTGGTATCTTGAATCTCACGAGATTCATGGCCATGCTGACCCTACCCTCAAAGTCCAAAATCAATTGAAAAGCACATATCAATGCGACTGCAGCAATAAGAAAACATTGGAGGTGTATTGTTATATGCTACACAGTAAGTAAATTTAGTGAAACTCCAAATATTACACAAGCTAAACTGACACTTGATTTGCAGACTATAAAAAAATCAAAGTTGATTATTGTATGCATCAACCAATAATCCTAAAGAAATTGGTATTAATGCAAATACTGCCAAGCAGCACATTTCAACCAAAAGCTGCGGTCCATTTCGCCGTCTTTGAAAAACTGATGAGCTTGAAGCTACATGGAAGCATTTCAAATTATGCATTCGTGAAGACGCAGAAAGTTGATAATTTCTTATTGAGCAACTATGGTGAAAACGACGTAAGTTAAATGTTGCAGACCATTGTGTTGTTTATCTCAATATCTCTCCGTTCTCTTTTCTCTTTGGTTTGAAATTTTGAATAACGGCTTGTTCAACACACTACAAGAAATATATTGAAATTTGAAGAGCCATGCCTTGGATGATTTATGACTGGTCAACCACTCTTTGTACTGTCATGTGTGTTTTGTGAGTTGCGTTGTAAGGCATCTCAGATTTGCAAAAACTGATGTAGGCTTTCTTTTAGGATGGTGATACCGTTGGAGTTGTAATGGGTTGCAGTGAAATCAGGTTTAAATAGATTTCACAAAAAAAAAATAAAGCAAAGGTAAAATACAATAGAAATCAACTGTATTTTATTTTGTGTATAAAATGAACTGAAGATCCTGGAATTGAGTAAAAAAAAGAAGGGTATTTATACATTTGCATCTGGCTTGTAGGATTAGTGATGATAGAGAGCAATAGGTGCTGCTATTGCGATATCTGGCAAATGTTGTTGATGTTTGATTTAAAGTGGTAATCAATGCAGGAGCACTGGCCATAAGGGTCGATTTGAGTAACCTTGATGGGCTTGGGTGAGCTATCGTCATAGCATGATTTAATGTAACCTTGATGGTTTAAAGTGTGATGTTTGTTATTGAAGCATGGAATCCTTTATCCGGGATATTGTGCAACTATGGCAGCAGGGCATAGTTGTCATATTTGAATATGCTTGTTATTGATTTAATTCTATTTGGATAAAGATACCATCACCTATTACGACCATCATGGGTGTGATTGAATACACTGTGATCAGGAGTGATTCATTCACACGATGTGCGATATAAGCGTGTATCTTTACTTTAGTACTTTTAAATGGGTTTTTGATGTACATTTGAGCGCTTTCATTAATAGATCCAAATAGCATGAATTTGAATGAGTGCTATTTGATGAACTTTGGTTTTCAATTAAGTTGCGTTTGGGTGGCTATTTCATTACATGGGTGACAACTTCCAATTAAAAAGATGAACAAGCGAAACCGAGATGATGTAGATCTCTATCCTAGTATCTTTTCAACAAGCTACGACATTGCACAGTTGTCGAAAGTTGAAGGTGTATTTGAGAAGTTTGCTAATGAAAAAGATGACGCGAAAGAAGAGCTGGTAAGCATATTGACAATATAGATGCACTAAAATGTTTGTACTTGATGGTGCATACTAATCACATTTTCATCAAGTGTGGTCTTGAAGAACTAGACAACATCAACAACCCTACGTTCAAAGCTGGCTCAGAGAAAAATCGAAAGGTGAGTAACCGTTTTGATGAAGGAGTTTTTTCAATGAATTGCGCGAGACACGGCGCACCTATTCGATTATATGATATTCATAATGGCGAAGGGTAAGTAGATCTTGGTAGTGCTAAAAAAAAAGACTAACAACTTTCTGATTCCCCTAAATGATTGTAACAGGCGTAAGTACGCACTTGCGGCTATCAGTCATCCTATGAGTTTATTGAGTAATTCTCAGAAACTACTAATCATGTATGACATTATTTGTTTGTGTAAGGGCAAATTAGAGGTAGACATATACATATTCAGAGACTGCATACGTCTATTCCAATACAAGATTGAACTATCAGTCGTGTATACCGGGGCTAAAGGAGAGGGCTCCTTTATATCTCGTGACAGTGTTGTTCCACACATATGCCCATAGCATGCACTGTCAAATCCAACATCATCCACGAGTTGTCAATGGCAGTGGCAATACCAGTAAATAAGCATGAACAACAAAAGTGAGAGAACAAAATACTGACTCAATAATCAGATGGCGAAGGTGTAGAGCGCTTCTGAAGCTCAGCAAATCGCTTCATTTCCATGATCAGACAGATGAGCAAATTCAACCGCAAATCATTGTTAACAGATGTCGTATATCATTTTAAACAGAACAAAATGTTGGAAATTCGTAAGCTATACATAGCTTTCATATTGTTGTCTTACTAATCTGTTTATAACAGCGGGACAAATCTTAAGAAAGTACACCAATGCAATGAAGAAGGTGAGCGAGCTCAACATTACAAATGAGAAATTTTTTGCACTGGAAGAACAGTGGAGTGAGCATGTAGAGATCATGATGATTCCAGCAACTCCTGCCGGTGTGCAAATCCTTATAGATAAGGCAGAACAAGAAGCCATGTCAGTAGGTATTCTTACTACCTAAAGTTAACTGTTGAATATTTGCTGTTGAATGACTTGAGAGATGAAAGTTAACTTTTAAACATGTACATAGTGGAATATTACTGTTGAACCATTTTTAAAATGTAGTGGAAGAAAAATTGAGATCACTACCAGAAAAGATATCAATAGAAACAATTTTTTGGTCGATCAAATCAAGCAATAACAATCTGTGTATGGGTATGCGATGATCAACTGCCTAGATGATCCAGCCTTGCAAGAACATCGAGAACGGACCATTGAAGTTCGATACAATGTAATGAATACATTTGTAAAACACCTCTTTTTTGCAATTCTGATGAAAGAGCACAAGATATCTCAACCTGGCTCATTTGGTAATAACTTGGATTCTTGTGAGATTGAAAGCTTCCCTTAGATTGAACTCTAACCCAAATGATAGGCGCTGCAAAAGCGGCCAGAGTTATTTTGTCGCTTGAAATATTGAAGAAGAAAGCAGAGGCGATCATTTCGATGATCAACCAATTTGTAGAAACCTCTTACAGTGAGTTATAATTTTGAATCGCAAGCGAGAGCAATATCTTAGTGTATAATGGTATGAAGGTACGCAGGCAGAGATTGACAGAAGAAAGAAAAAGACAGTCGGAAAAGAAGTGGAACAGATCAGACTGTATGCTGCCGAAAATGGTCTGGATTTGCCCATCCCTTTGAACTACTGGCATATATTGAAAAGAAACGTCGAAGAAATTTCTATTTTGATAATAGTAGGCTCGAGTAAACTCAATAGCATAAGAAGCATGTATACTAATGATACTTTTCGATGAAGGGTAAAGCAAAAAGGGTTCTTGGCAACTACAAAGGTGAGTTGTCATCGTTGAGGGGAAAACATAACAATCTATAAAATTTGAGGCTTTATAGACTAGATTTCACGGAAAAAAAGAATAAAAAACAGTAAAGTCAACTTGATAAAGGTATGTTTTATTATCAAACTGACAGGTGTAAAGTAAACTGAAGTCTCTCTACTGGCCAGGTAGATGATCCTTCTTATATACTATAACAATGGATAAAAGTTCTATTAATTGGATTAACAAATAAGTCAACTCAAATCAACTAATGTCTAATCATGCTAAAAGACAACTCCAGCAAGCTAATCATGATTTAGCTTTGCCTGGATGAATAATTAGACTCTCATCCAAAGTACCCTGATTTATCCTTTCTATAAGGATAATTAATATCGATCTAGTAGCATGTATCCGATAGGTACAGTCTACTTAGTTTATATTAATAGTACATATCTGAGTGTATATCGCTAAGCATACATCTTTAGCATGTATCTGGATATATGGCATGTCTATAGCATGTCTCATATATAGTACAAGTCTGTAGTACATAAAGTATCTGTAGCTAGTATCACGGATATAAGCATGTGTCTTATAGCTTGGATCATGAAGTGCACATCTGAAGCAACAAGCTCATATTGCATTAATCTTGGTGCCTATCCAGATATGGTAAACATCCGTAGTCAATGTCAGAATACAAGTATAAGTCTATAGCGCCATCCATGTCCGTGGTGCCATCTATAGCCTATATCTTATATAGTATGACTCTTATAGTACTAGTGTATCTGAAGTCCATATCTTCTTATAGTATAAATCGATATCGTACATCTAATCCAGTGTACATACAGTTTATATCTAAATCTGGTAGCTGGATGAACTGTCGTAATGCAGGTCATAGTGGATGTATTCCACAGCGCATATTACTTGGAAATTGAGTTCTGTACAGTTCAGAATATCTGGGTCGTCAGACAGAAGTGTAATTTACCTATTCTTCTGGTAACGCAACCCACTACGCCGTCGTTTTAGGTCGAATTCTGTTCAAATCGAGCCATTTTCAAGTACGAATAACTCATGCCACAAAGCAGCGTTTTGAACGCTTGGAATAGCACTACACGCCTCCTCTTGGCCACGCTTTACTTCTTAATGCTTTAACTCAATTTTTTTGAGCCGTTGCAAATTCATGAAAATTATCGTTTTTTCCATGAGTATTAGCAAGGGAAAAATCTTGAAAATAAAACAATTGTGTTTTTCACCCCAAAAACGAAGACTTTTTTTAAAATAGATATTAGATCAAATTGATTGTAAAGAAATGCCACATTGGAAACTCTTTCTACAAGACTTTCAAATGCTAAAGTTTGACATATTCACAGAAAACCTGTCTTCATATTTTTGCGGATTGCTCGTTATTTTCAGTCTGAAAGCTGTATATAATTAGCATCATTCGATGCGGCTTCGTTAGTCCTCTAAAGATGCGTTAGAAAGTTGGGTGTAAAAACGACAGTTTTCATAGTCAAATTTAGCAAAAACGCTTAAAGGATGTGAAATCAAGTCAAGTTTGAACACAAAAATACCACTGCATAATCTCAAATTAAATTACCGCAACTACAGCTGCTACGGCATAATACTGAGACTAAACCTACTGGTCGTGACGTCGAATAGGGTGCCCTCTCATTTTTCCATACCCTCGTTTTTTTTTACCCCTTTTGCAAAACGCGTTTTAGTATCAAACCATGGTGGTTTTAGACACCGTTTGATTAACAATAACACTCTAGCTTTCGATAACTCTGTCTTGTACTGTTAGAAGAACTTGATAATGCTCTCTTAAAGTGGAATATATTAGGTACCATTCGATAACGAACACTGGAAGGCGTAGAATTAGCACTAATCGAATTTGTTTATTAGGTTTTGATAACTCTTTTGCCTGTTTGACGTGGGTGCTGCTGCCATTACTATTCTGCTATCTCTGCTGTCTGCGTCTTTGGTTTATCATGCCTTGCGGTTGCTTCTTTGGTCTTTGTCTGGTCTTTGGTGTCGTTCTTCGTACTTTGGTTTGTCTATAATACCGGTGTTGCTGCTACTACTGCTGCTGCTAATATGGCCTTTCCTGGCCTACTGTGTTTGGTGCATGCTCTTTCTTTGGTGCCGCTCGTTCTTTGATTTGTCTATGGTGCTGGCATTGGTGCTGGTCTTGCTGCTGCTGCCAATATGGTCTTTCCTGGTCTACTGTCTTTTATGCATGCTCGTTCTCTGGTCTATATCCGGTGATTGCGTATCCCCTGGTCTATCTACGGTGATGGTAGGTGGTAAGTATCTTCTTTCTTCTGGTTGCAATGATATAAAACTTCTTTGAACGCTTGTATTATTGCTTCCTTTCTCATGATAATGCATTCATGATGTTTGCTTTGTTGCGTTTTTCTTTTTCTTTTGTTGGTTGTGTTGCTTTACATCCGACTATTACCATACATGTTGCTCATGTATGCCTTTTTGTTGCGACACCAACGAGCTGTTCTGAACATCTCTGATGTTGTATTTGCTATACTTTTCTTTGACTCATTGCGTGTGAGTATCCTTTTTTTTCTTTGCCTACATATACTACTATACTCCTATAGTAGTGTGTTCTTTTCTTCTTTCTTTTATAATGATTATGTTTCTTTGAAGCATACCTTTTTTTTACGTTGCGTGGATGTGCCTATCGCTGAAGCTCAACAAGACTCTATCCGAGGCTAGGAGGTAGATAGGCTGCTTCTACTTGATTATCACTACTTACTTTAGTGATGATTGAGGGTCTCAATGCCGGAATTTAAAGCTAGGTGGTGCAAGTAAGGCATGCTCTAGCACCTGGGGGAAGTTTGATGATAGCAGCGGCTATAATGCTATTATAGCGGCGCTTAAAATTTTGCCTCACATCAAAAGAGGGGGAAACTCTCGCAATTTTTTTTTAGGCCAGCGGAGTTTTCAAGCGATTTGATTGGCTCAGATATTCAGGGACCGAAGGATTCTAGCTAGTTAATCTCCTATTGAGCTGTCATCTATAATGAGTTTATATTTGTAATAAAAGGGTAGCGAAATAGATACAATTTAAAGCCTTCTTTATTGAAGAGTATGATAAGGTGCAAGCGTTTTATCTAGCACCCATTTCATAATATTTTGACGTGAGGAATGTCCTTTAAATGTATTTATGCAAGAAAAATTATATGATATATACTCTACTTCAACACAATGTTTGCGTTGCTACTACAACAGCACTATTCTGGACAACCCACCGCCAGGCAGTCTTTCTAATTGTTGAAAACTATAGCGCAACATTGTATGCTTTAAGGAATAGTAGTGTATCTTTTCCTCAGCCAAAAATGCATAGTGCTATAGATTTATTTGATTTCACAATCTCTTTGCTGCAGAAAAACCGGCTGTATGAACTCGATGAATCCGTTAGACATGCAATGAAATTAGGTTTAATGTACTTCTTCATAAAAAAAAGCAATAGTAAAATACAATAGAAATCAACTGTATTATATTTATGTATAAAATGAACTGAAGACCCTGGAATTGAGTAAAAAAAAAAGAAAAGTATTTATACATCCGTAACTAGCATGTAGGGTTAGTGATGATAAAAATTAACAGGTGCTGCTATTACGATATCTGGAAAATGTTGTTGACGTTTGATTTAAAGCGGTAATCAATGCAAGAGCACTAGCCATAAGGGTCGATTTGAGTAAGCTTGATGGGCTTGGATGAACTATTGTCATAGCGTGATTTAATGTAATCTTGACAGTTTAAAGTGTGATGTTTGTTATCGAAGTGTGAACCACTTTATCTGGAGTATTGTGCAAATATGGCAGCAGGGCATAGTTGTCATATTTGAATATGCTTGTTATTTATTTGATTTTATTTGAATAAAGATACCATCACCTATTACTACCATCATGAGTTTAGTTGAATATACTATGATCGGGAGTGATTCATTCACACGATGTGCGATATAAGAATGTACTTTTACTTTAATATGCTTAATAATAAGTGGTTGTTGATGTACATTTGAGCGCTTTACTATTAGATTCAAATAGCATGAATTCGAATGAGTGATATTTGATAAATTCCGGCTCTCAATCAAGTCGCGTTTGGGTAGCTATTTCATTGCACAGTTATCTCAACCTCTGTTGACATGAAATCCCATACAATCATAAATCTTATGCAATTTGTATGCCTTCCCCCTGATCATCTAGTTGAATCAATGGATGTAATCGCAGACTTGAAGAATGAACGCATTACCAGCAAGAATGAACACTACCTCAATGGTACAATTACTAGTAGCCTTCTGGATACCATCAAGCCTGCGATTTACAACTGAGCATGCCACTGGATTGCACAAGGTCAAGCCTTCCTCATATATTGTGATCCTTCCCAAATTAGCAGGATCAATATCAGTATCATTTGGATAGTCGCCAATCTATCCATATATCTCTATTATATCTTTCTGAGGCCGCGGTCATAAATCGTAACATAATAAATGTTCAGTCCCTAGACACTTTTACAACCCTAATATGAAAACTGAGTTGCCAGGCATTTGTCAGGCATGGTACATATATATGATTTGAAATTATATTATATTAAAACATGCAAGTTTCTTCTACCATTTTAGCTATTGATATTAATTTTGCGATATTAGCAAAATTTCTGTGGCAGCGCGAGTAACCGGAACGTAGATTCGCTTCCACCAAAGCGAAGCGTAGTTTAGGTAACCACCCAAAGAGTCAAAAGGCTCATCGTAATAATAAATTCATGGTCCCAGATACTTTCAAAGCCTCAAAAAGGAAAGACGTTGATCTAACAAGTATTTTGATAGAATGGCGTTATTAAATATAGAATCCAGGAAAAAATAACATACTTAGCGATAGTGCTATGTAATTTTTCATCTACTTTCCACTCGCTTCAAAAGCATCTATTATTGTATTGCCTTTTTCATGATTAAAGGGGCATTGGATTTGCCAGCCAGCCCCACCAGCCAAAATCAATTCAAACGCAGACGCATAGTCCGTTCTAGATTGGCCAAACTTTGATGCTTTTCGACTCGATTAAACTATTTTTGCAGATTCGGCTATATAAAATTTGATAATCATCCTATGCTTCAAGTGTTAAATAAAACCTGGAGCTCGACTCCCCTACAAAAAAAAAAAGCTTCTTCAAGTGGGTCCCTGGTGGTAGGGCGAAGTGGTAGAAACTCCCGTATGCCAACGGGAGGATCCCCGGTTCAAATCCTGGCGAACGCAAGTTGTCTGAATTTTTGACGTAGTACTGATGTCCTCGTTTGGTGTTTTGTACTCTTATCCATGATCTATATTTTGACGATTTCCGCAAGACTGTATTGGCTCTAGGAGTCGCACCTTATTAGTAGTAGATTTCTTTCCCAACTTAGTTCAAAAATATCTTATTCCCCTTCATTGCAGACATTGGGTCCACCAACAGTCTTTTCTATCCCTCAGTATGACATTTAAAGGACTTTAAATAAAACCTGGAGCTCGTCTCCCCTACAAAAAAAAAATGCTTCTTCAAGCTTTTTTGGAGAGCTTTTCGAGGCGCATCCAATGGTATCAAATAAGATAAATGTTTTGAATAAACTTATTGAGTAATTTACGAAAATATGAAAAGAGGCTTATAGCCAAAATGTCGAAATTTTACATATCTAAGTCCTACAAAGACGATTTCAGAGGTTGCTTTGGATCGATAAAAGCATTTTGATTTATGATATACCATAGTAAAAGTCTTTGTTATCAAGGTGAAAAATGCGATCGTTTGATTTTTGATGAAAACCATGAGGGGTACCTCATGGTTTTCGGTCGATTTTTGGCCATGTTTTTTTTTTTTTGGTCCCCAAAAAGTTGAGCAAAGGTATCAGGAAGTAATTGTCAGATGAGAGCAATTGTTTGGTGCTATTCTGACAATCTAAAACGGCCTTGAACGCAAGAAAACGCAGCTCAAATGCAACCAGATTTGACTGTATTAGACACACTCTTGATTAAAAAGGGGAAATACCAGTACATTGGTTGCCTGTATATGAAGTAGCTGCGTGTATATGGATGTAGAGCATCACATAAGAATCAGATCCACAGATAATATGGACGGCTTTCATGTGTAAGTGGAGGGTCGAAATAAGAGTAGCAGTATTTTGATAAGATACGCAAGGGCAAACGGTAGCGCGAGCTGCCGCTGCGCAGGTTGATGCTCACCGAAGCGAAGCGAAGATAGAGAGCCATCCGAAGCTTAAACATTCGTATAGTATAGAATCAAATCAACTTAGTGGGCAGCCAATCAAGTAAATGTATTGAAAATTGTAAATAAACAAATGTATATCCATGCACTTATAGTCATGTTAAGCTATTTCTCTCAACAATGTGTAATCAACAACTCCCAACTAAAGTGATTACGCGCGTCTTGGATATGGATAAATCTTCGCACTTGGCTCAATGTCGCTTCGTATGTCGATCCTGGAATCATCTTGTTGAAGGAGCCATACTGATAAGGCCTACGTTTTGACATCAACCCCTAAAGCAAAAGCATCATATAATCAACTATCGAAAAAAACGGGCGAATGAAAGGCTGATCAAGTACTTCTAACTCGAGCATTTCAGCGCAAGAAGACCTGAAGCGTATCTAAGGTTGCTTCCATTAGCCTTCACTTCTGATATTTAAGAACTCGAGAAGTGGACTGCCCAGAATTGTTTTGTAAGATGGCTGGTCTGGCCAGAAGCTCGGCCAGCAAGTTTCAAGAATTGGAATCTATATCTCATGCACTTGATATTTGCTCAGAAAAACAGTGCAATGCTGTTTTTTTTTACTTGAGCAATATCCTTCAAGAAATATATGTTTACTTGTACGATACGATTCCTGCTCGTTGGGATCTTCTGAATCGGTTTGATGTGATGAAGAATTTAAGGCCATTTTTCTTTGGGACTATTTGAGTTGTTATTGAACAAATGCTCTCATATGCAGCATTTAGTGTGGATGCATACAGCGAACTTCCAGAATTACTTGACGAAAAGCTTTAAACGACTGGCATGCTAGCAATATACAGTACAGATGGAGCTCATGTAGCGGTGAAACCATATCCGACGAAATGCCTTGTATTCAAGTATCCAACGTGAATGAAGCTTAATTAATGGTTTTTGGTAGCCATCATAACGAGCAGTAAGAGATGATTTACTCTAATGATCAAGAGGATCCACTCAAAGACCCGTTTGTTGAAGGGGAAATTAGTCGTCTCCTCAGAGCGATTACTGCTCCCAAGGTATATCCAATCTACTGAAAAGTCTGCTGTAATATAAATGATTCTGTCCTTAGTGATGTTATTGTTTTTGTTGAAAGCAAGAATAATACCCTTAAATTCAAAAAAAAAAAAAATAGCTTTCCGATGAAGTGGCAACTGTGATGATTTCTATTAAATGTTGCCTTGATTGCTCACACAGTTATTCATGAGCTGCTTCCCAATCCCATTCTATACGTCACGACCCTGCTCTAATTGCTTTTTTGCGGGGTGGGTTCATGTTATTTTGACAAACCGATAGAAAACAAAACAACAAGCAACCTTCCTCTTTTTCTCTTGGTTTCTTTACAAAAAACTTATATTAATTTAAATACGAAAAGATGGCTTCCGGTTTTGGTTTAGATGGCGGTAAAAATCACTCTCATCATGTATCGCATCGAATGGTAGATTGACCCACATTGTATAGGTCGTGGTCGTTGCTTCCACTTTTGGCAAGAATTCAACAAATGTTATGCCACTGCCGACCTTCCCCAACAATGTCTTGATCAACGCGACGATTATCTTGAGTGTCTCCATCATACCAAAGAGGTAGGCATTATGAAACCAGAGCAGATGGCCATGTAATTGATATTTTTTTGATAGTTTGCCCGTATCACTCGTATCAAAACTGAGGAATTGAAGCAAGCTGAAAAGAGAAAGCATGATCTCGAGAAGCAACATAAGGATGCATTGACTGCAGCAAAGTCAAATCTGCCAAAATTGAGCATTATTGATGATAAAGAATCAGCAAAGGCAGAGTAGATTCCTATAGATCGGTTTTTTTTTTGACATACTACATATACACAACTCTCCATCACGCCGTTGGTAAACTTAAAACGATGACAGAGACGAACTTTACTCTCTTTTTTTTTCCTACAAATACACACAACCACAGCCACAACCTACTACAATCGAATTGCAACAAACCTCACTAGTATTGTAATTTGAATAAAAAAAAAATCAATTGATATCAAGCCGATGGAAAATGATACAGATGGGATGAGGATGATGAATTTATTAGAGGATGAGAGAGAGATGGGGTGGGTTATTTTTTTGGTTATTGATATTGGAAAGATAAAACTAGGGATTAGATAATAAGAGTAGGGCAGTATAGTTATAAGTTATAGTAATGGCAGTGGTAATAAGAGTAAGAGTAGAGTAAGTGGTAGTGACAGTCTGCATGGGGGGGGGTGCTAGGGCCTAACAAGAACTGCAAGAGATGAATTTGCCCATATAGTAACAGATGACCATGGCAAGAAAAATGACAGATATTTGCTGGCCATTGAATGACAGTTCATCTGTGATAATGATGATATTGTTGTTCTAAAGATATGTTAATAATACACTCATTAATAAAGAGTGTAGCATGCACACATACCTGATGCTCAGGCACAAGGAGATAGCCCTTGGGCACTTTGAGAGGAATAGGCAAGGCATCTTTCTGCTCCACCTCTGCGACCTTTTCTGTTTCCTCCTTTTTGAGTGTTTTTTCGATTTCAACCTTGGTCACTGTGATGGAGGGCGTAGTAACATCATGCTTCTTTTCTGTGTCTTTTCCAAGCACCTGGACGACGGCTTCAGCAACGACACTAGCTGTATCAGCAACGTATACATCGGCAGCAGCAGGAATAGGAGCACTGGTGCCAGCAGTGGAGGTAGATGAGAGTGATGACTCACCGTCCACAATGACTTGCTTGTTGTTTACAAACTTTGTAGTAGCAGCATTTGGTGTATTAGGCTCAGAGGAAGCAGTTGTCTCGCCATCTGATTTCGAAGAGTTATCCAGAATAGCCTGTGGTTGCTGCTGTGTAAACAGTTCTCCATTGTATTTGTAGGTTGTGTAATGAGTAGCTTCACTATGGTGCAGTGGCGTCAAGGTGAATGTCACTTGTTTACCGTCGATCGTTGCATCTGTTGTAAAGACCTTGATGCTTTTTTGCTCCTTGGGCGATATCTGCACACGCGCTACATTTTCAGGCATTATTTTGATGTCTAGACCATGAGGAAACATGGTGCGATGGAATCGAATATCAGTGCACCATAAGGAAGAGCTTTGGTTCTGTTTGCGTGCACGATACGAGTTGGAAGGTTGATGCTTTGCTATGAATACGATCTGGTAGTTGTTTGTCAGCGCATCAAACCCCTCCTGCACTACTTTGCCTGCGACTCGACGAATATAAGGAGGACATCCATACTGCGTCAAATAGTGATGCATGTGAGTAATTGACTGCAATGAAGTGTCCATCCATGCTTGAAGCACATGCTGAGGTAAAGCGTATTTGAAATCCATGTTGCAAACAAAACTGACAGCGACTTGCACAGTGCGTCCATGCTTGTCGAATTTGGGACGGAACACCCAGCCGTAAAGGTCAGTGTAAGCGCGAATACGATGACCCACATCGTCTGGTGGTACTTGCTGATCCGTGACACTGGTTGTGGCAGTGTAGACAGTGCCAGTAATAGGATCTGTCTCAATGCTGGTAATTGCTGATAGATCCACACTGGCAATAGGGAGCATGCTGCCTAGATACCATTGCACCAGGTATTCCTTTTGACTAAATCGCTCAATGGTCTGCCCGCCTTCAAATGAAGAGTCCCCTGTTGTATACAAAAGAGTGAATATCAGGTGAAAACGAGCTTGTGCACTACGAATACTTTACAAATTTTTCTTGATCCAAAGCAATGGATGACAGAGCACAACTGTTCTGCAGTCCAGCCTCCTTGAATGATGCCATCTGCTCTGACGAAGGGCACTTTTCTCGCATTGCTTTTGCTGCTCTTTGTCATTTGAAGCATGCTTTCTTCCTCATCATCCGACAAGAGGCGTGCATTCAGCGTGTAGTATTTGGATCCATCGTCCAATTCCTTGGTCAGATTCCAATTATCCAGCGAAAAGGTAAGCTTCTTGAGCAGTTGTATGCTTTCCACTTTCTGGATCGGATGTCGATGTGATGGATACAGGTGTCTTCCAGCGGTGTTGTTTTTTGCTGGCACAGGCAATACGTTTCTGTACGGATTTGTAGTGGTGGTACTGGTAGGTGAATTCTCGAGGGATGCTACGCTTTGTGGCGGATGACTTGCAGTGTATGTGATATCATGCTCAGCAAACGAAATGTGCTTCTTGCTGCTGCTAGTGCCAATCGAAGATGGCTGAGGTGGAGGCGCGATGATAGGCGTGGGTTGTTGCTGCTGCTGTTGTTGCTGTGGTGCCACCAAGATAGTGGGACGATGCAAGTGTTCTGAAGGAGCAGCCTGTAATCTGTTGGCGCTATTGAAATGGCCAAGTGGTTGCATTTGTTGGGGCAAATGGCTGCTCATGACAGATGGTCTTCTACTGTGGCCACTGTTGATCGACTGTAATAATCCACTTTTATTGGCTTGTTGCGATCGCATGCGCTCTGTCTTTCGCTCCAGATACTCTGCTACTTTTGCAATGACTAACGGTCTTCTCGCTAGCGTTTTTTTGGCAAATCCTGGGACCCAACCCTTCATGCTTTCCTGTACTACAAATATAACTTTGGTTGCTGGATGAGGACCACCATGCAACGGTTCCAATACCCAGCCTTGAAGCTGTTGTGGTTCAATGAGTTTCAAGCCCAAGTAAAATGATAACGTGCACTTGCCTTGGTATTGACTCGAGTTCTGCCATTCATCTTGGGTATCCTAGGAGTCTCCACACTTGTGCATGCAAACACAATAGCTCCGTTTTGTGTGCATTCAATTTTTTCGACTAGTGCTAGATCTCTTGATCTAATATATATATATATACAATTAGGGGACACTGTATTGATTATACATGTAAATGCAAACAAGTATTTTCCATAACAAGAAACTCAACTTACTTGCTGGTGGCTGTTGGCTTCATTACCTCATAAGTCAATGAAGTCGTATCGTTCAAGTTTTCCACGAGATTGCCATCTTCGTATCTGTGTAGTAGTCAGTCAAACATTCGCCTCTGCATCTGACTAACCAACTCACTGTTCATCCCATAGCTTACGCATACCGATTACGTAAAAGATGGCCTGCGGTGAGAACCCTTGGATGATGGCTTCGCCTTTGAAAATAGGTATTCTATCCCCCTTGTGAATCCCATTTTTCATGTGGACCATGACTCCACTCTTGTGCTTGAGTGCCTTTTTCCAACCATCCTCCAGAATGACATGTTTCAAAGTCAGTAATGCATTGTCAGCTTGATGGATGTGATATGTAGATGAGCTGAGGACTGGATCAATGTATCCAGCAGCAGCAGACATGGTCGCATTGGACGATGGAATGGCCGATGTGGACGAGTGATTCTGCTGTTGTGTGTGGAACCATCGAGACGTCAATCCATGTTGTTGTGGCGGTAGATCGTCCTCATCGTCATCGCTGAAAATAACGTTGTAATGATTGAATGTGTTGCTGGTAGCATTGTTGTTAACGTTCGATCTCTTGAGCAAACTGTTGGATTTGTTGTGATATGCTTCTTCCCATTCATTGGCTAACTCTTCTTGATTGTACAGCTGCTGAGGCAGTGCGGATTGTGTTAAGGAACGTGTCATTATGATTAAAGCATATCTTGTAGTAATTTAAACTTTTTCTTTTTTTTTTCACGAGAAACGAAGGAAGAAAGGGGCGGCTTAATTATCGTTCAAGTGAAAGAAAAAAAAATAAAAGAAGGGGGGGGGGGATAAAAACCACTCCAAATTTGTGCAATTGTGAGAATGTCGGGCACCTTTAAAGGGGTACATGCCACGTTTTTTCAACACCATAAGAGTAGTTTTTATTTGTATGTGTATTGTTGATGGGATGGTGATACAAGATGTGTAGCTGAAATGTTCTTTTGTTCATTGAATTGTGATGTAATTAGAGTATGGGGATTAGGAGAGGCATAGCAATCGTGTTGCTGATCTTGCGACAAGTCGTCCATGGACTGTCTAGAGAGCGTAGGGTAGTTTGTAGTGGTTGTATTGGCCAAGGTAGAGTCATCCTTGAAGGTAGCAAAGTTAGATCTGGTAGCAGCCATGTTGGTGTAGGATTCAGATGATTTACCATGACTTAAAGAAGACAGGCTCAAGGAAGCCAGTGCCTTTGGACTGTGCGTGCACATTGTTCGATTAGTATACATGTGTATGTCATGATGGCATCCTACACTTACTTGAATAATACCGTCATGACAACGAGTATCGACGCCAATGTGCCATCGTATGTCCAAACAGCAGCAATTGCCAGATTCAAACCATGATTCAGTAATAACCGCACTCGCATGATGCCGTACATGCATTTGATGAAGGAAAAGATGAACAAGGAAGTAATGCTAATGGACATAATCACGCGGACCTGTCCATGTGTCTTGGTGAGTTGTCGTTTAGGTGGTCAATAGATTTTCGACCTACCTTGAAAAGACCATTCTTGATCTTGTGAATTGATGCGCTATTGGCATCTTCGTTTTGATTATCCAAATGCTGCTGCAGAATCTTGACGAGTCGAAGTCCAGCAAACAAAATCCAAATAGCTAGTATAAAGCAATAGGCTGTCCATAGATAGTACAATGCATCTGTAAAGATCTTGGCCTTGCCAAAGTCGCCTCGCTCTGCATAAACTGCTGCTGCAATAGAGCATACATTGTTGGTGAGAAACGGCAGGGTGATGAAGATGGAGCATATAATGTCGATTTTGATGGATATCTTGAACCAGCTGTTTTCAATGAGTTTGCTGCTCTGTTGAATTGGATCGAATTAGCTCATTGAATGTGAATACAATATGTGCAACATACGTTGGATACAGTGTGTGCAATGCCAAATAAATAGCATGCAAAAGCGCATAGACCAAATTGCCATGGTAATTCGTACAAAACTATGTAGAACATCAGAAATTGAATAAATGCTGATTATAGACCTTTCATAGTTACATGCTCTGAAAATAGCATTGGGTGCTGCATCAGTGATCAGTAGGGCACAATCGACAATTCGAACTATCCAAAGCTGTCAATGCTTGTAATTTAAACTAGATCAAGACATATTTACGCAAATTGAAAATGATGCCAAATAACAACATGGATTCGATTGGCTTTGGTCTCACAAAATAGCCAAAAGGAGACCCAAAATCGAATATGGGCAGCTTTTTATTGACGACTCGATGCCATAGCAACCCAGTACCTATATTGTTTTCGTTCCTGAGGAGGTTAATTCATCTGCTTGTACGAAGTCTGAAGAAATATATATACACACCTATCACTGATACAAGAAACGACAGAATGGCATTTACAACATATATATACAACATGGGCTCTCTTTCGATACAACCCACAATCGTCACTCGCCAATCGCAATGACAACGTTGGGGATTGTTTTCATCACATACGAGCCAAAATGAATCATTACGATTCATGGTATATAGATTAAGAATGATGAAGGGAGAAAAAAGGAACAAAAGAAGCCTTGATTTGCGGGGCCGTACCGTATTTATAAATGGTACTGGATTTTTAAAATGGATTAGCTCAAGGCAATTTTCTATGTGAAACGTTAATAAAGAAGGGTATGGTAGTAAGGTATTAATAAGAGCTCCACTCAGATTCAACAATCCTCGCGTATAATGCACCTATTCATATTAATTCTCTATATATGACCATGTCAAGTGGACGGATCTACATGACTAACTGGAATCAGTACTGCGATCATTTCAGGCACCACCATCATTCTTTAGGCAGTGTCATTCTTCTGCAAGAAATCAATAAATCCAGGAACTAGCCTTTGCTACTTATGGAATGGAAGCAATAGCACAATGCAATCTTTTAATAAAATCCATGACCAGCTTGTTGGCTTGAGGGAATACATGTTTGGATCAACGCAGTAACCAGCATTTGGAAAAAAAAAAAATAGAATTCTCGCAGACAGAATGGCATATCTGTCATTTTTTATATGTTGTATACAAATTATTAAGTTGTACACCTTGCAAACCATGTATTTGGGAATGACAACTACAACAAATTGCAATGCTTTGAGATTACTCACATACCCATAGTGCAGTGGCTGTTGTGTTCACGTAACTCAACAGGTTATTGGTGGTGCCTTTTGGATTTGCCAGCGCGCACCTAAATACCATCACATTCTACTTTATTTCTTTTCAAAGTAAGAAGGGTAATACAGGGCGCATTTACACTACTTGTTTTTGAAGAAGATGACCAAATCTTAATTTCAGTTATGCGTCTTTGTAAGTGAGTGGTATAGCTTCTGTGCCGAGTCGTATACATGTGGACATGTATGCTGCGTCTTTGGTTGATTTAGACCGACATGAGACTGTTGCCTAGTAGGCAGGATCTCCACAACATTGGATGTGATTCATGTAAAGGCAAAGGTTATATATATTTTCAACACGGAAAATACAACCGTGTAACATGTTTTTTTTTACCATGCCCCAAAGATCTGGTTGAACAACTCATCTGCAAAATAAAACACAAAATCTTTCATGTTACAAAACAAATCAAGGCAGAATACCAATTGAACCTAACGTCATTTTAATAGCTTGTGTATGAGTATTATACAGCACATTCATCTACAAAGCAAAGGCGACATGTGAATCCTCATTCTTGATCTACTAATGATGGTGAAAGCTCTATAGATGGATGTGGCACCATCATCATTTCACTGCCTTGCTTTTCGAGAGACTAAAATCATCAAAGCAGCACAGGCTTTAATTAAAAAAATTTGGGAGGCACTGGGCCCCTGTTTTTATACCTTGTGTATTTACTAACCTGCTCTCGAGTATAGCATATTACAAGTCAGTGCTCACTAGACTGTACACGAAATCAAGCCCTTGATAAAAGTGAGTGATTTGAGGCATGCGCCAAACACACACTCTTTTTCTTAAGGCAATTGTGCAAGTTGATGCTATAAGAGACATTTCAAGTAGATCAAGCAATAATTACGCCAGTTCTTGAGAACCCTTTGCAAGCCATGTTGAAACAAGGTGTATTAGAGTAATCGACAGTGTAACAGATTGGGATCTCGCATGGATCCAAAGGCAAATGCTATGTACTAGTAGATGTTGAAATGCTTCAGACCATGCATTTCACTCATTCTCAAATATATTTAAAAAGAGTGAGCCTGACTCTTCAGATAGTTTTACTCAAAAGTACAAATGCTAGATTCTAGATAGCTGAGCTCTTTTACCTGTAGTTACAGCTTTTGCAGACACTTGATCATCATGGATATGAGGAACTGAAGCACCAACAGTAACAGCCTTTATTTGTCCAAAACTCCGACATTTTTGCGATGCGTGCCTTGAATCTTGTGAGCATAATGTCTGACATCTGCCAGCCATCATCTAATATCTAATCCAACATTAGGTAGCATTGAGATATAGGGGGGTTTTACCGTAGCAAATCAAAAGTGCAAGGCCATGGCAATCAGGCGTCTAATCCAACACTTGGTAAACATTGATCTATAGGAGGGCTTGATTGTAGCGAAGAGAATATGCAAAACCATAGTATATAGTAGTAAGCAGCAATTTCAAGTTTTTATTTCAATTGTTAATAAGCTTATTACCAGCAACATAACACATCAAAATTTGCATGAATTAGCTTTGACAAAATCAATATGCCTCCTATTCGAATTAAAAATTGCACAGGCTGCGCAACTACCCTTCCAGAAAATTTTAGCTACCCAAGATGTGATTCATGAAGTGTAAATAAAAGCTATAAAGCATAAACACAACCAAATTTGATTGCTTTCATGCTTTTATATCTTGACATGTAGACCTTTTTGAGCCACCGGAATAACGCCAAACAATTGCACTTGAGTAGTAGTAACTTTCTGACACCTTTGCTCAACTTTTTGGGGACCAAAAAAACATGGTCAAAAATCGACCAAAAAGCATGAGGTGCCCCTCATGGTTTTTTTTTGAAAATCAAACGATCGCATTTTTTACCTTGAAAATGAAGACTTTTACTATGATATGTATTGGATCAAAATGTTTCTCTCGATCCATAACAACCTCTGGAATCACTTTTTTAAGCTTTTCTTATGCAAAATATGGCTATTTTCGCTAAAAACCTCATTTCAAATTTTATTAAATTGCTCAATAATTTCAGTCAAAATACGTATTACAGTTGGCACTATTGGAAGCGCCTTGAAAAGCACTTTAAGAATGTATTAGGAAGCGTAGGGTGATCATCACAATTTATATAGTCGAACATCATAAAATAGATTAAAGAAGTCGACAAAAGACGAAATCTGTCCAATCTTGAACAAAAAAAAATTATCTGAGTTTGAATCAGCTTTGGCGGCGGCTTGCTGCTGGCTGACCTAAATGCCTTTCTGATAATGACAATGATGATTGCGATGCTGATTAAAAGGGGATCATGGAACTGAAAGGACAATTGCTTAGCGCAAATACGTTTTTTTTGGGGGAGCGTTGCCTCATGAAGATGTCTTTTGCAATGACAATGTCTCAAAAAAGCGCTGTAGATCTTACACAAGTTCTGTATTTGCGCATGATCAGTTTTATGTCGCCATCTTAAGAGCATCAGCAGCAGCGAATGGTATGACAATTCTACTATCAGAACATGGAGATTGTGGTGTATAAATGCTGCATAAAACTTAAATTCTCTTTCACATCGTCTCAATAATAGGCTTCGTTTAATATCAGTGTATAGGCAAAAAGATGCTGAGAGAGACATCTCGTCTCCTTCTCCTCCTGGCTCTTATATAACCTTTTACTAATAATTGATTGTTTAAAATCTACTTGATATATCAAAATTTTATTATATCTTATATAAAATGTCTTCGGCAAGAGCCCGCAGGGCGACGCCGTCATCGAGCGTAGCGAGATTGAGCGTCTGATGAGCTGAAGGCTGCAAACAATGACCACAAGAAGGAGCAGTATTCTACAAGGTTCAAGGACTTGAAGAAGCAATGACACACTGTCCGTAGCAAACACCTAGAAATCAAAGAGCTGAAGACTCAAAGATACCAGTTGTTCATTGCCATCAAACAGGCCAAGCAACAACCGTCCAACATGAGAATTGGTGCCTTTTTGACAAGGAAAGCCATTGAATATAGAAACAAAGACATCCCTCTTGTTTCAAATAACGAGCCTCCTCCTTCTGACCAACATCTCGATTCAATGGTGTTTTCGGGTACTGATAACGGGCTGGCTGTAATGACAGAAACTATTGGCATGAATATGAAAAAATACAAATATCATTTGTCACTGCATGATAGATTCTCTCCTCTCACCCATCTCGATGCTGATGAAGGCAATTTGTCTGATAGTGCTGATACTGCTGCTGGTAACGATGGCAATGGCGCTGATCAAGTTATTACGAACAATGCTAGTGACAAGGATGAAATTCGCGATGGCAGTGTTAAATGCGATGGAGATCTCAATGGTGATGATGGCGACGCCGGTGCTACTGCTAATGATTGTGGTCAGACAACAACATTTGAGTCTCTGCCAGAGTCATACAAGATACGTGCTGAAGATGCCGGCTTTGGTTCTGGCGAATTCTTGAGGCGAAAGGTCACTTTGAAAGACAAGAAAACAACAGAAGAAGGAAAGAAGGTTCAAGAGATTGAGTAGCAATTGCCGAGATCCAGTGTGTTCAGAGCCAAAGAGGTAGAGGATGTCATGCCAAATTTTGGTGCACACAGAAGCAATGGCCAAGCATTGCGAGCGTTCTAAGACTCAAAGAAGCAGAATACTCTCTCTAACAAGGTTGAGCACATTGACAGGCGTTTCCGTTCTCGTTTCGATTCGCGCGAAAGATTCTTTTGTGCTGGTGTTCGTCCCCAAACGTCACTTACAATGTTCATTGGAGATCGTGGTCTTTGTGTCGGCTCTCGTTTGAAAGGTCATTTGAAGTATGGTGGAAAATGGAAGCCTCGCTTACATTCATCTGTCGCCACAGTGCATACAACCAACGAACACAAGACATCCCAGATGTGCATGTACTGCTTCGGTCTCACCTCTCATCCCACACAAACCATCAAAGCAAAGGATGGTAAGACCAAGACGAGGTCCATTCATGGTGCATTCCTGTGCTTGAATCCTGCCTGCGTATCCGTTCTCAATCACATAGCCATTCAAGGTAGAGACAAGACATCTGCTTTGACCATCGCTGTCTCTGGGCTTTCCATTCTCTTATTCAAGCAGCCATTGCCTGTATTCAATCCTAAACCCAGTCAATCCAACACTGGCATTATTTCCAAGACCACCTCTTTCTGCAACAGAAACGAGAAAAGGGACGGCAGTGGTGCTGCAAGATTCAAGTTTTCGTTTGCGCTCGAAAATTTTGGATTCATTTCGACTTAATTTGACATCTTTCGAACTTGTATGCCAAATTTGACTACCAAAGTCATATTTACTATACCTAACTTCCTTAATCTTTTCTACAGCATTCTTCAAGGCGCATACCGTGGTACCATTTATTTGGTGCTTTTATGTCAAAGCTCTTGCGCTATCTTCGAAAAACCTTATTTCAGTTTTTGATGGAAAAGTCGAGATTTTTCTGGTGCGACCTGTTGAAATACCTTTTAGGGTGATTGCTGGAGCTCCTGCAATCAATTTGGTATTAGAAATACTATAGTGAAAAGCCTCGTTTTCAAGGTGAAAAATTCGATCAATTGATTTTCGATAAAAATCCCTTACTGCCCTTCATGCAAAAAGTGAAGATTTTCGTGATCCTAAAAAATTTGGGATAAGGTGTCGGAAAGCAAGTGTCGACCAAGAGCTATCGTTTGATGCTAATCCGAGCACTCAAAACGGCGTTCGAGAGGGGATATTAGGGCTTGAAATAGGCCAAATGTTGCCCTGTTTTCTCGTATTACTGATGGGGAAGCGGTTTCAGCGATACAATACATGAATGAAAATGCAATGCAGTGAGTGCTATAGCTTTCGGCTATCGTTTACTGCTGGCATTTATATGTATAGATGGGGTTTGGAAGATGAAATGCTACTAAAATGTGTCAATTTGTAATTAAATGAGTTATTCAATGGAAATTTAGACAAGAAGCTTCTTTGATGACACAACTCACAGTGCTTTTGAGTGCTGCTGATGGCATACAGGATGGTAAGAGATGAAAAAGTCGATCGATTGACAATACCGCTTCATTACTAGGAACCATGACATTGGGACTCATCTTCACTCTACATGTACACTTGCTCTGCAATATTGCCTCCTTCCACAAGCAAATCACTCCATCTAGTCGACACAAACATATCTATCAGCATGATTTGCAATGCAATTTACGTTTATTATATGACTGAGAAGGGTATTCTCCTGTGGTCAACGTTGATTTGCCGTGACAAGCGATTTTGAAGCTTTGGGACGACCCAGTAGGACGCGAGTGGCAAAAATATATTTTCTTTTCCTCACATCACTCATTTCAACTAAAAGAATCACACAACATGTCAGGCGAATCTGAATTTTATGTTAGATACTAGTAAGTTGATTTGCAATACGGCTTGCATTAATTTACTCACTCCCAATGTAGCAGCGGCCATCGCGGAAGATATGGCCATGAGTTTCTAGAATTCGAGTTTAGGTCTGATGGTCTTTGCCGATATGCTAATAACTCAAACTACAGAAACGACAGTTTGATCAAAAAAGAGAGTAAGATATTGCGCCAGTCAATTTCATACAGATATATTAATGTAGAGTGTAGTGTACGTGAGTGCAGCTGTTATCGACGAGTTGAAGAGAATCATTGAGGATAGTGAAGTCATGAAGTATGCTTTATTTACCAAAAATCAACATGATGGCACTGACATGTAGTGCACTGTAGAGAAGATGATAGTCAATGGCCAACCAAGAATGTAGTGGGTAGCCAAGAGATTGAAGTTCGTCTCGGAAACGAACACATTTCATTCGAGGTAGGATTGTTCTGGATTGGACATGCTGCGTATTGTGTACTAAATGTGGAATGACAGACATCCAAATTGAGCTCACTTGTCGAAGTTCAGGACAGCAAGGATCCTGATGGTTTGCGTGCATTCTATTACCTTGTTCAAGATTTGAAGGCATTCGTGTTCTCTTTGATTTCACTGCATTTCAAGGTAATATGAAAAATGGAGGTTTTATTTATATCTAATATGTTTATTTTATCATAGATTAAGCCTATCAATTAAGTAGAGAATTTATATATATATATATACTATATTTTAATAAAAGAGAAAATGAGAGTGCAAGAACAAAAAAAGTCTATCGAGAAGCTTATAGAGCAGCATTATTAGGTGTTTCTGGCATAGGAGTAGTAGATTGGTCTGTTGCTATTGAGGAAGGAGACGCAAAAGCAGCATGAGGAGCGAGATGGTGTTGTTGGGGTTGTTGAGATTGAGGTTGATAAATGGGAGTGGTGGATGACTGTTGAGGTTGAGGCTGCTGTTGTTGATGTGATGCATTGTTGGCAGTATGAGAAGAAGGAGGAGGAGGAGATAATGCAGTAGTATGAGCCTTTGATAATTCATCAACATCATCAGCGGGGCCATCCATAAGATCATCTTCATCCTCCTCAATCACTTCGTCATCTAATTCCTCATCATCCTCATCTTGAAGCATGTCAATTTCTTCCTCATCATCTATGTCTAGTTTATCGTCATGATCGCCATCCTCTCCACCCTCTTCTTTGATCTTGTTGGCTGCAGCCTCAACAGCGGCAGCACCTTCAATTCCTCCGCCAGCAGCTGTATAACTCTTCATTGCAACTTCATATTCATCTTGCTCCTTTTTGTAAATGTCGTAGTACTTTTGCTTTTGATCTTTGGTCAGTGCTTTCCACTTTTGGCCAAGCAAACGAGTCACCTCGCCTAAACTTTCATTGGGTACTTCATCTTTGATGTTATCACGTTCCATACGACAATACAAGAAGAAGACATTGCCAGGACCCTTTGGTGCATTGGGATCTCTCTTCTTTCTGGGTGTTGCAGAGGCATTTTTTCGAGTGCCTTTGGTTTCAGCAGACTGTTGCAAGAGTTAGCGAAAGAATACAAGTGGATTGTATCAGTTTGAAACTTACTATAACAGATTCTGAGATGGACATTTCAGAATCACTGTCAGCTCCCAAATTTCCAATAGAAGCATACGCTGCAGCAGAAGCAGGCATGCCATTGGACTTTTTGCTAGAGCGAGGTGTAGGGCGTACTTGTCTTAGATCCTCGATCTCCTCCAATAAGACACTGGAGCAACGTTAGATAATCAAATTTTGTCAATCAAGACACATTTTGCTTACATTCTTTCAATTCGAAGTCTCTTGATGTGATGGCGTGCTTTAGCAAGCTGAGCAGTGATAGTGTCATTTTCCTGTGTAGATGGTGTTAATGTCTGTGTATGCTGCCATGACTAAATAGAGACATTACTTCCTCAATTTCTCGAATACGCTTCTTGTAATCTTGATACTTTTTATTATCACCTAGATGAACAGAAATTTGGTTATTTCTTAATTTGGCAGTTAATTTTTTTTAGCTTTTTTTACTTTTAGTATGAATGTCTTCTGGTAAACTCATGTTGAAGAATCGGAATATTTAGGCCGTAAGGTGTGAAAGGAGAAGGGAAAAGAAGAAGAGAAAAGGAAAGAAAGGAAAAGGAAACTTTTTATTTTAGTATTGGAAAAAAAAATTAATGATATCGATGGGTGTGTATTTTTTTTTTCTATTTGAAAGAAAGCGAGTACCATAGTCTCAACATGGTTTTTCCCTTGTTCATCTATGCTTTGGAAAAGGCTTCTAAATTTAGGCTGTAAAATTTTTTTTTTTTTTTATTGTTTGTTAATGGTTCAAATTACAAACCCTCTTGCTTCTCAACCATCAAATCATTGATGTACATGTATCTGGAAAAAGTGACATACAGCCATCTAAACCATACCAGCTGGCTCGAATGTTGGCGCATGGCTTTATGCGTTGTCAGGTAGGCAAATGGAGGTGAAATCATCTCAATTGATTTCCTGTTGTTAGGAATCATCAAATCAAACACACCAATATATTTGCGAATCAAAGAAACAGAAGTAAGTTTGTAGAGTTTGATACTGGATTCTTGTTGTACAAATGTTCTTTGTCGAGAGTATTGAGTTCATCTGGATTTGGTCATAGCATCTTTTTGTTTACCTTGCTCCGTTATATGCTGCAATGTGATTGGGATGTCCAGAAACACCTTGGTCATCAAATGTGATAATCTACACATGTTGAGTTGAGTTTTTAGGGGGGTATGTCACTCTGTTTTCGTTTGCTTACAGTGTCAATCTTTTGCTTTGTTACGTAATCTTTGACTACTTGGGAGATCACACTGGCATCCCATTGATTTTTCATGCCGTCTTGCAATGCACTAAATTCTTCATATTAGACATGTATAGTATTAGATCGAATAGACATACGGTAGATCGAGAGATTTCACATGTGAGGTTTGGATGCCAAATATTTGACAGCTCTTGGCCAGCTCCTTTTTTCTGATGGAGCCTAAACCATCAGCGTTACCTAGCAACCATGTTAAATGAGGCATGACATCAGTGATTTACATTATTTACCAGTTGATAGACATAATACATGAACACGCGACTTTGTTAATGTCCTAAGAGAAGTAATAGTAGGGCCGAAAAACATACACTCATCATCAGGATGAGCTGTTAAAATCAAGATGTTGTTTGTAGAGAATGGCAACACTTTTTGAAACTGTGCAAGACTAAAATACGCATAGGCTAGCAACGCAATCAAGCAAGCAAAACTAATGAGTGCTGTCAGCATGATTTCTGAGGGGGGAAAAAAAGAGATATTTATTTTATTTAATTCAACGACTCATTTAAAAGCGCATCCATATTAGGTGCACACACAAATTTCTGTACAATATGACCCAACTCGATGGCTTTCTTTGAGTCTTCGCTTTCGTGATCTACCACCATGATATTTTCTAAAAAGGTCGATTGCATGCCTTGATTAACGTCCAGCAAAATTGAGCCAAATTGCATCTTGACTTTTCCGCTTTTATATACAATTAATTTGCCCACTTGACCATCTGGCATGTCCTCCAATTCCATATTAGCCATGGCATCCTCTAATAACGTTGTCTTTTTGGCGGCGGCTGGCAGTGTGTTTTCTGTGGCTTCAGATTTGACGTCGCCGTCCTCGGTCATATCAACATCAGCAATTGGATCTTCGCTCTTGGGTTTTTCAAAAATAGGCACAACAGTGGGTAATTGGAAATATAGCAATTCTTCTTCTGCCACACAAACAAGACGCTGCTTTTCATCTAATGCGAATATATTTTGTGCAGGTGAATCACCATCCATGTATACTTTGGGCAATTCTTGCGGTTCCTCCTCATCCTCTGCATCGTCCACTAATGAGTCAATGGTATCGAGTACTTTACTCACGTCGTCGTCAATCTCCATATCAGGATCTTCATCAGATTCCGTCTTCACTTTTTGCATAGATGGCTTCTTTGCTTTCTTTTGTGATTTCACTGTCATCCAAGGAATTCTGCCGATTGTTTGCTTCAATGTAACTGGGTCGATGTCTCCTTCAAGTCGAGAAACATGCCTAAATGTCACTGGTGTATCTTTACCCACAGCCGAAGTGAACATTTCCACCATATCAGAGTTGGCATCGTCACCCTCTGCTCTTGAAGGCACATCACCACCGTAAGATGCAAATCCGCCACCTCCAAATCCAGGTCTGCCTCTTGAAACTGCTGATGGACCCAATGAAAAGATGCCAGAAGCAGTAGACTCATCGACAATCACCAAACCTCTACCTCTACCTCTACCTCTACCACCACGACCACGACCACCACGACCTCTTTCACCACCATGATGAGGGGCGCTTCCTGCTTTACCAAGTGCTTCATCAATTGCCGAAGAGGATCTATATCAATTTATATCAGACATTGTGTCCAAACTGCGTTCCAGGCAAAACCACTTACACTTCTTTCTTGTTTCTTTTATGAGGGATAGTAGGCTTAAATTTCATCTATAGATTTAAACTGTTAATACGGCTGAATCCAAATGTCATAATTTAACCTTCGGGTCTACATACTTTCATGGTGCCACCTCTTGTCTTTTGGCCATCATTCACACTTTGCAATCTACCAGATCCAGATCCTTCAGGGCGGATAGTACCAATAGGCGGTAATTTGGCATTGGCATGGCCTTCTGTAGATGTCGATTCGGCAGATGGAGAGTCATTGGCACTCTCGGCATGCTCCAACTTGACGGGTGAAGCGACATCTTCTGAAGTTGTGGCTGCTGCTGCTGCTGCTGCTGCACGTCTTTGAGCTGCTGGACTTTTGCCACCTCTCTTGACAGGTGCAAAGCGCCTTGTTGTCTTCTTTACACCGGGTGTATCGTTGGGCTCTGACATGCTATTTTATGATATTGGTGAATGAAACAAATTTTTTGTCGACCTTTTTGATTTTTTGTATCAAAAACCTCTTTTATTACAGTCACATGGAGACGTCCAAAACATCCTCTTGTCATGTTGAATGCATAATTTAGATTATATCCGTTGGATAGATGGTCAGCTTGAGCAAATTGTAATATATGATTCATATGTAGCTCTCAGCACATGTCTTGGGGTTATGCTTTTAATGAAAGTTGTAATACTCGTTACATTGGATAATCTCATTAGCTTGGACACAACATTTCTGTCACAACGGGGATATTAAAGGCAGTGATTCTCTGACAAAAGCATGCAAATAACTCTGCAGGCATTAATACATACAATAAAGTAGAAGTTGCTCATAAATTCAGTTTATGGAAGAAATACGAGTATCTCTATGCTTCAATACGAGCCACTGTTCGTGGTTACGGCTTTCCCATCAAAATATTGTAAGCTTCATCGACCATCCTATTGATGCAGACATCTGGACTGCCTATCATCCAGAAGAACCCCTTCATAACAGCGGATCAGACTATCCTACAATGCTCTGCATCTTTATCCATAGAAACAATCCATATATGGGCAGATAGCATACTAGTATTACCTCTCACTCGTCAATAATATGTAAAACACAGCGAAAGTTGGATGCATTTGAGTCGTATTTTTTTCGCGTTAAAAGCCGTTTTGGACCACTGGAAGAGCGCCAAACAATTGCTCGCATCTAGCGCTTACTTACTGTTACCTTTGCTCAACTTTTTAGGGATGTAAAAAACATCGACCGAAATCGACCAAAAACCATGAGGGATACCTCATAGTTTCCATCAAAAATCAAACGATCGCATTTCTCTCCCCAAAAACAAAGACTTTTGCTATGGTACATATCAGATCAAAGTGTTTCTCTCGATCCAAAGCAACCTCTGAACTCACTTTTACGAAACCTTGATATGTAAAATCTCGACAATTTGCCTCAAAACATCATTTCATATTTTCAAGGAATACTCAACAAGCTTGTCCAAAACGCCTATTTTAATTAGCATCATTGGATGCGCCTTCAAAAGTACTACAAGAAAGATTAGGGAAGGATGGGAAGATCATCACAAACTATATAGTCGAATCTGGCAAAATAGGTCGAATCGAGCTCCAAAAGTTCAGAAATTAACAAATCAAGGCAGAACGCCAATCGGAGATTCAATCAATTTTGGCGACTGATAGCATGGATGCCGTAAAGGTTAGTGCTATTTGTGAAGCTATTCAAAGGGGAGGGGGGGGGGTCTCTATCTAATGGAGACCATAGCTGAAGCTAACAATTATCTGTTACATATCATCACTTTTCTTAACATTGATTGTTTTGGCTTACCATCAAAATTTGTAAGTTTAACTTCCTAAATAAAGCTTGAGATTAGTGTTTAACGACTGTAAATATATGAACTCACGCCGTATGACGGTTTGACTATTCATGTCCTTTTATTGAGGTCATTATTAGGCGACAAAAAGTTAATGGTGCAGTTACAGGCTAGCTAAAGGCTTGAAATAATGCTCAGCATCAATGTTCAATGCGTCCTCTACTAGTGCAAAAGGAATGTACACAAATCAGATAGTTAGTTTTGGTTCCTTGATGTATATCTCGTTTTCCGCTTTTATCTGAAATTCTTTTGCTGCCTCCTTTCTTGCATATAACAATTCTCCTTTCAGTTTCAAGTCTGCTTCATTTTTTTTTGACTATGATACAACAATTTATTCAACAGCAACAATGATGCGATAATCAAAGTGCAAATCGATGTTCAAGCCCGTAGCTATCTCTCTCATTAGCTATGGAGAGCTCCTCCAATTCTTTGCATTGAATCCAAATGAGAAAATTATCGTTAGTGCCGCAATAGTCTGCTTGATCTTGATTGCTGATAGGTGAGCTGGTATTGTTCTTTACATTGTATAAGTACGTTTTTTCATTAGCTTTAACTCTCAAAGTGTATTGATTTCCGGGAAACAAAGCGCTGATAAGGTCTATGTTTCTCGATTGACTTCTGCCGACTGTTGCCTCATAGGGTAGGGCATTCATAAAAGAGGGGGCGCCCGTTACGATTGCTAAACGTCGTAATTTGGTTTCTGGAAGATTGATGCTTAGCGTATAAGGTTCCTCCAAGAGTATGAAGCAGGCATTGAATATGAGGATGTCTATGTTTGGCAGCCATTTTGAAACAATGGGTAGTACTTGGTGATAAAGAATAGAGTTGCTAAATGTCAATTGTTTGACGTTTGGGCTGCTGGATGTTTCTAGATGCGTTGTGCGTCCATTGAGATTAGGGACAAACATGCCACTAAATGACACCACTGCGTCAGTTGTATCAGCAGTGCTAAGTAAAGATCTGGTCAAGATTGTCCAATTCTTTGCCCCTATCAATTCACGTCGTTGGAAATCTCTGAGGCTAATTGCGAATTCAGTAGGTGTTGTAGCCATTGAGAGGTGTCCGGATTCTAACGCTGACTTTATGAAATCTGCTTCTTCGATATGTTTGATAGTGATATGGTTTGGCGAGTAGTTGTCAAACCAATGGGTATGATAATCGAATTCACTGTCAGTATAGTCCTCGTCGAATTCAGTCCGTGGCAGACTGACTTCAATGCCAGAGCGGGTGCCGTTTTTCTTCAAGGTGATCCTCCCTGATAAATCAAACATGTCATCTTCATATGGGTCTCCTTCATTTTCGACAATGTAATCAATCACAAGAAATGTGTCCTTTGGCGATGCTTTCTTGGTCAGATCAATGCATCGGTCTTTGATGACCGTCTCTAACCCCAGGTTAAAGCACAAGTTGTATTCTCTAAGTGAAGAACACAAATCCGTCAGGCCATGAATCCAATCAGGATCTATCATCTTCAGTGGGACCACCTGCTCCATTGTCAACTTTTGCAAATTTTTGAATTTGGCGGCAAAGTAGGACACTGTATTCATCAAACTGCGGCTAATGGATATTTCTTTGATGCTGTAGTTGGGATTGGCGACCTCGCTGATTGCAACTTCCAGGGACGACACAGGCCAATATTTGCTAATGGATAATTTGGTTACTGTAGAGCTGCATTTGTCAAGCACTTGACATATCTGGCCGTAGGAATTGAATTCACATTCATCCAAGGCCAATTCTCGCAGCGAAACAAATTGAGACAGCTTGTCAAGTAGATATCTCGAGTGCCATGTTGACTGTCGGTGGATTTCCACAAAATGCAGTTTTGATAAGGATTTGTCCAATTTGGAGGCAACGAATGGATACAAAAATGAGTAATTGAGAGAGTCTTTATCCTCAACAATTGATCGAATGTTGCCTAATCTTGCATCTGGTAGTGTTAAAAGATAGGGCCATGCGACCTCTTTTGATGAGCCGTTGCAGTAGAAATCCTCCAATTTTGGGCAACTGTTGAATATCGCATCCAAAGCTGTCAAAGGTTCTTCCAGTCGATCCAGATGATCGCAGACGGTGATCGTTTTGACAAAATCCCCCGTATGTGGTGCCAACACCTTTATCGTAAAGATGAACTGAACAAACCTTTGTAACTCGTCTTCTATATTATCATCTTGACAGCTGATACGTCTATACAAAAGTGATTGTGCTGCTTTGCTCCAACCTTTGCAGACAAGTTGGTAATTATAAAAGTCTTTTCTTGTCTGAATGTATCGGCTGTTGGAGTCGACATTGTGCTCGAATATATATGTGAGCACTTCAAAAGGTAGCTTATCCCATGCAGACGACATGTTTGAGAGAATGAAAAATGATAAAAGAGGGGAATCAGTGCGTATAGCTCGCTTTAAACCAGTCCAAAGCTGAAGCATTAATTCCAAACAGACGCGTTGGCATGTGCTGATGCGGTTTTCAAGAGGCACTTAATTCCTGCAGATGACATCAAAGAAACGAAACGTAGCTTTTTTTTTTTATTGCAGGATATTTAAATCGGCAAACATCATGCCTTTAACTGAACGCCGTTTTGCACAAACATCTTGAGCACCTCCATAGAGGCAGAGCGCACTTGCTGCACCTGGCACTGCTTGACAAGCGCCATCAACATCCTATCCGCATCCACCTTGACAAGCTCATCCACGACAGGCTTCCCCTTGTGCTCAATCAAACAACGCAGCACTTCAATGCCTCGATGCTGCACATCCACTGTTTCTTCCATTGAGAGCCATCGCGCCATTCGTTCATAGCATTTATCCACTTTGAGTATCATCGCACACGTGCCGGGACTATTGGCTAAAATGGCCAATGCGCCTGAAGCAGCACGTCGTGTAGCAGGATCTTCGTGATCTGACAGAATCATCAATAATCGAATTCTATTTTGTGATTTAGAAGGATCGCTGTATCGCTCAAACACGGGATCACAGAACGTCATGTTGCACACCATCTCTGTAGCCGCACGTTGTACCATATCGTTATTGGATAGCTGCAGATTCTCAAATACAGACATGCCATCTGCGTGCTCAATTAATTGACGCACACGATCATCCACAGAGGCGAGATTGGTCAATGCCATCAGCCCCTCAAATTGCCGTAATTGAGCATTGTCTTTGCACAGGGCCAAGAAGGGTCGAACAAGGTCCAAGATGGTGTCTCCTACAAAAGCAATGCGTGGGTCGGTTGTGATGGCCAGCTTGGCCAAGGCTTGAGAGGCAATGATGCCACTGTTGGTGTCACGAGACAGTGGTAGTAGGCCCTTGACAATGCCTTGCTGTAACAGTTGACCTCGTGTTGCTTGTGGTGTCACTAAATTGAGGTAGGTCTGTGCGGCAACAGCACGGATATTGACACTGCTGTTCTTGGATAACACCATGAGAGCCATAGCAGCACCTTGCTTGACGGCCTTCTTGATGCGCTCCTCCACTGCTTTGTCATCCTCTCTAGGATCCTCTTTCTCTTCTTGTTGTGCTGCTGCTCCTGCTGCTTGTCGTTGCTTGGCATTGGCTAAATCCCTCAATTTCTTCATCTGCTTTTGATGGTCATCCATCACTGGCCGATACATGGTGATATTGACAAGGATGGTGCCAATACCAAACAACAGAGGGTTGGAGCTGGCAGTGTCCTGTCTTGCTGTGCTGATCGTCAATGTAGAGAGGCATTTGAGGAATTCTTCATCATCGCCCAAGGATGACTTGACATCTGGCTTTAAGCAAGCATAAGCTAATCCCTCTACTGCGTTCAGTACCAGTGACGCGTCGGATGATTTCGACTTGATGATATCTTTGAGTGAGTTGATCAGTGTGTCGTTGGTGAGGCTCATTTTTCGCATAGCGTCTTCCAAAGAGGGTGTGGCTTCAGTGACATTGGAAGCAGCGGTGCTGGCACCATCGTCCGTGGGTAGATCCGATTGAGCACGCAGTTTCGTCAATGCAGTACCAGCAGTCGCTTTCAACCGGGGATCTGTCTTGGACTGACCTGCCATCTTCGCCAGCCAATGTACAGCGTATTTCATGATTTGCTTGCGACATGTCTTGTCAGAAGAGGCGATAGTCAATACTTCCGCGATGGCCAGCTGCACAGGCACCGTCTCAAATTCGACTACATCCATCATCTCCTCGATTGTACCTTCCTGGCATAAAATAGCGGATCCTACTGTCATACTGGTCTGGAAAATGGCTGTCAAGGTGCGATAGGCGAGTAGTTTGGTCTCGTTTTTGCCTTGGTCCACGCAATGCGAAAAACAAGCAGCACATTGCTCGATAATATAGGTCATAGGGTATGATTTGGGTTCGTCTTGTGGGTTGAAGAGTCGAGTAAGAATCATAAAGGACAGACTCTTGATACGAGGTGGGGTATCAGGTGTGCCACAAGCTGTCAAAACAAGCACGAAATCGTTGGAGCTGACAAACTGTCGAATGCTGGCGCTATCCTGTGATTTCTCGAGACTGGCTAGATGCTTTTGAAAGGATGCCACTCGAGGATCCTCTTCTTCTACTGCTGATGTTGTTGCTGATGGCTGTTGTTGTTTGTGCGTGTTGAATCGAGACAGGAGTTCTGTTGCCTCTGCTTTTACCTGGGCATCGCGTTTGAGAGCAATTTGTACATCTTCAGTTGCTTTGTCAATCTGATCTAAGAGCTCGTACACCTGTGCTCTTTGGAGTAGGATCTGTGCTGTGGCTTTATTGGCTGTGCTGCTAGCTTCAAGTTGTTTTGTAAGCTCGAGCACCTGCTGTTCTAAAGTCTAGTAGTGTGGCAAATATTAGCAATGTGCACTGGTCGATACAGTTGTCCAACAGACAAACCTCTTTGTTTTCTAGAAGACAGTGCTCTGTTTAGTAGATATCAATATTATCAGCTATGGCTAGCTTACCTTGTGCCATGTGTATAATTGAAAGAAACAAAGCGTGATGATTTAGAAACGATGCGGCTATTTAAAAGAAAATGTAATTTGTCAAATAGAGGCACCTTTTTCATTTTTCCACGCGTTACATCCAAATGGCACAAAATAGTGGCACGCTTCAGCGAAAACTCACTACACTGGTAGAAGAGCTGAAAAGGGCTTGCACTACATGGGAAGAAATCAATTCGCACTCTTTTCCGGTAGCAAATACTCTGACAAATCTTGCCATCCAATCGAGGTAGATGAGTGGTATCATGTCGAATAGAAGAGGTTACTTAGATCTTGTTTATAGATATGTGGATGAAACACAATATTGGCATCCCCAATTGACCATGGAATTCCCCAACATCATACAGAAGTTTGACTCCAAAATACAATTACTGATACAAAGGCAGAATGCTGTTTTGGCGGATTTAGTAGAAAAGATGGCCAAGCAGTATGCCAAGATGCTGAATATACACAGGGAATTGCTCACCGTCTATGAACGGACAAGAGACTCGCATGGTGCAGCATTCGTGGATCAGCAAGCGATTTACCTGACATGCCCGCTAAAAACCTATGGTAAGAAATGGCGCATTGCCTGTTGACATGCCATTGAACTCCTATCATCATTAGTGGAAAGGATCAGCACGATCACAGACATGTTCAAGAGCGAATTGAATACCAAGAGATCTATGGTGTCTGCCGCTGGATTTTCGAGCTTAACAACAAGAGAGGAAGGTATGGTGCTGCTGTCCATCTGGATTAATCAACCAAGCATAGTGGAATCAACATTGCAAGACTGGGATGACATTTGCTCGACAGAAATGAATTCGTGATGCGCCGAGTGATGCTATTCAATAGATATATAAGAATTGGCCATCGGATATTGCCCCTTATGTTCAAATAAGGACACACAGTGCGTTTGTTTCTCGGTATCCAGAGGCTATAAATAGAGAGCTCTGGACAAACATACCCAATCTGTTCCTCGAAATAAATGCCGTGCACTAGCCATTTTACATTTTGCAACCCTACATGTTGGCCAGAGATCGCCACTGCATACACATCTAAGATGCATTTGCAAATTGCATCATGGAGAGTCACTAATGCCGATATGCTTCCACGCGTCTTCCTTTGTGCCTGCAAGTATAGACAGCAACAGCATTCATCAAATGGCCCAATTTGTATGAGCATCATAGTATGAGATTGGCTCGTTTCTGTACCACTGGTTTAGGATGACTCTAGACCAGAATATAGTGGGAGTAAGGAGAGGCAGGGACAATTATGTAAATTCTCATTACCGAAATAAACCGTCTGGTATTTTGAATCAGAGAAATGAACAATGAAATGTATAGCATTGATATCTGGTCGCAGATGATAATTTTAAAGTGAATAAAATCAGCCGTTTTTTGTTGAACAATATAGAGTTCAATGAGAATGTCTTCCACTGTAGATGCTCTAATTGCCTCATGCACTCAATATATACCTGACAAAGTCAATTGAGCTAAATGATGTACACGTAAGAAGGCATGGCATCCAGCCGCGTGTCATTGATATGGCATCACAGGCTGCAAACATGTTAATTCTCGGTCATAGGCAGCCATGGCTACAATACAGCTGTATTCTCACTCACTCTGTCTGCATTTACACACAGTGATACAAATGATACCGAGTCTTTTTTTTTTTTCCATCATTTAGTACAGAAAACAAGGAGTGTTGGCAAGAAAGGGGAGCAAGTGGAGTTTAAGAACAAACAAGAGGTGTAACAGCATTCAATCCAATGAGACGATATGATTTGCATCAGAAGGGTTACTCAAAATATATATTGAATTCTCTTTTCTTTGACGAGATGAAATCTGCTTTTGACTCATGTCTAATGCAAAATTGACTTTATACGTGTTTCAAGCTGAATCAAGGTTTTGAGTAGTAAGAGCAAACGCAAGTGATGCTGCCGTAAACAAATACACAGAAGGCAAGCTTATTATTAAACCTGATAACAAGATTTATATTTGTACAACAGTGATAATTAAATCTATGAACACTACCTGCTTACTAGCTATATAACCATGCTTCCTTTTTGCCCTTTTCTTTTCTTCTTCTTCTTTATACAACACCCCTTTTTCTTTCAAGACAACTCAAAGCAAATCTTGGTTGGTTATCACTCTTTAAATACCAGCTAAATCACATCTTTTTGCAACATACTTTCCTTCAAACAACAACAACTACATCTCAGCAAAAATCTTACCTTCCTTCTTCCCCTTCCATCACCCTTCTTTATCCTGAAAAAATGAACAATATCGAAACTGAATTTGGCTTTGACGAATATATCATGCCCACTACTTATTCTACCATGCCAAAGGTTGAATCTTACGATGCTCAACTTTATCCTTCAGGTACATTTTGCGTGTATAATTGAATCAACTGACGTCATTTAACACTCTTTCCATTAGCATTTGGTTACTATGATACCAATGGTCTTGATACATTAAGTCAACCTATCATGATGGCACCTGCACCTTATGATATGTATCAAACTACCAACTCTGCTTGTCATGTAACGCTTCCCCCCTCCGCTTCTCCCTCTGCCTCCACTATCACTCACATTCAACATCAACAACAGCAAGGATCATCTAGCCCTGAATCCATGTCCAGCCGCCTTTCACCTCCTACTGTATCAACACCTTTATTATCACCTCATCATCAAGCTACTATCACTGAAAAGATTGCCAATGTCAACAAATTACCTGAATCATTCTTACCCGAGTTTCACCAATACTCGAAAGAAACTTATGAGAATGGATCATCCAACAGCAAGAAACGCAGACGCACAAACAATGGCAGCAAAAAAGATGTGCCATCATCTACCAGTGCCGATGAAGATCAACCTCACAACAATTCATCTAGCAGCAGTGACCTTGAAGATGATGCTGATGGTGTTTCTGCACAAGAAGTGCGTCGTCAAATTCACATTCAATCTGAACAAAAGCGTCGTGCTCAAATCAAGGATGGTTTTGAGGAATTGCGTCAACATTTACCTGGTTGTGTTAATAAGAAGATGAGCAAAGCTGCTCTGTTACATCGCAGTAAGTTACATTGCATCTAAAATCACTGCGGTGCATTTGTCATTGACGCTTCTGTGTTTTGTGTAGCTGTTCAACATTTGCAACATTTGAAGAAGAACCAAACTTCCTTGTTGGCCGAATTAGAACGTATGATGAATGAAAATGAACAATTGAGAAAATTTCAAGAGTCTGTCTTGCAAAAGCAAGCTCTTGAAAGAATGTATCAAATGGGCATGTAAAAATATGGATTTCATATTTAGCCCCTCGTACCCATTTCTACCTATTTCTCTTTTACCACTATGTCGTCTTCTTTTCTTTCTTATAATAAGCAACACCAGGGTTTGTTATTTTGATACCCAAAATTGCTTGCATGTTCAACGTAGATTCCCCCTTCTTCCTCTCTTAAGTTATTTATGATTTGTTTTTTTCATTGCCCATTTAGAAAAGAAACATTCACTATTAATTTTTTATGGTCTTTTTTTTTTATCTCACTCTTTCTTTCCTCCATTTTTTCAATCAAAAATAAAATATATAAATTGTTTATATTTCATACATGCTCTAGTTGTCATTCATCATTTTATTCAACAGAATATACGACGCACATACCAAATAATCACAGACTAAATATTAGTGCTTTTAATAAAATTGGGTGACACAATGTTCAACCTTGGTAACATTAATGTGATTTAATACACCGTTTGGTTTCAAATACAAAAATACATCCTCTAACTCACCGTATGGTGTCGCTTCATCAACAGTAAAGCTTGTATAATTCAAGTAACTATACAAGTTTTCGAGACATGCATTCAATAGCGTTTTTGTATTTGTATTTTTCAAGAATAGAACACTTTTGTATATGAATATCGGAGCTGACCGAGACAATGCTGTACTAGCAGGTACGATTCAACAAAGCGCATTGAAATAGCGTTGATGCCAAGATGTATATTGGACACATTAACTGAGCGATCCTTGAAAGGACGAAATATTGATAAAGGTCAAAATTCTGTCAAATAAACTCGAAAACCTGATCTTACCAAATTGTGATGATTCATATGTAAATGGTGGCTGTTCCACGATATCCGATGTTCACAGAGGGAGCCTAGTGCATATATCACTTGGGGTATCTTATTGATAAGCGAACTCGGATTTCTGCGTCCCATAGTAAGTAGAGAGACATGCATGAAGTTATAAACTGTATCAATCTGAAGTCTTCAAAAGCTGGAAAACCTACTTTTGCACTCTTTCATCTTTCAAGTAAACCCCTTCAAAAGGCTTCAAACCTACAGATTTGATTCATCTATAATGCAATACGTCTGCATCAATGAGGAAAACTCATAAACAAGTAGACAGCATAGTTGCATCACCTCTTACTGCTGGCTAGTCTGCAAAAATCAGTGATATTTAGATATATTGAGTCGTGTTTTTTCGCGCTAAAAGTCGTTTTGGACCGCTGGAATAGCGCCAAACAATTGCTCGCATCTAGCAGTAACTTCCTAAACCCTTTGCTCAACTTTTTGAGGACCAAAAAAACATGGACGAAATTTGACCAAAAAGCATGAGGTACCCCTCATGATTTTCATCGAAAATCAAACGATCGCGTTTTTGACCTACAAAATGAAGACTTTTACTATGGCATATGCTAAATCAAAAATTTTTTTTTTTGTATTTAAAAGTGTCTTTTATTGAGAATAAAGAAAACGACAGTACGGGACCATGAGGTTGCTTACATGTCGTCTAAGAAAGAAGAAATCAATTTGGAGTGATCGGCGAGAAAAGAGGAGAAAACTATCTGAGTACGCCATGATTTACCATCAAGAGAACAGCTCCAATGATGCTGCCATAGAGAAGAGAAAGCAGCTCCAAGAAGTTCCAAGATGGAAATATCCAGAGGATTTTTTTCCTGGTCGTGAAGGGTAGAGAGACCAATCCAGATGGCATTGTCCGTAGGGAACAGATCGGAAAGACCGAGGTGGGAGATGACCTCAAACCAGAAGAGGGATTTCATGTCACAGCCGACGACCAGATGGTATTCATCTTCAGGCGCTTCAGTACACAACTTACAGAGTGGGGAGGGATGCCTGGCACGGTTGATGATATGTAGGCGAGCCTGCACAGAGAGATGGCCATGGAGCAAACGCCACCAGGGTGTGAATGCCTTGGCAGGAAGACAGAGGGACCAAAAATCACGCCAGAGGCGAGGAGGAATCAAAAGATGAGTTGGGCGATACCGAGGAGGGTGGGCTGGGCCACGAAGCAAATCAAATGATGGGTGCCAATAACGGCGTAATGCACCGAGCTTGATCTGGGCCATTGTAGCTTTTGATCTAGGGCCGGTGGTGATATACCAATGCGAAAAGCTAGCAGTGGGTGGAGAGGGGGTAGGCTGGCTCTCCAACATGGCGGTGCGTTCTTGGTCAGTGAAGGCCATAACCGATCTAAGAGGAGCAGGAATGATCCACACAGAAGGACCTACAAAGGGGCACAGAGCATTGAACAGATGTTGCAAGGAGATGGCATCAAGAGGACGTACACATGCCAAGATGTTAGTATCTGGAAGCACACTCAAGAGGTTGGCAATCAACGCATGTGGTGGGAGTTTGTCACTAGCCCTAGACAAGGTCTCTGTTGGTGAAAGGGAGCAGACACTTGACCAAGGTAGATCGAGGAACCACCAAGACGGCCACTGAGTATAGGGAGTCAGAGTGGGCAACCGAGAGATCAAACGAGCGAGATGTGCTAGATGAGGGCATTTTCGCAAACGAGGCATGTAAGTACGAGGATACATCAGCAAAGGAAGAGCAGTAGCGTGACCCGAGTATACATGAAAGGTATACAGCAGCCAAGGAGAGAGAAAATCAGTCTGAGCACGAGGAAGAAGTAAACGTTTGACATATATGAGATGCAGAGCGAGATGCTGATTCTCAATGTCGACTAATCCTAGACCTCCATGTTTGCGAGGAAGGCAAAGGGAATCCCATGACACCACCGGCCAAAACGAGACGATGTACGTTCGTACAATGCGCTTGACCTCCTGAAGCCACTCAGCTGGCACCACAACCACACGAAGAAGATGCCACATACGAGACAAAAGAAGGGAATTTGCCACTAAACCCTTACCACGTATGGATAGCTGCCGTTTCTTGAGCAAATTGCACTGACGCTGTAGGTTCACCGTTACTGAATCCAGAAAATGAGCCAACTGTTCCTTGGTGTGATACAGAGGATAGCCGAGGTATCTCACGGAGCCAATCGAAGATTCATCGTACCACTCTATATTGGACGTTTCCGCCAAATGTGTCCACGATTCATGACGCTTGCCAGACAGCGACACCAAAATTGTTTTATTCAGATTGACCTTGGCATTGGACGCTTTGCCATAAAGAGACAAGAGAGACAAAAGCACTGGCCATTCCGCCGTGGACGTCAGAAAGACTTCTAGATCATCAGCATAACTGAGTAGTTTGATCCGTGGAGGGCTCTCTGGAGCACGTAAGAGATCATGGTTGCCATGTGGAGGTATTTGAGACGAAGCATTCGAGGTACGACCTGCAAGAGGGGAGCGAGTATTGGTAGACATAGCCACACCGCGTAACTCTGAACAAGCCAGAATGGTCCGAAGGAAAGGCTCAAAAGCGAGATTGAAAAGCAATGGCGAGAGAGGATCTCCCTGTCGTAGGCCACGTTGTTGTTGGATAGGAGCTCCCAACCAGCCATTGATGGACAGTGAGATGTGAGTTCCAAAGAACAAACTTGACACGCTTTCTACCAAAGAGGCTGGAAATCCAAACTGATGTAGCACCATCCGCAGATATGTAGGATTGACACGGTCATATGCTTTTTCCTGGTCCAAAAGCACTGAAACATTGGGATCATCAGGAGCAGCCGCACGGAGGTTGGTCATCAGCGTTTGGTTGAGCCAAGCGTTATCCGATATCAAACGGTGAGGCATAAAGCCCGTTTGATATGGAGTGACGAGCTTAGACAGAACACGCTTGAACCGGTTAGCTAGCAGCTTGGTAAATATCTTAGCATCACTGTTAATCAGGGAAAGAGGACGCCAGTTTTTGAGCAATTCTGGGTCACCCTTTTTGAACAGGAGCACCATCCGCGTTTGCTTCCACGATTCAGGAAAAACGCCATTCAGAGCATCCGTCAACACTTGTTGCAAGAGAAGCAGAATCGGCGGAAATTTCGCAGCCAAGTAGGGATAAACCTCAAATGGAAGGCCATCTAAACCGGGAGACTTGTTCTTGGGTGCATGGTCAAGCAACAGCAAGACAGAGTCTGTAGAAGGTGGTTCCATGAGCCTTTCCGCCTCCGCCTCTTGAAGCTTCGCATCGTCAGGGATATTTGCAAAAAGAGAGTTCACAGCAGCCAGATCAATGTCATCAGGAGTGTAGAGAACCTGATAGAAAGATCGAGCTTCTTGAAGAATTTCACTCATGTCAGTCAATTTCTCACCAGTGCCGGCCTTTTTCAAGGATTGGATGGTTTGTTGGGCTTCACGATCCTTAATCACACGAAAGAAATACTTGTTGTTCTGCTCCCCCATCTCAAGCCAACGAGTGGCCGAACGCAGCATAGCTTGACGAGTATCCTCTTGAATCTTTTGCTCAATAAGTTGTTCCAGTGTCTTGATCCTAGCCGACTCCTCCTCGTCACCAAGCAGCTGTTCCCGTTCACGTTGAAAGTGGGAGACGCGAGCTTTGTAGCGAGCCTTTTGGCCTTTTGTGAACTGCTGAGCACAGTACTTGATCACCGCCTTGAGAGACTCCCATTTCTCTTGGACGGGCCGTAGACCCATACCCTCAGGGCCATCCCCCGATACACTAGCATCAGCCGCAACCCCATCACAGTAATCCGAAGCCAGAAAGAGTTCTATGGTTTTATCCAAGAGAGCTTGGAATTCAATGTTTTCCAACAAGTATGGGTTAAACCGCCAGCTGCCAGGGCCCAACTTCACACCAGATGTGATCAAATCAGCAGTGAGAAGACTGTGATCTGTCCACGGTTGAGGGATGTGATGCGTCTGAGCATTGACCATACGAGTAGCCATACGGGGAGGACAAAAAACATAATCAATGGTGGTACCGGTTCGAGGGAGCGTCATTGTACCTTTCGGAAAACAATTGAGGAAGTGGGTATTCAGCCATTCCACAAAAGGTTTGATCCTAGGGCTTCGAGCTTCGACCGGGTTATGTAAATGGATATTGAAATCTCCAAGCAGAATCCATTGGGAGTCCAGTATATCCGACCAACAGGGCATAGACATCAGCACCGGAAGGAAAGCGTGGCGATCTGCCTTCTGCACTGGGATGTATACATTGGCCACTTTGCAGATGGTGTGGTGGGCATCCGTAACAGAGGCGGTAACGCAGCGTTCATCGAGAGAGATGGCTGTGTCCGTAAGTTCTAAGTCTTTGCGAAGACAGACGATAGCGCAGTGTTTAGATATAACAAAAGAGCAGCGAGGAAACATAAAAGAGAATTCACGAATATTGTCATCAGAGAGATGAGCCTGTTGACGAAAATGAGAGACCTCCTGCAGACAAAGAATATCCAGCTGGAGGGATTTGGAGCGTAAGAAGGAAGTGAATTCCTTCTGTGTAGTTTTAGAGGAACCCTTAAAGATGCTCCGGGCATTAAGGGTACCTATACGCAATGATTGTTGTATCATTATGCCCTATGGGCGTCCTGATACACTGTTGGCTGCGACATAGACGTCGAGCTCATAGAATGACGGCGGAGAGAGGGCACATCAGTCTGGAAATCATTGGGAGAGGAGACATTGTCAGCAGATAACTTGGGATCCAAATGCATATGGAAGGACGAAGCTAACGGAGCATGTTTAGAAGCATCGCTACCGTTGGGAGAACGCTGGAGGGTCTGGGGATCTACCTCCATCACATCCGGAGACTGGTCCCAGGTTTGGCTGTCATCTGCGGAAAACAAGGTACTGATCTGGCTACTTTTGAGCTCGGTCGTTTTGCCGGCTAGCTTGTCTGTGGTGGTGGGCTGAGATGGCAGTTGCTGCGCGAGAATACCATTGATCGCAGGAGATGCTCAGTGGCCCTTCTCTTTTTCGTTATCTTTATCAATTGGAGTGACTGAGTAGGAATCAGTGTGATCCCTTTGGCTCGACTCATATTCGGCGATTGCTTCGTCAAAAGGCTTCTCTTCCTCTCGACAGAACTTAACAGTGTGTCCCAACTTGTGACATTTGAAGCATTTGCGTTTAGCTAGGATAGGACAAGCAGCGCGAATGTGTCCACTCTGACGGCAGAAATGGCAAACTGGTGGTGCTCCTCTGTATGTCGCTGGCACATAGACATCCCAGGCGGAAAGGTAAAGCATGCGACTCAAAGGCTGTACGTCGTAGGAGTGACCTTCCGCGTCAGTGTACTTGACCGAAGTGTCGATCAGGAAGCTGACATGACCCTCAAAGAAGCCATCAACAGTGTACTTCTTGATTTGGTATAGCTTACCATAGTATTTCAGCGAGCGTTGCAAGTCCTCCAGAAAAGTGGTCATGTTTGGCATGCGGACAATAGTCATTTGCACATGGGTGAGTTTGCCCTCGCTGTTGTCCTTGACAGCAGTAGCTTTGTATACCACATCGCCATGAGTGATGCCGTTGTTGATGGCTCGTTTGGCATCCTCAGGGGAGTCAAATTTAGCTTCCACCAAGAGATCTCCAGTTGACTTCTGGTGATACAGACTAAGGGGGCGAAACTGGACATTAGCAGCTATTTGTTCCTGAATGAGGCGATACGCTGTTGTACGATGCACAAAAAGTTTGTTTGGAAAGGTAAACAAAACCGATCCCGGTGTCAAAGCTTGCTGCAGGATGGCAGTAGCTTTACGAGTGAGCACCTCGGCCTTCAGATCTTCGTGTTCGAACATAACTTCAGGAATTAGTTTAAAATGGTCATCTTTAGCTCGCTGTTGTGGAGCATTGATGACCTTCTTGGAGAGGCCTCGAGAGAGGACCGTGACCCAAGAGAGGTCAGTGGTGGTAGCCATGAGGATGGGTAGTGGAACGCTGGTGGTTATAAGGTTGTAGATGTGATTTAAGCAGTGGCGTAATTTTCACCTTAGGGGTAGTGATGGTTACGCGAAAGAGCCTCATATGCTAAATCAAAATGTTTCTATCGATCCAAAGCAACCCCTGAAATCACTTTTGCGAAACCTTGATATGTAAAATCTCGACATTTAGTCCAAAAACGACATTTCATATTTCCAAATAATACTCAAAAAGGTTGTTCAAAACATCTACTATAGCTAGCACCATTGAATTCGCTTTGAAAAGTACTTCTACAAAGCTTAAGGAAGTGAGGGAAAATTATTACAATTTCTATAGTCGAATCCTACAAAATAATTTGAAGAAGTCGAATTAGAATAAAGATTAACAAAAAAAAAGCAAAAAATGTTCACCTGAGTTTGAACCAGTTTTGGCTGACAGAGTCAAAGCCATACTACTAATTGCTGAGGTTATTGCGGAGCAAGTAATTGAAGCCTTTACATCGTGGTAATTGATGTTATATAAATCTTATGAAAAGGGTATTGCGAGCTGACTAGTACTATTTCCTCCTAAGATTGCCATCTTTTAATGGTGCTGCTATCTGCTTACCTATAAGGTGGCTTCGTTTGCTGCAAAATGCATCCCTCCTATTGCCAAATGCAAAATTGTACATTGCCGTCAAGACTGAAGCATCCCTGGAGGAACAGAGCTACAATTGACAAAAAGGAATACCACAGACACTTTATACAGTAAATTAAGTGTAATGAAGGGTGAGCCTGTATGCCACAACAAAGTTGCAATTCAAACCACGTTATACAATGTTGAGAATCTTCATGCATGAATCCTGAGCAAAATTAGGTGGCGCCATCATACAAAAAGAGCAATTTTCTGACAGTTGGATAAACAAGAAGTTTCATGGAGAGGCATCCAATCAACTTATTCCTGCATTTTACAATGCTGATAGCTGATTACATAAAAAAAGAACAGATTCGGTTCTTCAATCATTCAATCCAAAAAACCAATGACCCTTGTCCATGATGTTTTTAGTTTTCTGTATTGATCAAGTGTGTTTTGTGCCATGATGGAGTCAGTGAGTGTCAACTGTTGGGCATACAAATGATTTGATCAGTAGGCTGATACCAGAGGATATTGCGGCCATCGAGTGAGGGTTAAAGAGGAAAACTGTCCGAGGTATAAAAATGGCAAAAAGTTGTGGAGGAGGATTGGGATTGTTATGGGATGGAAAAAAAAAGGCACACATGGTATATAAAACTATCAGTTTCCCAGATTTTCCAAGGAGAATTAATAGTAGTTGATTACTTAATCAACCTTGTTCAGGAGCCGAATGAATGGAAATGCCAAATGTTATCATTTAATGCACAGGTAATGTCTTTATTACAATTTCATCGAATTGTCAGGACAATGAGTAGGCCGGGAAAAAGAGCGACGGTATGAAAGATTTACACTTAATGGCGATGATAGAGCGAGAAAAAAATAGAATACGAGATGGGAGGGTTATATGAGTAAGAGAGATTCAAGAAAAAAGGTCGAATTAGCCTAACCTTCCTAAACTGTCATTAAAATTAGTCGTATTGCTACTAGGTTCAGTAGTTTCCTCAGAAGGCACCATTGGGATCTGAGGTCTTTGTCTCGTCTGCAGCATGGCAAACAAATCATCCAACACTTGCCCACTGTTGGCATTTGGCAAAAAGTCGTTGTTACTGGTAATAGTGGGTCCAAATTCATCTTCAAAGAAGGGATCAAAGTCGAAATCGAGATCAAAATCGCCAACACCAGGCGGTGCTGCAACCATGTTATCAGCTGGCATATGCTGTGCGTTTGCGTTACCATTGTTACTCCAGAAATCATTTGGGGGATGTTGCAATTGAGGTTGCTCTTGTTGAATAGATATTAAGATAGGATTATTTGTCGAATTGTGTATCATTGGCGTTGGAAAGCTATTAGCATCAACAACATTGGCTATCGGTGCCTGACCCATAGGCTGTTGCGTTGATTGCTGCTGCTGTTGCTGTTGATGTTGTTGTCCCATGATAGAATCATCTAATTTACGTCTTTTATGAACATCATCTACTGTATCGTTTCCAATTAAAGCTGGTGTGTGATCAGTTGGGTGATACGATGGAGTCTCAAACCCTGATATTGGATTAGGTGCTCTCAATGGTATACGTGTGAATGAACCTGCCGTTGCCGCTGATGCTGCTTCGTCGATATTACTATTTGGAGTATTATCATTATCCTCCAAATCTATTGTTGTGCTTGGTGTAGTGCTTATTTGCTCGTGACGCAGCCTTGATTCATGATGAGATCGTTTCACAGACTGAACAGTGGTGGGTGATACACTGCCCCTTCTTGCCATGGCCTCGCCCTCACTCACAGCTCGTGTGATGGGTAAAGACATGGATCTCTCAGGGCTTTTTCTTATTGCTGCTGATGAGGGCGTACTGGATTCAGGATTGATGGGTGGTGTTAATAAAGAGGGCGTGCTCGCTTTTAGTTTCTCCAATTCAGCTATTTTGCTAGCATCTCCTCCTGTCAACACAACCACTTGATTCTCCAAAGCAGCCACTCTTTCGCGAAGCTCTCCATTCTCTTTACGCAATTTATCCATTTCCTCCTGCCAATCTTCCATCTCCTTTGCCTTGATTTCCAAATCCTTGATGTATTGCTCTCTGCGTTGTCTAAATGCCTTTTGTGCAGCTCGGTTTTGTGCAGCTCGTTTTGATGGAATTACTGCTCGATTGCTTCCTTTACTATTTTTTGGATTGTCCAATTCATGCGCCTGCGCTGGTGGAGAAGCAGATTGTTCTTGATGGTTTGATGAATGCATAGCAGCGCTTTGTACCGGTGACACTTGTTGGCGCTGTTGCTGCTGCTGTTGTTGATGATGTGGATGTTGCTGATGCTGATGTTGAGGCGGCATCGGTAACACAGACCCAGGTGGTCTTGATACCATGTAATTGAACGTTTCAGATGCATGGTCTAATGCTATGAATACAATGATGAGTATTGCCTATCAATATGCATTTGCATTACAGCGTATTTACCTGATGGCATCATCCATGGCTGACCGCTGTGATTACTGTTATTATTGCTGTTCATATTGAAAGCGTTTTGTTTCGAGTTCTATAAAGCGAAGGGCATCATAGCGACGAGAAATTAGTATCCATGGCAACTGCATCCCGAGAAATTGATCTTACCCTGTCGAATGCAAGTTGAAACAATGAGATATGGGTTGAAATGAAGGAAGTATGATAGTAATGAAAAAAAAATGGATATATTGCAGAAAGACTAAAACATACAAACGAAATGCTTTGAATACAAATTTAACCCAATAGAGAAGCGAGACGTGAAGTGGAATAAGTAACTCGAATCTGATATATACACTCTGAAATGAGATGGCTGTAATATGTAGAGAGTCAAAACAGAGAAGGAAGGAAAAAAATAACCAGGAAGCCACCTCACGCCTCTCAATCTCAACCTCTGGCTGCCTGGTCCACCACAATTTGATCCGGTTAAAAGCCAAACCGAATCCAAATGTGAACAAATTGACCTCGGTTGTTATGATTGGACAGGACAATCATTGAGAAATAGGTATTTCACATACAAACGTACTCCACAAAGCATTAAGTAATCAATCACAACCCTTTGCATCCTTTGAAATCTCTAAATTTTTTTCCAACATTGCAACATGTCGCACATGCATATTCAGCTTAGCTATCTACACATACAAATGGAAATGCCCCTTGGATTTCGAATGCAATCCAATGGAAAACAGATGCTTGGATTGCGTGTTGGCATAAATTGGAAAAACTGGGTTTTTCGCTCATAAGGTCCCATTTCCGTGGAAAGTCTAAAATCGACTGACTTTTTCCAATGAGGAAAGCCTGGAGGAGGTAGAGTTGTATCACAACAACGTTGCTTATGAAATCAACAGAGTCACATCCCGTCTAAAACCCAGTTTGGATCCGTTTTCTTCATTTCCATCTGTAGGTTCGAGGATTTGGTATAAAAAGGACTAAATTCTCCACAACAATTTCCATTTTTTTCCCTCATTATCACTCATTAATACTCTAAAATGTCATCTCCTGTTCCTTCTTTTGATTCCCTCGACAAGATTTACGATCCTGCTGCTGTTCCCAAGCAAGAGTAAGTGCGAAATGTCAATGTCTCATGTTGCATAAATAGACTTACACATGTCTTTATAGTCAACGTTACAAGAAACTCATCGCCGAATTTGAGAAAGTCCATGGTCGCAAGGCCGAGTTCGTTGTTCGCTCTCCTGGACGTGTCAACTTGATCGGTGAGCACATTGATTACTGTGGTTTTGGCGTACTTCCTATGGCCATTGAGCGTGATGTGATTATTGTTGGTGCTACCACTGATGATGATACCAAGGTCCGCATTGCAAACATCAACCCCAAGTATCCCGCCAGAGAATTTGATTATGAGGGTAAAGAAAAGGTTGTTACCATTGATTCCTCTGAATTGGAATGGTCCAATTACTTCAAGTGTGGTTATAAGGTAAGCATTACATTTAGAGTGGTGGAGTACATTGGATTCTGATGTTTCGGTTCTTTTGATTAGGGTATGCTCGAGAAGTTCCAATTGGACAGGCCCAAGGGCCTCTTCTTGATTGTTGACGGTACTGTCCCTGCTGGTGGAGGACTCTCCTCATCTGCTGCTTTTGTCTGTGCTTCTGCTTTGGCCGTTGTCACTGCCAACAAATTGACCATCTCCAAGACTGAGCTCACTGAAATTGCCATCGTCGCTGAACGCAATGTTGGTGTTAACTCTGGTGGTATGGATCAAAGTGCCTCCGTCTTGTCTGAAAAGGACTTTGCTCTTCATGTCGAATTCGTTCCCAAGTTGCACACTGCCGCTGTTCCCCTGCCTGTTACCACTCCCAAGCTGGCATTCATCATTGCCAACACCTTGGTCACTGCTGACAAGTTTGTCACTGCTCCTCGCAACTACAACTTGCGTGTTGTTGAAACTCACATGGCTGCCCTCTTTCTCGCCAAGAAGCTCAACTTGCCTGCTGTGGACACTCTTAAGGAAGTATACGATCTCTACTACAAAGACTCTTCTCTCAATGAAGTTGAGAGATTCACTGATCTCCTCAAGAAGGCCGAAGAATTCTACCCTAAGGATAATACCAACAACAATGGTTATACTCTCGAAGAAGTCTCTCAAATGCTCGAAATTCCTGTCAAGGAACTCCAAGACAAGTACATGACTCGTTTCCCTGTCCAAACCGACTACTACCGTCTTGTCCACCGTACCAAGCACGTCTTGTCTGAAGCCTCTCGTGTCATTGAATTCCACAAGGCTTGTGAAACCGGTAAGGGTGATTCCACCTTGAAGGTGTTGGGTGACCTTATGAATCTTTCCCAAGAGTCTTGTAACAAGTTGTTCATGTGCTCTTGTCCTGAGATCGACCAAGTGTGTGAAGTTGCTCGCAAGAATGGCTCGTTAGGATCCAGATTGAGTGGTGCTGGCTGGGGTGGAAGCACTGTTCATTTGACCACTGAAGACAATGTTGCCAACCTCATTGAACACATCAAGAACGACTTTTTCCGCAAGGTTTATCCCAGCATTACCGAAGAGGAGTTGGATGATGCTATCATCGCCACCAAGCCTTGTTCTGGTGCTGCTATTTACACTGGTTTCTAAATATCCACATCGTTTCGAGCTACTCCTACTCCATTGTAACATTACATTAAGCCAATCTTTCTCCTGTTCATATCTTTCACAGTTTTTGTTAAATAGCTTATAAAAATAATAAAAAAAAACAGAACATATTGTCATATTAAACTTTTCGTGTTTCACCAAACAATGCAGGATACAAACAAGATTCACATTTTATAGGTCTTTAGGGCTTGAATGTGAGTGTCCAGTGGGCATCATTATTGAGATTTGGAAATTAGCATTAACCAGATATGTTAAGCTAGCCGCGACGTCAAAACAAGCCCAAATTTTTATATGGAAGCATGTAATAACCGGGAGCTTCTTTTGAGCTACCTTTTTATATAGGATCATCAATACATTTCGATGCTTCACACGTATAAGATTTATTATAGTGCCATTGTATATATAAAACAGATTATCCAAAGTTAATGCCTTGTGCCAAGGGAAGAGTGCCCGAGTAGTTGATGGTACATGTACCACGTCTACAGTATTGCTTCCAGCTATCACTTCCACTCTCACGACCACCGCCAGTTTCTTTTTCTCCTCCAAAGGCGCCGCCAATCTCTGCACCGTTGGTGGGGATATTGACATTGATGATACCACAATCAGAGCCAGATGGGCCAATCCATTTGAAAATGGTAGATGGGTTGCTGGTGAAGATGGAACTGGATAAACCTTGGGCTACGCTATTGTTGATGGCAATAGCCTCATCCAGAGTCTATAATGAATCAGTATTTGACCTATGTCATAAATCCATACGAATTTTTGATTACCTTGTATGTCATTGTATGCAGAATTGGAACAAACAATTCATTTTGAACAACCTCCATGTCAGGGCGCACACGTGTCATGGTTGGCTCTACAAAGTTGCCGTGCTTCAATGGGCCATCATCAAGCACTTTACCACCAACAATGATCTCTCCACCTTCTTGTTTGACTCTTTCTAAAGCTTTCTTGTAGATCTCAACAGCTTCCTTTGTATGAAGAGGACCGCAAAGAACACCCTCATCCAAGGGATCACCCACCTTGACTTGCTTGTAAGCTTTCTTTAGTCTTTCAATCAACGTATCATACACAGATTCCTGTACAATCAAGCGACGAGTAGTAGTACAACGCTGTCCAGCAGTGCCCACAGCAGCAAACAAGATGGCTCTTGCAGCCAAGTCCAGATCACAGTCATCTGTTACGATCAACGCATTGTTACCACCGAGCTCCAAGATAGAGCGGCCGAATCTTCCTTGAACTACTTTGCCTACTTCTCTTCCCACGTTGGTTGATCCAGTAAATGAAAGTACATGTGCACGCTTATCTGCCGTCATGGCGCTGCCGACGTCAGATCCACCTGTGACCAAAGCGCACAACGAAGTAGGGAGATCATGATCTTTGAGAGCCTTGGCAATGATGCGAGTAACAGCAATAGAGACCAAAGATGTCGTAGGTGCAGGCTTCCAGATGGTGCCGTTACCAGTGACAAGAGCAATAGCACAGTTCCAGCCATAGACAGCTACAGGAAAGTTGAAGGCACTGATGATGCCAACAGTACCCAAGGGATTCCAGGTTTCCAACATAGCATGTCCTGGTCTTTCTGATGGAATCACAGCACCTTGAAGCATACGTGACAAACCCAATGCATATTCGAGGATATCAATGTATTCTTGTACCTCTCCAATACCTTCAGGCAAGATCTTACCCATCTCCAAGGCAACCAACTTTCCCAAAGGCTGCAAGTTATCCACGAGTGCGTTTCTCATTGTCAATAAAACATGACCACGTTTGGGCACGGGAAGCTGTTTGGCTCGTTAGATACACGCATTTGAAATATATGAAGCCAAAACCTACCTCTCTCCAGATCTTTTGAGCCTCTGCCACCTTTTCAAAAGCAACGTTCAAATCATCGGTGGTACCCTACAATCAACGTGAATGTGGATCAGTTTCCAACTGTGGGAAATTTACCGTGGGAGAAAATGAGACTTACTGTAATCACCTCTGCAATCACTTCGTTATTGACAGGATTGTAAGAGGGTACCACTGGACCTGAACCCTTCCACTCGCCATCAAAGACACCTTTGTTGTTGGTCTTGTCTAGCCCAAGCGACTCAAATACGGAACGGTGCTTGTCAAAGGTAGACAGGAAACGGGCGTTGGTCAAAGGGGCTGATGTGCGAGCCACTTTCGTAGCAGCATGAATCAATGAGCGCGATCTTAATAAGTTGGTGATCATTAGTAAAAAACAAGTGATCAATAGTAGAAAAAAGAAAAGATGTGAAAATGAAACAAACGGCCCTTTTTATATGCTTTCATGCATGCTTTGCAGTTATCTCTGCAAAGCAGGTGCGTGTGGGCTCGTCAAAGAGCGTGGGAATCAAAAGATATGGAGCCTGCGAACAAAATGTTGGCTATTTGTTCCTAAACTAGTAACTATCGTTTCCAAATATTGATTCTTGCATCTATCGAATGTTACATGTGCTAGTGAATGTTGTTGTTTTTGTATAGACGCCTACAAAAGCAGTTAGTTTCATGACGTATGGAAAGGGATGTACAGTTCACTTTTCAAGTCAAATTATCTAAAGAGAACAAGGCAATCAGTATATATGTTTGACCAGTTAATCAGGGCGGCAAGCTATAGGAGCATTTCAGCATCGCCAGTAAGCTTCCTTAAATGCCAATAATCGTTAAAGGCTGACTATCACTTTTATGCGTTCAAATAGTAAATGCATGTGTAGAAATGGCTTGTTATTTCATACTCTTCATATTTTGAGCACAGGTATCAATCATGCTATCATTCTTTAGTGGCAGGCAAGATAGCTCCAATCTGCTTAATCTATAATTGCCTTATCAAGGAAAGGTATCTCCATTTGCACAATCTTTCTAATACATACTGAAATTTCGCTTTTTAACTCTCCACCAACGCGTAAGAACCCTTCAGTAATTAGCGATCTGAGTCTCTTACGATACTCCCTATCTGCATCAATGAGAAAAGCTCATATATGGGGAGACAGCATGCCTGTATTGTGTCTTACTGCTTAAAAGTATGCAAATTGCAGCAAAATCTGGGAGCATTTGAGTCAAAATTTCTCGCGTTAGAAGCCGTTTTGGACCGCCAGATTAGCACCAAACAATTGCTCTGATCTAGCAGTAACTTTCTAAACCCTTTGCTCAACTTTTTGAGGACCAAAAAAAAACATGGACAAAATTTGACCAAAAAGCATGAGGTATCCCTCATGATTTTCATCGAAAATCAAACGATCGCGTGTTTGACCTCCAAAATGAAGGTTTTTACTATGATATATGTTGAATCAAAATGTTTCTCTCAATTCGACGCAACCCCTGAATCGACTTTTGTACGACCTTGATATACAAAATCTCGACATTTTGGTCTAAAACCTCATTTCATATTATCGAAGATTGCTCAATAGCTTCAGACAAAATACCCATTGTAAATAGCACCACTGGAAGCGCCTTGAAAAGTACTTCAAGAAAGCTTAGGGAAGAACTTTTTTTTTGTAGGGGAGACGAGCTCCAGGTTTTATTTAAAGTCCTTTAAATGTCATACTGAGGGATAGAAAAGACTGTTGGTGGACCCAATGTCTGCAAAGAAGGGGAATAAGATATTTTTTGAATTAAGCTGGGAAAGAAATCTACTACTGATAAGGTGCGACACCTAGAGCCAATACAGTCTTGCGGAAATCGTCAAAATATAGATAATGGATAGAGTACAACACCAAATGAGGACATCAGTACTACCTCAAAAAAATCAAACAACTTGCGTTCACCAGGATTTGAACCGGGATCCTCCCGTTGGCATACGGGAGTTTCTACCACTTCGCCCTACCACCAGGGACAGCTTAGGGAAGAACGGAAAGATCATCACAATTTATATAGTCGAATCTGGCAAAATATTTTTTTTTTGTAGGGGAATCTGGCAAAATATTTTTTTTTGTAGGGGAGTCGAGCTCCAGGTTTTATTTAAAAATCTGGCAAAATAGATCAACGAAGTCGAAATTTGATTGAAAATTAACAAATAAAGGACAGTTTGTAGCTGAATTTGAATCAAATTTTGATGGCTGGCAAAATGGATGCCTTTCTAATTATGAAAACAATAGATGCTTTTGAAACCGCATACGAGGTGATTTTGAGCTTAAAATATTATACGATAGCTTGGCAGCTTTTTCTTGCTGTATAAAACATGAGAAGCAAAGCAAAAAAAAAAAAAAAAAAAAAAAAAAAAAACTGATTTCTTTGAGTGAAGCCGTGAGAAGGAAATCTAATGTGCGAAGGTTAAATATCTTCTAGTTCATGCATATTGAACCTTGCTACAGACATTCAGTATCGGAACAGGGAATATGAATAGCCTCAAGCACCAAGACCCGAAACCTTGGCATTTATCAGGCATGGTCAAGTATGATTGAAAATTTTATATTATATTACTATCCACCAACCATCAAGTTTCATCTAACATTTTAGCTATTAGCAATTTGGCAATATTAACCAAAGGCTCGCGGCAGCGGGTGCCACCCGAACATAGTTTGACTTCCATCAAAGTAAGCGTAGGACAGGAAACCAACCGAAGAGTCGAAATGCTCATAGCAACGTGATAAATTTATGGTCTCTAGACACTCTCAAAGCAGCAAAAACGAAAGAAGCTGTTCTAACAAGTATTTTGATAGGCTGGCTTTATTAAATATGAGGCACAAGAAGAACAGCATGGCTAGCGATATTGCTATGCAATTTGACACCTACTTTCCATGCACTTCAAAAGCATCTATTACTGTATTGCCTTCATGATGAAAAGGGCATTGAGTTTGCCAGCCAGCACCACTAGCCAAAATTAATTCAAACCCAGACTCATAGTCTGTTGTGGATTGGCCAAATCTTAATAATTTTCGACTCGATTGAACTATTTTGCTAGATTCGACTATATAGAATGAGATGATCATCCCATCCTTCTTTAAGCTTTCTTGGAGTGCTTTTCAAGGCGCATCCAATGGTACAATATAGGATAAATGTTTTGAGTAAACTTATTAAGCAATTTATGAAAATACGAAAAGAAGTTTCTGGCCAAAAAGTCGAAATTTTGACTCAAATGCTCCCAGATTTTGCTGTATCAGGGATACTAAGGACTAAAAAGGGGGAATACCAGTATGCTGCTTGCCCGTATACGAAGTAGCTATGTATATATGGATGTACAGCATTACATAAGAATCAGATCCACAGATAATATGAAGGTTTTTCATGTGTAAGTGGAGGGCCAAAATGAAAGTAGCAATATTTTGACAAGATACGCAAGGGCAGTCGGTAGCGCGAGCTGCCGCCACGCAGGTTGGCTCTCACCGAAATGAAGCGAAGGCAGAGAGCCATCCGAAGCATGAACATACTCGTATATTATAAAGACAATAGACAATCCTTCAAAGAGGGAGCGATTGGCAGGGGTAAGGAACGATGATACCTATCACTTATTTTTGTACTAACGCGATGTCATACACCCAAAGCTAACATCTTGTAATGTAGCAGCAATGAGGGATGTTTGATTGACATTTAGACATATTCAGTCATACAAAAAGGTTGAAGATGGTGCTCGGCTACATTTTGATTGATTGCCCATGAAAGTCGCAGTTATATAACGTATTATCGTCAGTTACAGGTTATTGAGGGTATGATCGTATGTATAACATAAGCTCAATTCTCTTACATCAACTCCTTTTGATAACAAGCTAGTCTAGTCAGCGACAAATGGTGGGATATCCCATGTTGCTACACAGTTTATTGGTGCCGAACTTGGTATGATTTTACTCCAACATCCGGCCCTTAAATCCGAGATTCCTTCTCTTGATAACAGGCATCAATGAGGAATTATATTGATTTATTAAAAAGATGAGAAAGACGAAAAGTAGCTTTCAAATGACAAGTATAAAATCAGCATTTGAACAAGGAATCGCATACATGATTTGAAACAGTTCCTAGAATTTACTGAGGAGGAACTTCCTCTTCTACAGCAAAACACATGAATACCCCATTGCAATGCATGTAAACACATATATCCTCCACGTTTTACTTACTGGTTAAAATACCTTGCTCAACAAGTTCAGCAGGATCAGGCCTTTCTTGAAACTTGTGTTCCAATGTGTCTTGCAATAAGTTTCTTTCCAAATCGAGTTGATGTCTTTGAAGAGAAGGAGCAATCTTGGGATCTTTATAGTGTGTGTGTGTGTGCATGAATAAACAAGATCATCTGACCTGCCTCATATATCTCTTCTCTCTCTTTTCTTCCCTCCGCCCCTGGCTCGACTGGTCGAAACACATACCTTTTAAAATGTTTTGCTCAACAAGCTTCTCTGGTGATGGACGATGGTCAATCTTATGGCGGAGAGAGTCCTCAATCTTGCGTTTCTCCAATTCATCACGTTGTTGTTGGATTGCAGGTGCTACTTTTGGGTCTATAATACATCATTTTTAATACAAATGTGTTACATGAGATTTCTGAATATAGACTCTCTGTAGGAAGCGTTACTCCACACCCGCTGTATACCTTTGATGATGTTTCTGTCGACTAGATCTTGGACATCAGGGCGATGAGCCAACTGAGCTTCGAGAGTTTTGGAGGGGCTTTCAGGAACGGCTACAACACAGGTTGATTTAGTAAGCAAATCATCCAGATTGCAAATCAACATAGCATCAAATATACTTACTCATATCAGATAAGAGTGAGATGTAAGTTGAAAAGAGAAAAGAAAAAGAGGAAAAAGAAAAAGTCAAATTAAGTTAAATACCTCTTATATCCAGATAATGGACATGTATCACGCGTTGTTCCTGTATAGGATACATGCCCGTTTGTGGATTTGCAGACCAAATCAATAGGCGGAAATGACGTCGATCCAATCACTGCTATGGTCATTTTCATCTGACACATCGCTCCAAATGGATACTGATCTGGAAGCATGTCCTTGATTTGCTCAAGAGTTTCATATGAGCGAGAGTCCTTCTTCATTTGCTATCAACGTGGTTAGGTAAAAGATCCAGCAATGTTGTAATTTAGGGGTTTCCGCTTGGCTTTTTGTGAAACATGTATCCTTAAAGGATTGAGTTTTATTGCTCTTTCCGCTTGCTTGCTTCTTTTTCGATTCATTCCAGTCACAACAAAGCATCTCTTCTCTGCAATTACACCAAAGCACCAACATGTCAACTAGAATGGGGGGCCTTCCTTTACCGACAGGCTCTCTTTCGGGCAAATCAACAGGAGGAGCAAAGCTCTTTATGAGCTCAAATGGGTCTCTCTTCTTGACCGTTTCATTGTACATTACAGTTTCGATACTAGCGACTTTCATCAACAAACTGCTCTTCACTTATTCAGAATACAAGTTTCCCTATCCTTGCTTCACAGTGCTCTTTCAGCTTGCCATTACATTGGTATTTATGGTAGTATGGAGCTTGGTGAGACCACTGTAGGATTATACAACTATATGAACAGAATGCTCAACTAACCACCATCATTTGCAGCCGTCATTCAATCCTTCGTATACCTACACCAAGTTGGGATTCCTCTGTTGCTATACGCGTTGCACCATTAACCATTGTATATATCTGTGTCATTATATTCAATCCTCTGTTCTTGCAGCATGTCGAAATCACAACATATCATTTTGCTCATTCATTGACCATCGCCTTTTCAATATTATTCTCGTATCTCATGCTTCGTATTGAACAACACCAACGTATTGTGTCAGCTTGTGTCGTTATCATGTTCGGCACATCCATAGGCGCTATGGGGAACCTCAATTTTTCGCTGGTTGGTGCATTTTACAGTATATCGTGGCCTGCTATCGTAGCACTGTATGGCATCTACGTAAAAAAGACATTGTCAGCATTGAGGAGCGATTTATGGTGCGTAGATCAAATTGTCTGAAAAGATGAGGACACTGACTGATGGGCAAAATAGGGCATTAGTACAGTACAACACCATCATGTCGATTGCTATTATGGTGCCCCTTGTCATATTGTCTGGAGAATTGGATGACATCTTTTCTACAGTTTGGTTTTGGGATGAATTTGGATTTTGGTTGCAGATGCTGATCACAGCCATGACTGGATTTGCTGTCAACATTGCAATGCTACTACTATTGATGCAGACATCGCCCTTGACATTGACTGTGGCAAGTGTATGCAAGGTAACATTGGATGTAGATAGGGAAATGGTAGCGAAATTGACAGTAATCCACTTGATAGACCAGCATTCAGGCACTTGTTGTAGCAGTAATCTTTGGAAATCGTATGACTTTACTGGTAAGTGGCAGTTGGATCAGAAATTGAGCGTGAATTGAGTGTTTTTTCATAGAACCTGAGTGGCATGCTCATCACATTAATGGGATCAATCTACTACTCCTACATTAGATCAATTGAATCAAAGCTATGATATGTATACCATATGAGAACATTTAATAAAAATAAAAGCCACCATTGCTTAACAAAACAGTATTATTGTGGCACTGTTTGTGTTTGCAACATTACCGGGAGCAGTACAATTTGTTTATTCTCACTGAAAAGCAAACTTTATTTGTGTCTAAGCCTACCAATTGTTCTTAATTGAAGTGCTGATTTATCTATAAATAAGAATTGCATGTTTATATATAAACTAAGCCTTGAGATGGAGTCACTCATCGATTGTGGGCTGTATGGTAAACAAGTGAAAGCGTATATAATGCAGTGAATAAGTTACAGTGAATAACATTTTCCCTTCTTTCAAGCATGAAAGCTATTTCGATATTTGTGATACTTTTATACCTTTTAATCTTTGGTCATGTCCATGCGTACTATGGCGACCTATTCAACAGAACATTTGACATACCACCTTTGAATATGGGCGTATCTGTAGCAGTGGCAGATACAATCTATATCCTGGGCGGAATTAAGTCTGATTACGCAAATAGCAGAAACTTCAACATTACAACACTGAAATTCGATTCTCAACAAAATGCTATTACCAATGCCATCACAAATACAGCACCACAGCTCAATAGGGACTCCAGTCATGCATACGCTCTTGGAGATAACAAGACCATTGTGCTTGCTAACGTCCAGTATCCAAATATAAATGTTACAAATGCCCAAAGCAATACAACAATAGAGCTTAGAACTTCTGGTATCTCTTTTTACGATATTCCAAGCAATACTTGGACAAATCCTCAACTTAGCCCAGCATTGCAGCCCCTACCACCCTTAAGAAGAGCTACAATGACAGCCATATCGCCTGAAAACGATGCAATTTATGTGATGGGTGGCGCTTATATTATGGATAATACGCCAATGCCTGGCATTTTCAGATATGACCTCAAAAACACTTCATCCATTATCAACATGACTGCAGTAGATACCAACCTAAAGATCAATACAATAGGTGCTTCGTCTGATATGCTACCGTAGGTAAAGTAGAGGCTGATAAAGCGTACACTATTAATTCCTTGTGCCTAGTGATGGAGTTATTGTCATAGCATTTGGAATGGTATCCTTCGTGGACAGAACTCTACTTGATGCTTCTCAAGTAACGTTATTTGATACACGCAAAAATAAGATATATAGTCAAAATGTAACCGGAAACGCACCGGCACCAAGATTTGCTGCAGGAAGCGCTTTAGGTATATAGAATGTTAAGCATTTAGGCGTCTTACGAAATTAGTGCCCTAACATCATTAATGTATTACTCACACCATTAGGCCCCGATAAATCCACAATCTACTATTATGGAGGTATACTCAAGAGTTTGAAACATTTGCTATGTATTTGAAGCTCATTCTCCTTGAATGTAGGTGGCGACCAAGCAGCAGCAAGAAATCCTTTAACTGGCGGTGCCACTCCCAACCTTGTCGCCCTTGATACAACGACTTGGACATGGGTTTACCCGAAAATCTCAGGCCTGGCAGCAGTACCTTACATCTATTCAACATTGACGCTATTGGAGAATACAAAACTGGTAACAGCATTGGGCCTTGTTGGATCAGTATTTTCAAAGGATATAGGTGTTATCAATAACGTACCTCAATCTGCTAGTCAATTGCAAGACAGCAGCATGCAATGGTTTACCAACAATGAAGACACTGACAAGTACAGCGACCCAGCTTATAATCGCAAAAAGCAAAGCCTCAGTGAAGGTGCGATTGCCGGTATTGTTGTAGCTGTATTGCTCATCGTCGTATTAATCCTGGCACTTACGTGGAGACGGTTCCCAAGAATCAGAGCCATTGGAATGTACATTCAAAATGAGATTATTTGGCACCCTAGGTATACTGCGTATCTGTGGTTAATGAGAGATATCTAGCTAATCTTGTATGCATGGATTTAGATCCGGAGAGCCATTATGGGCAGAAACAGCGCGTCTTTTGGTGCGCTTCATCCTCTTGTTCCTGTTTATAGCATTTGTAGCGTATTCAGTTTACAGATCAGTCCAAAGCCCAGTTGTCGTTCAAGAAATAAGAGAGCCAACGGACATGGTGCAAGTTCCAGGTATGTTATTTCAATACCCACACGCTAATTAATAATGCGATTACTGATGAATGAGCCATAGACATTCGTTTCTGCTACGATGGCTTTAATGTGTCTTCAACTACTCCACCTCTCAACGTCTTTTGTGCATTCAGAAATGGCACAGACTGCTCGAATCAGATCATACGACTGAACATGTCAAACCACCTTCCCCAATACCCTGATCAGCTTGGTGCTGTTGCTTGTTTCATGTTCTTATCAGCTCCTTCTTACTCCCTGATGAACGACAATATGGGTTATAGTGAGTCTACCAGCACCAAGATGGTCTTTAGCTTTCAGGGCCCCCCTCGATTGGATACCAATGGCAATATCAGCAGTTCCGGAGCCATCTACATTGACATGTACGCGCCAGGCTATAACCCAAACGTGGTTGCCTACAAATTGCTTCCTTCCAACCAACTTTCGCCCGAGTTCAATCGAGAATGGGCCATCTCTGAGCAAGGCTCCAACACGATTGATTCCATCATTCTCAAACCCAGTGTTAGAACATCTGCTTCGTTTGCCATTATTGAAAACAGAGCTTTGCGACGCTCTGATGGTTGGAACTATGTGGGATTCTCGTCTACTTACGACGTAGATTCTACAGTAAGCAGCTTTTACAAAGATGCTCCTCAGAACATCGCACTGCTGCAAACCTCATCTCTGCTAGCACAACTCACAGTACAGCCCTCATCGTTCACTATCAACATCAACAACGAGCAAAAGGTATTTACGCTGTTGAACGCATTCGCACAAATCGGTGGTGTTCTGGGTCTCTTCATTGCGGTGCAGACTATCCTTTTTGGCTTCAGACCTCAGTCTCCTTGGGGCATTGTGCATCGCTGGTCTTTTGGTAGACTTCGCATCCAGCTGACAGACAGACTAGCCAACTATTTTGATCGCATGGGTACGCCTGTACCACTGGTCAATCCTGTCAGCAGTCGTTTAAGTACTGTATTCAAGAATAGCGCCTACGGATCAGGACATGCTGTAGATGAAGCCATGAGTCAAGAAAACAGAGTTCACCAAGTAGAAGAACGCCTGCAGTTGATGGAGCTTTTGCTGAAATCTTACTACTTGAATGATGAAGTTTTCCGTTCTCTGGATCAAGCTGTAAAACGTGGTAATGACGAGAAACGTCGCATTAGCATGGGAGGTATTAAGAGAAGCAGCACGGATTCCGTACTCGTGGATACATCAAATGAAGTGCTCGAGCTGAGCAGCAATACCAAAACAGATGAAGAGAGCGCATCTACTCTAGGTATCAACAGAAGGCCATCTGGCACCGTTTTTCCACAACAACGAGGCATATACCAACCTGGATTAGCTCCAAGCCCTTATGATCTTTAGCACGCATTAATAAACACCATCGTATAAAGTCTATATGGATTTCAAATCTTTATTTTACATCGTTACATACCCTGTAAAACATTCAAAAACAGTAGACAAACAAATAATATCCTTTCAAAAATTAAGAGAATTGAGTACCGTACAAGGTGAATGAAGCCGGCGTTGGGGAGAGGGTTTGGAGTAGGTGCTAAGCCCACCCACCAAGAACATAGCGCATCTAATTCAACATTTGGTAACATTGACCTATGAGGCAGTTTTTACCGTAGCGAAGTGAAGGTGAAAAACCACGGCAACTAAGCCTCTAACCCACCACTTTGTAATATTAATCTTGATGAGGGGTTCACCATAGCGAAGCAAAGGTGTAAAACCATAGTGTTCAAGCATCAAATTCGTTTTTTCACTTCCAGTATTAATAAGCTTACCAACAACATTACGCATCAAAATTTGTATGGATTGGCTTTACCAAAATCAATATTCCCTCTACTTGAACTAGAACTTGCACAGGCTGCAGACCTGTTCTTCCAGAAAAGTATAGCTCCCAGAGATGTAATTTATACTATGTAAATAAAAGCTATAAAGCAAAAACATAACCAAATTTGACAGCTTTCAAGCCTTCATACCTTGACATACAGACCTTTCTGAACCACCGGAATGACGCCAAACAATTGTACTCAAGTAGCAGTAACTTCCTGATGCCTTTGCTCAACTTTCTGGCCCAAAAAAAACATGGCCAAAAATCGACCAAAAACCATGATAGGGTGGCCAAAGTTGTTTTTGGGCAAGAAAAAAAACGACCAAAACCTTAAATAGTGCCCACCTCAAGAGTTGGGCGTTCTGCATAATTTTCTTCATTTTTTGAAAAAAAAACAGTTACAAGTCTAGTGTAATAAGAGTGCAATGATTCTGTAAAAAAAAATATATATATATCTACTAGGGAGGGGCGGATTGGTGTTACTATTTGTATGTCTTTAAACTTGGGCAATATTTATTAAAAAATATGAAAAATATTTTTGGGCGAGTAGTATTAGGATCAAGTGATGGATTTATTGTGATAAAAGTACTGTATATAATGAGTAGTAATGACAGATATTTCCACTACCGTTCAATGCTTGTCAAAAAAGAAAACTATCTATATATATGTGTGTGTTATACTAATGTTTCAATCATGCGGATTGAAACGTATGTTATGTGGATCATTACATCTAGCTATTTCTTCTGCCACTGATTGCTCCTTCAATTTCTCCTCCCATCTCTTGATATACTCACGCTTCTTTCAAATTATAAGCAGATGGTGACATAATAAATGTAATCAAAACAAGTTGTAGATTGATAAAAAGGAAAGGATATGAGACCACATTGACAGCAGCAGATCAAGGGTGGCCAATGTTGTAGGGCATTCGGTTGGTGCTGTTTTTTTAACCAGAAAACGCCCAAAAACAACTTTGGCCGCCCTATGAGGGGTACCTCATGGTTTTTGACGAAAATCAAACGCTCGCATTTTTCACTTTGAAAATGAAGACTTTTACTATGATATGTATTGGATCAAAATGTTTCTCTCGATCCAAAACAACCTCTGAAACCACTTTTTTAAGGTTTTCTTATGCAAAAATATGGCTATTTTCGCTAAAAACCTCATTTCAAATCTTATTAAATCGCTCAATAAGTTCAGTCAAAACATTTATTACAATCAGCACCATTGGAAGCGCCTTGAAAAGTAATCCAAGAATGTATTAAGAAGCGTAGGTGATCATCACAATTTATATAGTCGAATATCATAAAATAGATTAAAGAAGTCGACAAAAGACGAAATCCATCCAATCTTGAACAGATAAAATAAATCAATTTTGGCGACGGTATTGCTGCTGGCTGACCTAAATGTCTTCTTTCTTTAAACAAAGAATTTTATTAATAAAACAATAATCTTCCTTAAAAAAAATAAATGTTTTCTTTCTATTGCTGACAATGATGATTGCGATGCTGATTAAATGGGGATCATGGAATTGAAAGGACAATTGCTTAGCGCAAATACGTTTTTGGGGAGCTTTGCCTTATGATTGTATCTTTTGCAATGATAATATCTCAAAAAAGCCGCTGTAGATCTTATACAAGTCATGTATTTACTTACGGCCAGCTTTATGTAGCCATCTTATTAAAAGCATCAGCAGCAACGAATGATATGACGGTTCTATTATCAGAAAATGGCGATTGTGATGTACAAATGCTGCATAAAGCCTGAATTTTCTTTCACATTGTCTCAATAATAGGCTTCGTTTGATATCAGTGCAAGCAAAAAGGATGCTGAGGGAGATACCTCCTCTCCTCCTCCTGGTGGCTCTAATATGACCCATTTTTATTATTATTATTTTTTTTTTACTAATAATAAATTGTTTAAAATCTATTTGATATGCCAAAATTTTATTATATCTGATTTAAAATGTCTTTGGCGAGCCCACAGGGCGACGCCGATATTGAGCGTAGCGAAATAGATCGGCTAGTATACATATTCGAGCTTATTAGACTCTCAACTTCTTTTTCATGCCTTTCCAGAAGGCAGCCTTTTGACTACTCATGCTATGGCCATCCTCACTATCTGACCAATTCTTGGAGTCGATTTTTCTTTGAATGCTATCATAATCACTTGGCTCCCATACACGTAAATCATCAATTTCTTTTGACATGGAAAGTCTTTCTTGTAACTGATCTGTAAATTCTTTGTAATAAGCAGCATCAGCTAACTCTTCATCAAATTGTGATTGGACAGAAGGTCTACGGCTGTCTAGTGTTGCTGCTGTTGATACGACGCCTCCTCCAACAGCGTCCATGGAGAGATGCTTGTTGCCACTGGTATGCTGTGCATGTATACTGGAGCCTCTGGATATTTCAGACAAAATGGATTTCGGTCTAGTACTGTTGCTCGTAGTGGAGCGAGACGATGCGCTTGGGATAGGCGGTAAAGGCAACGAAGGTGGCGGTGAGGCGGGTGGTATAGCATTTCCTTTCCAGCGAGAAATGTATGATCTTCGTCCATGTTGGCTTTCATGGGACACATAGGATGATCGCGCCGAGTTTGGCTCTAATTCGCTTGTACCTTCTTCGTTCTCTTCTGGAATCACATTAGAGGTGTTCTCATTAAAGACATGTGTGCCATCTGTCTTGGTAGCAGCGGCTGCCACAGTGGCGACGGGTGTAGGGGGTAATTGCTGGTATTGCAGTTGCTTCAGCAAGTACTGCTGCTGATTGTGCTCCAGCTTGTTTATGATTTCGTTTTTTCGAAGGACTTTATCGAGCAGTGTCTGGACCTTGGTATCAATGAATTCTGTCTGTACGGTGTTTGCTTTCTGAATCTCTCTTGCCAGCTGCTCCAGCTCGTCCATCTTGTGCTCACTTGCACTGGTTCTCTCGGTCAACTCTGATATTGCGCAAGTGTATTCTGATGATAGTGGCCTCAACTCGGTTAATTCTCTAGTTAGTATTGCAACTTCTTGCTGTGCCTTCAACAGCGATGCCACATCGTCTGAAGCGCATAGTTGACATTGCATATTGACAGCAGGCGCGTCCAGCTGATCCGACATGTGCTGTATGAGTTTGTCTTGTAGTAACAGTATTTCCTTTTGCTGATGGCACTGCGATGTTAGCACTTGTAAATCATTGATCGATGCAGCGTACAATGCTTCTAGTTCCTGAACACGCTTCTCAAGGGTTTCCTTTTCAGTGTCAATGGGTGAATTTGTCACGAGGTAGCTATCATTCAATTCTTGCTCCGATACAAGGCGCTGTTGATCCTCATCCAAAGTATCATTCGATGTCAGGATCCTGCTTCGTCTATTTGTAGTAGCAGATGATGTTCGTGACATGTTGTTGCTGTATTCATGATCGAGGCTTGTATTGCTTGCTTTCTTGAGAGGATTGCTACCTGTGCTATAGGAGATGGTCTGTGATCTCGACACTGACAGAGACCTTGATTTGCCATCTGGTGTAGTGTCAGTAGAAGAGGGATTATCCGTTGTCAAGGAGTTGGAGGGGGATAAGGTAGGCAGCAGCGAAGACGGCCGAGGAGGAGGCGTTGTTTCCTTGAAATTCTTGTTGAGCACTGACACTACTGCCAAGCTTTTGATGCGTTCTAGCTCCTTGTCTCGTTGTGTCTTGGAGCTACGAAGTTTCTTGAGTATGCTGTCATCCGAATCCATCGTTGATAAACAAGGGAGACAAGAAAAAAGTAAAGGAGAGGAGAAAAAAAGAGCCAAATGCGTACACATGTAATAATGTTATAATTTACATTCATGTAGCACAAACCTCACATATCACTATATAGTTACCTTCTTCGTTGGATCTCCCGCATTCTTTTCAATTTATGATTACCCTCAGACATCATGATAGACGAGTTTGGAGAGAAGATTTGCATAACGTCCTTCTCATCTATTGCCTCCTCCACTGTTTAGTATGATGTATCCTGGTGCTCGATGTGTGCACCATCATCAGATTGGATGGTCCCTGTCCACGTTTTCAGGTCTCTCGATATACGCATGACTGGATAGAATACTACTGAAAGTAATTGGACCAAGCAGCACTCATTCGCTCATTGTATATGTGGGGGGGTTTATAAAGAGAAAGCCTTTCGTAATTTTATTGTTTAAATGAATGAAGAGACAATTTAAACCTTGCTAGCTTCCTTGAAGTAGTTGGCAAGAGGACCTCTTTGGGGAACAAACTTGACGTAACAACCATCAGGTCTGAGCTTACCAGCAGCACGAGCTTCAACGTATTCAGCACGGGCAAGAGGAGTGAAACCCCACTTCTTGGAGATGATGATCTTTTGTTGACCAGGGAACTTGTACTTGCAACGTCTCAAAGCCTCAATGACAACGGCCTTGTTGGAGTCCTTGGTACGGACAGAGAAGATAATTTGGCCAATGTTGACACGAGCGACAAGACCGTTAGGCTTACCGAAAGCACCACGCATACCAGTTTGCAATCTATCGGCACCAGCACAAGACAACATTTTGTTGATACGGGTGACATGGTAAGGGTGGACACGGATACGCATGTGGAAGGAGTCCTTACCAGAGGTCTTGGACATGTACTTGTTAGCACAAATACGACCAGCTTCAAGAGCTTCGGCAGACAATTGTTCGTACTCGTTGGAAACCAAGTGAACACAGAGAGGGAAATCGTCGACAGATGCCTTCTTACGACCTAAATCGTAGATTCTGAGCTTGGCATCAGGGACACCACGACAGTATCTAGACTTGGGATAAGGCTTGTTCTTACAGTAACGATAACAACGAGCGGGACGGCGACCCATGATTAAATTCCTATCAAATGTTCTCTGTCAGTCCAAATGTTCGTATGAAAGAGGCCCATCCACTATATCCATCCATATCATCTATCCATCTATTTGCTGATCCATCATCTCCACCTGTACTCTATCCATGCCACTATCACACCCCTCTCTTCCCGTGTTCTGATCCATCATCATCTTTCATCTTACTCACCAAGTACAAAGTACAAAAAAAAGAGGAGGATCAATAGCTTTGCCCTATTCCACGTTACCATATACTCTTTCATTCCACTCGGCGCTGATCTAAATACCCTAAATTTTCATAGTACAAATGCAACTCACCTTGATCCCGGTCCGGACGATACGACAGACATCAATGTGGATTGAAATAAAAAAACACATCTCACTCGCATAACTGAAGCCTTCCAGAATGAGCCACCACAGGAACCGAAAGAGAAGAGCAGAGTACATTCCTGAAGAGAGATACAATGTTGATGGCACCTTGGTAAAGAATGAGGAGGCTTTCAAACCAAAGCGCTGGGATCTGAAAGAGATTGTAAGCAGTGAATTGCTGTCGAGAGATGACCTTTGTTGACGACAGAATAATAGATAAATGACCCAGCAAAGAACCGAGAAGCATTGAAAAATGCTCAGATGTATCTCAAAGAGAAAAAGAACGAGAAGGAGAGTTCATTCTACGAAACAAACAGAGCATGGACTGAGGAAACAGACAACCTCTTTTTCTCGAAACGAAATCGTGGATTAGCGTCATGGCTGATTCCAACCGGATCTACGATTTACTATGAATTCGAAGGTTGGATTTTATATTAGCATTATTACACGCAACTGACTGAACTTGTCACAGGCTTCTATCTCAAGTTAAAGTCAAGTGTGTGTGATGGAAAGACGCTGTTGACGCCTACACAGGCGGATCGCATGAAAATCGTCCGTCAGGAAGGCGAAATGATTCGACACACTCTGGTCTTGTTTCAAGACTTTCAGAACAAGAAGCGAGAAGGATTGAAGAAGAAGATTGAGGAGGCAAAAGCAGCACTGCCAGTTACTCCATTCGCCAATGCGATTGTCCAAACACTCAAGCAGCATCGCATTCTGTTGATTGCTGGTGACACTGGCTGTGGTAAAAGTACACAAGGTGAGTATATTTGATACGGCAATTATACCAGAGGGTCTAATAGATCCATAGTTCCTCAAATCCTCATGAATGCTGGATTCAGCAAGATTGCATGCACTCAGCCGAGAAGAATTGCATGCTCTTCACTGGCGAGGCGAGTGAGGTAAGTTGCGATAGGTGCACCCAGATGAGCATCAAGGCATTGACATGTGTATGTGTGTAGCTATGAAACGATGAATGAATATGGATCCAAAATTGCATACCAAGTGCGGTTTGAAGGAACCAAGACATCCAGAACTCGTATCCTGTTTCTAACAGAAGGATTGCTGCTACGCCAATATGCCACAGACAACATGCTGTCCATGTACGATGTGATTGTTGTGGATGAAGTTCATGAACGCCATATGATGGGTAAGTGCTATAGAGAGTAGGCCGAGATTCTCAAGTCTAATCCTTTTGGTTGCAACCAACAGGCGACTTTCTGCTTGCCTTGCTGAAAAAAACACTTGCCCAACGAAAAGACCTCCATGTTGTCTTGATGAGTGCTACCATCAATGCAGAGCTATTTGCACAGTATTTTGATGCGCCTACACTAGTGGTAAAATCAAACAAGTAATGGCAGATGGTGATCCAATGACTCACATGAAGCAGATACCTGGGAAAATGTATAGTGTTAAGGTTCATTACTGGCCATTTGAGGAAGAAGACAAGAACCTTGTTGATGAGGCAGCGTATAGGAAGAGACAAACCGAAGTAGTCAAGGTATATATAGATGCACTTATGGGTGAGCTAGACCGGCTAATATGTCATTACCAAGAGATCCATCCCGAGTAAATCCTCTATGGTAAAAGCAGGTGAGTATTCCAGGCAATTTAGTACACTGGTATGCTAATGTAGATCAATAGACCCCTACATTAAAGTCTTGGAATATATAGATCAGTCTGTACCAGAAGGAGAAAGAGGCGATCTTTTGATATTCATGTCTGGAATAAATGAGGTAAAATATCAAGATCATGACACCTGGAAATAGTGGTTAATCCTTTTTATCATGACTAGATCACTACACTAGCAGAAGAGTTGAATGTGTATGCTCAGAAATCAAAGTAAGTGCAAAGCAAGTCATTCTAGGCGTATGGCACCACTGATCATCTACAAGAAAATGGATTGTTCTTATGCTGCACTCTTCGCTGACTGTTGAGGACCAAGAAAAGGTGTTTGACTCTCCAGCAGAGGGTATTCGAAAGTGCATTATCAGTTCAAATATGTGGGTATTGGAAACAGTGTCTGCTTAAATCCTACTCATTCACTTTTCCAGAGCAGAAACTAGTATCACGATTGATGGCATTCGCTTCATCATTGATTCAGGTACAACAAACATACAAAAAAAAAAAAAAAACTGCCCAACGATTACTAAAAACATGGCCTACAGGAAAAGTAAAGGAAATGAATCATGATCCGGCCTCCAAACTGAGCCGATTATCTGAATTCTGGATATCCAAAGCAAGCGCCAAGCAAAGAACAGGTCGAGCAGGCAGAACTGGACCAGGAGAATGTTTCCGATTTTATTCAGAGAATGAGTTTAACCACTTTCACGATTTTGCGATACCTGAAATACAGAGAGAAACTCTCGATCCCTTGTTACTGCAGATCAAATCGATGGGACTAGGCAATCCAAGAGTATTTGACTATATTGAGGCCCCTTCTATGGACTTTATTAATTCGTCTATGGATTTTTTGTTCAATTTGGGTGCTATCGATGCGAATGAAAAGCTATTGGGTTTGGGATCAGTGCTGTCAAAACTTCCAGTTGATTGCATTGTGGGCAAAATGCTGATTTTGGGTGTGGTGTGTACTTAGAGGACAGTGCCTATGGTATTCACAAAAAGCTCATGCTATTGTATAGGTGTTTAACATTGTGGATCCAATATTGACTATTGCAGCAGGCATGAGTGTGCAATCTCCTTTTACCCGTGTCACTCTAAACACCAATCGAGAATATCTAAACGTAAGTAATAACTGACTGAACAGACTACAAATTCAACTCACTCGCTTACATATAGAACAAGAGCGAATTCGACTCGAAAGACGGCGACCCATTTACCATGCTAAACCTCTGGCAGCAATGGATTGAAATCAAGGGCAGTAAGGTATGTGTATACTTATATTAAGATATCAAATCAGGCTTATTGGCCATTGTCAAGTAGACATCATCTCGCAAGTGGTGCAAAGAACATCTAGTCGAAGAACATAGGTTATACGAGGTAAAGCGTCGATGATAGATTTAGCAGCAGTAACTTAACGGATCCCTTTAGATTACCAAAATGAAGAGACAGTTTGAAAAAGTACTGGATGGCTTCCAGCCTGGATTATTAGAGTCATTAAAGTCGATATATGACAGTGATGTGTCTGATACAGAGAAAGAAAAGGTATTTCTGCACTCATGGTACATCTGGGCAGCTTTCTAATCGCCTTCCCGTGTCAATAGTCCTCAAAGTTCGACGCTCGAGAACAACTCAGAAGAGGAAGATATGATGAAAAGTCGAGCAAAAGGCGTCGGGTCTTACGCATGGGCATTGTGCAGGATGATACTCAAGGCGATGGCACTGATAACAGAGATATCCGCGACTTGGAGTTTTCACTTGCAAACAATATCAAGCAGCTTCAATCCAGGGCTTATTCTTTGTCAGACAGAGAGATTCAGTTGGTTAAATTGGTCCTTTGCTCCTCTTTATACCCTCAGTTGGCTATCGGTGACGAGCATAATCCTTATAGAAAAAGCAATGAAATTGTATTTCAAGTACCAGGTATATATGGATGTCGTTTGTGCTGAATCTTCAGTACTAGATATTGATTATACTTTTGCAATTTAGCAAAAAACTTCTTGTCTATTCATCCTAGCAGTGTGATTGCCTCGCATCCAGAATGGGTGCAAGGACATGATGAGAAGACCAGAAAAGGTGAGCAATGGCAATCATTAGATAAAAACACGTACTCATACACTTGTAATAGATGATCAAACTATAGAAGACTCAATGCACCATCAGCTTTTATGCTATTTACAGCTATTAGAGACCAACAAGCCATTTCTAGTCAACATTACAAGAGTTCCAGGTATGTCACAATGCCAATGAATGGGATTTGTCAACTGAGCTCGCTATTTACAGGCATCCATACGCTGCTTTTGTTTGGAAAAACAAGTGAGTGTATATCCAAGTAGTGTAATTGATGGAGTTTCTTACCAAATGCTTTCTAAAGTTGATTTAAACTATGATTGCAGTGTTGTTGTAGTTGATTCTTATTTTGTGATACGTTTCAAGACATCGCAAGTGGCAGAATACGTCGTATACTTATCTCACACGCTACGACAAGAATGGAACAGCTTAATGAATCTTCGCATTAGCCGTGGTCTAGGGGAGGTAAATTTTTGAGCAATGTGATATTGAACTTGCTCCCATACTAATGGTAATACACCTAGGGTGTGGATGAGCCAATGAGCGATGATCTTATTATCAGCACATCTACAAAAGGCTCGCTCCCATTGACAATACAGCAAATATTAGATGACAAGCAAAAATCCAGCGATTCAAATGAAATGATAGACATGTGGACTCCAGAAGCAGAGAAAAAGTATCAAATACGGATGCAATCACTCAATCGTAAGCTACATCATCGTTTTGTGGTCTGAATTGCGCTAAATATACGATGAACTATAGGAAGATTGGTGGAGTTCATGGATACAGCAATTTCAGCTGAGCTCAAGGCAGCCAAAGCATCTGAGCTATTAAAGATGGTAAACATTGAGTTGTCAGTATGGCGCTGAAAAAACTAATATGTATATAGTATCCCAAATACATTGAATCCAGCGAGAAAACAGAGGATGGGCAATCTTATCCTAGAGAATGGAAGCCAAAAGATGGTAGGCAACGCCTGTTGATGTAATGAAGCATACACTGACAATCTGCTATAGTCATTCGATCTGGCATACAAATCACTCAAAACCTCTACTACAACAGCATCGACATGCCATCATCTGCATCTGCTATACCTGCCTCTGCTGATGCTATTCCAGTACACATCAGAACTTTTTGGTATTGTCAAGGTTGTAAAACCACATACTCCTTCAACAAAATGCAGGCTACTGAGCATGTCCTGGAGAAATGCAGCAGTAACTCTACAACGCAGGAGGATGATACGAATAAAAGTCATCTAATTGAATAAAAAGATTACAATTTTGCTTGAAGAGCATATAGATCAATTTGAGGTTTATTATTTTACACATGGAAAAGGCAATCCATCATTTATTTCGCACTGATTTTCAAGCCGTTATTGTTTCCACCAGCTAATAATGCTAATCCGGTCTGACGTCTGTGCTCATCAAAGATAGAGACAAAGTTGGTAATGAACTTTGTGCCCAGCTTCCAGGTGTTCTCATGGTCGTTTTTTGTAGGTTTGAGTACTTGAAAGATGTCGGTACAGATTTTGTCGTTTACTTTCTTGGTCCAGGCTTCTGTAGGAAGAGTAACATCGTATTTCTCGAATGAAAATGTCAAGTCTTTTGCGTAACAGCACTTGAATTCGTATTGCTTTGATTGGTCATTGTATTCTGCCTTCAATCCTTTGTGGATGATAGCTAGATCCTTATGAGGAACTTGAATATTCTTGACACTGGTATCAAAGGAAGCCACAGTTTTCTTGAATTTCAAATCAGCAACACCTTCGATTTTGGCACATGTCAGCCTAGTCTTCCAAAAAGGTGTAGATCCGTAATCACAAGTAGGCAGATCAAGCCAAGCAATGTCACCTTCAATACGAGATTTATCGATACCAAAAGCAAACTGACATGTCTTTCCTCCAACATTGTTTCTCTTTCTTCGGTATGTAATTCCTGAGGCACCGTAAAAAGTACTGGGTTCTCCAATACTGGAGGATGGACCCCTTTTGCTTAGCTTGGGTTTGTTGATCTCTGAGCCACCGAGGCCCAAAATACCAGCTAAATTCGGAAAACATGTCAACAAAAAACGTGGCGCCAATATTCATGCAGCATCAATTACCATAGGTGACAGAATTATTGAATCCATTGACTTCAAAGGCTTTTACAAAAGGATAGTCCTTGACAACTGTGCCTCCAATTTTGAGATTGTCCTGGATATATCAACAAAGACGTTACTATGAGTGTATATTGAATACAATGAGAGCACAGTACCTGATACAGGTTACCGATTACGGTTCCTTGCTCGTATTCAAGTGTCAACTTCTTATGCTCATTCTGAATAGTAGATGACTTTCCAGCGTTAAATAAAGGGCCTTTTCTGGTCAAACAAAATTCAGATTTACACTATTTCTTTGGTGTTAGCATATGTATTCCATTGAATAGCGAAGGGTGTCTTATACCATAATTCCGGCTACCCAAGTATCTTTACTACTCGTGTCCAAAAGTAATGGAAATAATTGATCGCGGGTACCTGAATTGACAAAAAAAGGGGTCAAGTTTTGTGCGTATTTTTAGTAGGATGTCAACGATGTCTACCTATTTCAATGTTTGCAACCCACTAGTCGATGCGTTTAGGATATTTCAGTTGAAAAAGCAAAGATAAAAGACAAACTTACGTTTGGAACATCATCTCCACAAGGAAAAGAAAGGGCAGACGACCCACCTCGTCTGATAAGATCTGAAGGATAAGCCGCCACTGTAGACGCTATAGTCGAAACGATTATAATGCCAGCTGACAATTTCATGGTTTTTGAAGTAATAGTAAATATTTAGATGATGTATAAATTTGGAGCTTTCAAAAAGCAAGAAATAGAAAGGATGGCCTTCCTTTATATACAAAATTTCGTTGTAATGTTTGCATCCCTTGTTGGGTCCGATCCACTAAGAAATACCCAGTTATCTCTGATGCTTTGAGTTTGCTCTTTAATGGCAAGGCATCTGTTCCTTTTCATGCTAGGGCTAAGTAAATAACCAAAAAAAGATTGAATAAATAATAAACAAAACAAGTCTTTTTTTATATGCACCATACAAGCGTACCTAAGGCTAATTTTAAATCTTCAATTGCTTAGCGGCAGCTGATGGAATTTCAACAAAGATCAACGCCCAATACCAAATTAAACATACAGTGCGCATTTGAAAGGAAATAATAAGCCTGGTATATTTTAAGCGAAAGCTTTTCTATTCTGTTCTATTTATTTATGTTTTTATATACACATAAAAAGTATTGCTGTGCCAAATTACTAAAAATGAGAGAGCGAAGGGTTAATTTTGTATTCAAATGTCTGCGTTGTGTATGACACAAGAACACTACTTGCGAAAAGAAAAATAACTAGTGGCACTATGTATATATTCATTGCGACAGAACAACAACAATAACAACAAGCTATACTTTTGTGTTCATGTACAACTTGCGTATTGATATGATTCTCAGTTGAAAAGAAACGTCTTTATAAGTCTGCTGACTACGGGTACGTAAAAACAGACACGAAAGATTCTAAGCATCGAGGCGAGATCCTCCTTTTAGGCTCATGACAAGCTTATCAATAGAATATCAACATTCACTGTAAAATTAAAAAAGGTTTGCTTCTACGAGGTCTATAAAGATAGGCATTTTGAATCCGCTTTGTTGATGTTCATGCTCTGTCATGCCTGAGGCCGTATTAAGGAATCTTTTTAAGATCTACGTATCAATGTATTTACTTATCATGCTAGAATTCAAACTATCAAACAAATAATTAAATTGCCTAACATTTCGTGGTTCTTTTGCGATGCTTTCAAATGGCAATCTCTCTTTGTGAACACAAACTAGCGTTTATGTTGCAAGTGCCATCATCCGTGGGCTGGATTCGCATTTAGAAAGTAGTTTGTAGCAATTAAATCTATAATCTATAAAAAGAGGCTATGAATCTCAAGAGAAACATTTACTCTAAGCTATACTTCTTCCCCAATTTGCAAACCCTTTCTTATTAGCTTCGCAAACATCGCTTGTGCTCATAATCCAGCTTGCCAGCCAAAATACGATTCAAACTCAGTTGAGCATTTCTCTCCCAATTTGTTAATTTTCAATCAAATTTCGACTTCGTCGATCTATTTTGCCAGGTTCGACTATATAAACTGTGTTGATCTTTCCATTCTTCCCTAAGCTTTTGGAGTATTTTTCAAGGCGCTTCCAGTGGTGTTATTTACAATGGGTATTTTGCCTGAAACTATTGAGCAATCTTTGAAAATATGAAATGAGGTTTTAGACCAAAATGTCGAGATTTTGTATATCAAGGTCGTACAAAAGTCGATTCAGGGGTTGCGTTGAATTGAGAGAAACATTTTGATTTAACATATATCATAGCAAAAGTCTTCATTTTGGAGGTCAAAAACGCGATCGTTTGATTTTCGATGAAAATCGTGAAGGGTACCTCATGCTTTTTGGCCATGTTTTTTTAGGTCCCAAAAAAGGTGAGCAAAAGTGTTAAAACAAAAGTGTCAGACGAGAGAAATTGTTTGGCGCTGTTCTGAGCGTCTAAAACTGCCTGTATCACGAGAAAACACTGCTCAAATGCATCCAATTTTAGCTATGTTTTGCAAGTTTTCAAGCATCAAAAGATGTTGCAAATACGTTATCTGCCCATATACGAGTTGGACCTGTTAATATAAACGTAAAGCATTGTAAAAAAGTTAAGTTCAGAGGTACAGATCTTATATCGAGATCCATTACATGATAATATTGGGCTAAAACATGAGATTTGGGTACATCTTGGTGGAATAATCGGTTGTCACCATACTATTTCATCACATGTCTAAACTTTATGTCAGATCGTTACTCATTTTTACGTCTTTTCTTCTCTCAAAGATACTGGGGCTCTGGATTGCCTTATATTTGAGGGTGGATGTATTGTGCAAAAGTTCGATCTTTAGGTCTATCACAAAATCCGTTCCTGAAATCAAGATCTGACCAATCACGTCTTGGCTCTTGTCGTTGTGTTTGATCTGACAATTTTGTAGCCGTACATTATGGAATATGTGTATTTCTGGAGCATACCATTTGATTTTGGAAGCCGTCTAAAATGGAAGAAGTGTTTCGTATCAACCTCTGTTCAAGTGTAACAATGAAAGTTCAATCAGAACAAATAATATTCTTGTATGCATTTTTAAACTTTTGTTTGTGCATGCACACTTGTACTTGTCCAACAAAAATACATACATACAAAATGCCCTGAAAATCATGTACATACGCACATTCATCTACTATAATTGCATAAACAACATTCAACAAATGACCACAGAAAGAAGAAAGATGTATGTATTAAATAGGTTATAGTGTTTACATAAAGAGAGAGAGAAGTGGGAAAAAAAATTAATAGAAAGATACTCATTGTTAGTGGTTATAAATAACTTTTACCAATCAAATTACAGGTGTGTAACAAGAATCATAAAGAAAGAAGGTAAAGGTTGTGTGTTTGGTGTGATTGAGATGTGTGTGTGTAATCGTAATTTGTAATTCGTTAAATCACTGGCAATACGTTATAAAATAACTGATTTTTGGGCTTGTTTGTTAGAGCGAGAGAGAGAGAGAGAGAGAGAGAGAGAGATCAAAAGAGCATATAAGCGGCAACAACGCCAGCAAGTGTAAGAGCTCCTTGGCTCATAGTCAAGATGGAGGCACTTGAAGGCTGATTTGCAGTAGTAGTGGGCACAGCAGAGGCAGAGGTTGCAACAACACTGGTAGCAACAATTGGAGTAGAGGTAGAGGCGATAGAGCTGGTCCATGGAGCAATGGATCTAATTATACACTTTTTGTTAATTTGGTTATTCAATTACAAGCACTATCATCACTTACACATTGGCACCAGGCATGGAACAGAAGCTGGAAACGATGCCTTCTTGTCTAGCTAAACCTTCATCATTAGGACAGTTGTTCCAACAGGTTAATTTCTCCTTATTCCACTAATCGAGTGAGTTAGATTTAAAAAGTATCATATTTATAGGAGGTATCCTATACTTACTCTACACAAGCAAGCATAATCTAAAAGAAAGGTAAAAGATGAATATACAGAGTGTTACACCAAAAATAACTCGAGAAATACCTTGCTCTTGACAGATTTTGATATAGTTGTCTTCATTTTGCAAACATAATTCGAATCTACATTTCGAACGGGGTCAATACAAAAGTCTGATTTCAAGGCCATTGCCGATTACTTACGTGCTTTGAACAGCACATGCCGATACAGTTGATGGGGCAGCGGCCTCACTGGCAGTAGTAGTAGTAGCAGCAGGAGCAGCGGCAGATGAAGAGGATGGAACAGTGCTGTTAGCATCTTGAGCTGAAACACAAGTAGCAGCGAAAGCGATCAAAACTCCAGCAGCGGCGACCTTCATGATATTATTATTGAGATTGATGTAAAAAGTTAAAGAAAGGGAGCAAAAGTAAAAGATAGGACAAGAGAGGCAGTTTATAAAGCAAAATTAAATAAAATAAATTAGATTAGGAAGGAGGGAGGGGGGGGGTTCTGCTTTTGATACTGATGTGGATGTGGATGTTGTGTGCTGTTGATGCAAGGAAGGTGCAACATTGTAGACACAAGGGGGTTCTGAGTGAGAGGAGGGAGAGGCTACAACAAAACCATGCATGTCAAATCTTCTATTTTGCTTTTTTGTTATGTGTGCTTCTTGTAAAAGATATTACATTGAAAAGCATCCATGGCCGATGAATCGATTGCATATTTCAATCAGACCATGATATTCAGACAAAATTACACAAGGCTATATTTAACCTTTGTGTTCTTTTATGGGTTTCGGGCTATAATAGGAAAATGTCAACATAAGGAAAAAGTAACAGAGCTTTGTATTTGGTTTGTTCATGTACGAACCATACTATCATGAACATACACACAACTGTAATGTACCATGGACATGTACATTTCTCTTTCTCTTTGACTGTATGCGAGTGTCTGAAAGATCAGGTAATACATGATATACTATATCATGGTTAAATGCAATATAGATATATATATATATATATATAAAACACTGTATTTCATCTTTTATTCATATAATTTCATACAACAGCCATCTTCTCCTTACAGCTTTGCCTTCTTAGCAGCCTTCTTAGCAGCAGACTCCTCTATTAAAATATAAAATCACATTTAATCAACGTTTTCCCAATAGACAGACTTTAAAATTTACCCAAGAATCGCATAATGCTCTCAACTGAATCGCTGCTGCCCATACGCTCGGTCAATGCCTTCATTTCCCTTTGATTTGCCTGCTCAAGTAGGTCTCGATCAATACCCTTTATCAAATCTTTGGTCACCTTGAGTGCTTCGGTGGAAAACTTGCTTGCTTCTCCCGCCAATGCTAAAATGGTTTCACGAAATCCCTCAGTGGGAACAATTCTACTAACGAATCCACAATCTACCATTTCTTGGGCAGTAAATGTTCTTCCCATCAGCTATTTTCAATAGTGAGCGTGTGCGCAGAATCAAGCTTCTGAGAGGTTCAATTTACCAGCATCTCATTCGCCTTGGAAGGACCCATAATTCTACATCAATCGAGTAAGACACTCCATACTGCAACATCCATTTTCCTATTCCTAAATGTACCTTGGAAACAACACGGAAGAACATCCTTCAGCACAGAAAGCTAACCGCACACGCCTAATCAGCATATGTTGACTGATTGTTTGTTATTACTTACCAAGCTTCATGAATGGCGTACTGAAATTAGCCTCAGAGACTGAATACACAACATCACACAGAGCAAGAGTCGTCGTACCAAAACCAATACTTGTTCCTGCAACATAGAGGGAAAAGCGTGTTAGTATACGTTGCATAAACAACATTTCAAATGCGCCCCTTCCCCTTTCCTCCTCTTATTACACACACACACATCATCATCATCATCATCATCTTCATATACACTACCATTGACAGCGGCAATCAAGAGCTTGGGGAATGCAATCATTTGAGAGACAACATCACTATGATATCCATCTGCGTTAGAGGTCTATATTGAATGACGAAACTGGCGTTGACATAGTTACGTTGTTGTCTGGCTTCTGCGAGCCATTTCTTCCTCAATATCACCATCACTCAGATCAGGGAGCGCCAATTCTTGTCCTGATGTGTAGAATTTACCACGTCCAGTCAGTACAACCACTTTGACACTGTCATCATTGGCTGCCCATTTGATGGCAGTAAGCCAATCCTAACGTACACGTATCCATTAGATCAAGCATCAACCAGTAAATATCACAAAAGACGTTACTCTGTATGATTGAGGAGAAAGCGCATTAAAACGCTTTGGTCTATTGTGCGCAATCTCAGCTACACCGTTAGGGAAGAGTGTGATTTCAATGGTCTCGAGTTTGGGGACAGACATAGTGTTGTTGTAAAGGATGAACGAAGAAAGGAGAAGGGGAAGGCTGTAAAGTAGCTTATATAGAATTACAGGTAAACACAGTCCAAAACCAAGATGGCTTCCCTCTTCTTACCCCTCCCCCATACACACGATACAACTCTAACATTCACATGTGATTATCCCTAATTCAAATGACAAACGGTAAATTTTTGATTTCATTTTTTTTTTTTTGATTTTTTAAAAAGAGCTTGTTAAACAAAAATGTAGTTTATTAATGTTGTGAGCCAAGTTACAAAGCAACTCTTTAACGGTAACGACGGAGAGAAAGAGTGTTGCGACGCTTCCAGGTGGCACGACGACCAGAACCCTTGGTGTTGTTGAAACGGTGACCCTTTCCGTGACCACGAGACTTCTTACCGATGGCAGTAAGACCACGAGCCTCACGACGTTTGTGGACGGGGTTGGCGATCCAGTTGATGTGAGCATCACGACGGATAGCCTTGTGAGAGGGATCGACAAGGATAACTTCAAAGTACTTGTAGGTAGCATCTTGGTTGACCCAGTAAGAGTTCAAGACACGGAGATTGGCGCACTTGCGACCAATACGTTCCTCGGCAGTGGAACGGAGAGAACGTTGGTACTTGAGTTGAGAAACACCCTCGTTGACAGGCTTACCGTAAGTGGCACCCTTGGGGACAGGTCTCTTACGACCACCACGACGGACACGGATACGGTAGATGACGAAACCTTGCTTGGCCTTGTAACCCAAACGACGAGCCTTATCGGGACGAGAAGGACGAGAAGCACGGTGGATAACGTTCAATTGTCTGAATTCCCAACAACGGACACGGAGCAAGAAACGAGAGACATCAGATTGCTTCTTTCTAGCAAGCTCTTCCAAATATTTGTAGGCACCCATTGTATATCTAGATCATATTGAGTTGAGAAATGCTGATTCCACAAACTAACAGCAGCAGCAGTAGTAGACATTTGGATCGAATCCAATGCAGATGAAAAATCTGTACACAGGCCATCCATGTGTTGATCCCAACATCTGCCTCGACTGGTCCATCTATCCACAATCGATACATCTGTATTCATCTTTCCAAACATCTGCTGCTGCTGATCCATCCCCACTCATGTTACTATTAATTACCTTGGAAAGGGAAAAAGGAAGGATGCTTGGTTTACAGCATTTTCCACCAAGTGTATCACTTTCTGGGATTAAGCACTTGGCTGCCATTGAAGCTTGGTGGGGCAGTGATGTCCATGTCCGGTTCGCATAGAGTCATATCCGATGTCTGTTTACTAGCATCGGACACTAGAGGGCATTGCAGACCATGAATGTGTCTTTCCCCTTTTTTTTTGTCCTTATCCATATACCTGAACGATTACAGCAATTACAGCAAGATGGCCATATTTGGCGACCTACCTAGAGAAATTATATCACTGATTTGTAGCCTACTAAAGCAATCAGCCAAATACAACTGCACACTTGTAAATAAAGAATTCCACGACGCAGCTATACCCGAACTGTGGCGAGAACCCAATCTATCGTCTACTCATCTCGTCAAACAACTTTTGAAATGCTTAAAGCTAGGCAAACATCAGCGAGGCGAATATATTCGAGTCGTGACATTAGGCTTCAAAGTCGCATTGAGTGATGATGAACTGTTGCAGTTGATACCACTCACGCCCAACCTGGAAGTGTTGGAATTACGCAAAGCTGATGAACTCACAGACAAAAGCATCATGCAAATATCGAAATACTGCACGCAATTGAAATCATTCGGCATCACTGGAGCTATGGTGACATATCGATCCGCTCATTACTTGGGTCAATGCTTGCAATTGCAAAAGCTCACATTAGCATCATGTCCAAACCTGACTCCATTGGCATTGTTGCCATTTGGACAGCTCAAAATTGAATACCTGGATCTGTCTGGCTGCAAGTGGCTGAATGTTGTAGATACAGCCCAGGACCTATGTTCGTTCCAGCACTTGACACACCTCAATCTTGTTTGCTGCAATGTCATTAATATGGATTTCATTCATCATTTAGCAGCTACAACATGCTTACCCAATTTGCAAGACTTTTCAATTACTGGAGGAACGGTGATAGAAGACAGTGCCATCATACCCTTTGTAAAGGCGCATAGAAATATCCATGGCTTGTTTTTGCTGGAATGTGCTATTACAGACCTGACGTTGGAGGCCATCTCAGTTACTCTGCCATCACTGCACAACCTCGATCTCTCGTTTTGCCGAAGATTGACATCCCATGGTGTGCGACATCTCATCAGCGGTTGCTCCAACTTGAGATTGCTTGGTCTCAAAGACTGTGGTATCGCTCAGAGTGATTTTCCTGAAATACCAAGCTCTCTATTTCCAGCCATCACTGAAAACTACCCACTTTTGAATACACTGAGCTACATAGAATTGGGCTATATTCGAGCTCAATGCCAGCAGCAGCAGCAGCAGCAGCAGCAGCAACAGGAACAGCAACAAGCAAATGAAGAGGAGAAGGATGAAGAAATGGCGGAAAACGAAACATGGTCCGTCAGCATGGATGATCCAGAAGAAGGGGAGGAGAGTGTGAGTCAAAGCTACACATACATACAACACTATCTTGACACACAGGCTACTTGACCGCATCACGGGGGGTAAGGATAGCATGCCGTGTAACTCTGGCACTTGCTCTTTTTCGCTTTGCACATGGAAAAAGAAGTAAAATGATGGTTTTCAGAATCCAATAAAGAAAATCATTGTTGTATTACATACTAGCAGACTATATGTGGTGGTAGTATACTTACAAAGGAGAAACCCCCAATGAGAGAATCATTTATACAACAGTGGCTAATGTGAGTGGTAGCCACTCTAAAGACAGACGACATGTTTGATGTACCAAAAGAGAGAAGATGATCCGCAGAGACACAAAGCAACACGCTTTTACTGCTCAATTTCAAAAAACCCAAACTCACACATGTGTATACATATAAGGTTTGTATACCTTTCGCGTGTCTCTAACAGAGTATATAAATCTAACTTTGAGGATCTCTTTTTTTTTCCCTCTTTTTCTCTTTTTTCTCTCTCTTTTTTATTCCTCTCCTCTTTTTCCCTTTTGATTACAAAGCAATGAACTGGCAACCAGAACAACATGGCCTGAACGAATTACTCAACTTGCTCCAAGATGCCATACATCCAAATAATAGGGGTCAACTGTTGGTGCAAGAGGTAAATGAAGCCAGCGGTGGTCCTGAATGGGTCATTGAACGTTTCCCATTATACATAGAGACTAGCTTCATTCAATGCAATCCCGGAATATAACTCCTACCTCATCCACATTTTAGTGTTGATGACTGATCAGGACAGCTACATACGAGCGATTGCTGGACTGACGCTCAAGAACAACATTTTGAACAGCTTCAATTCAACGCCACTGTTCGTATTGGACCATGTAAAATCAGTGTGCACTCGGTCCTTGGAATTTCCTGATCCAGATGCGACCATCAGGAGAACCATTGGCTCTGTGATTACTGCGATCGTGGTTCGAGGACAGATCATGAATTGGCCAAACATCATGAACATACTAGCCCACAGGCTGGATAGTCCGAATTCATTGTCTATTGAGGTATTCTATTGTAGGAAACATTCTGCACAGCGTTTTGAGGTAGTTGGGGATGCTGATACACCTTGTTATAGATGGCTTTGGATACAATACAGATGATTTGTGAGGATAACGCATTAGACGTAAACGAAGCCATGGATGCTGAGACCAATACACCCGTACTAGACTTCATAATTCCAAAATTAATACCATTCAACAGCCACGCCAATGCCCGTTTAAGAGTGGCTTCCATCAAAGCCATCAGCCATTTCATACAACTCGAGTCGACATCACTACTGGCCAACATGGACAGTTATTTACAGTCATTGTTTAACATTGCATCTGACGAAACAACTGAAGTACGTCAAGAACTATGTCGCTCTTTTGTCATGTTACTTGATACCTTTACTGAATGCCTTCTGCCATATCTTGATCAACTGATCGAATACATGATTTTTTGTAACCAATCCGAAAACACCAAAGTGGCATTAGAAGCTTGTGAATTTTGGCATCAGTTTGCCCGACTAGAGGACATTCATAACCATCTATTACCCTTTCTGCCTCGCGTGGTGCCAGTGATTCTTAACTCGTTGATATACACAGATGAAGATTTGATGGTGCTTGGTGGAGGCGATGATGAGGATGATTCCAACCCGCAAGATCTACAGCCCCGATTTGCCAGTCGATATATATCCACTTACTATAATAGATACAGGCAGCAACATAACAGCAACAGTAGCAGCAGTAGTGAATATGAAGACGACGAGGACGAGGAGGATGAGGATCCCGAGGACGAAGAGTTCTTTTCGGAATGGACACTGCGAAAATTTAGCGCTACTTCATTAGATGCACTCACATCATCGTTCAAATCACAAATGACAAATATTTTGCTGCCTCTGTTGAATCATGCCTTATTTAGCGATGACTGGAGAGTGATTGAAAGTGGCATACTCGCATTAGGGGCAGCCGCAGAAGGTATGTTGTCGTTTTTCTTTTTCGCCTACTTGAATGTTGATATTTATTATTTATGGAAATGTTGCCATAGGTGGCATTGAGGAGATTACTCCCCATTTACCCAAACTGATACCTTTTCTAGTCACTCAGCTATCGCATGCAAATGTAAGTGAGCGAGAGTGACGATGCCATGCATATCTATATTCATAATCAGCGTTTTATTTAGGCTCATGTGCGGTGCATCTCCTGTTGGACCGTGAGTCGATTCTCTGGATGGATAGTTGCACAATGCACCAACTCCGAGCAAGGTCGCACACAGTTCTATGAGCCTGTGCTTCGTGAGCTACTACGACGTATTCTTGACAGAAGTAGACGAGTGCAAGAAGCAGCATGTTCGGCATTTTCGACGTTGGAGGAATCAGCATCGAAGCAAGAACTGGTTCCATATCTAGCAATGATTTTGAATCACCTGACTCGAGCATTGCGATTGTATCGAAATCGAAATTTAAGGGTTTTGTATGACACCATTGGGACACTAGCAGAATCCGTGGGCTCCTGTTTGAACGAACCTAATTTCATTGCAGTTTTGATGCCACCATTGATATCCAGATGGAATGGACTTACAGATACAGATTCGGATCTATTTCCATTATTAGCAGTAAGTTTTTTTTTTTAAAAAAAGCTTTCATGTGAATGAAAAAGGTGATTCATGTGCCTATAAAAGTGTTTGACAGATATTGCTACCTCATTGGGCAGTGGGTTTTTGCCATTTACTGAACCTGTGTTTACAAGATGCGTCACGCTGATATCCACCACCTTACAAAACACGCTACAACATGACGACTATGAAGAGTTTGATGACTTGAATGACGAGTTTATTGTGATACCGTTGGATTTGTTATCGGGAATTGTGCAAGGATTGGGCGAGAAGGTGGAGCCGTTTGTGCAGCAATCTACAGTATTACCATTACTGGCTGTTTGTGCTCATTATGTAAGCGGCCTTCTTATGTGCTTTGCTTGGTGGAATCATGTTATTAAAGCATTTGTATACAGGACTCACGGTATGAAATCTTGTCGCCCACGTACGCTCTAATAGGCGACATAGCCAAAGCTTGTTTTGTAACACTACCTCCTTATTTGGAGAATATGATGCCTGAACTTATTCGTCAACTAGAGAGCAATGATCCCGCATCTAAATCAGTACGCAATAATGCTATTTGGGCAGTTGGCGAGATATCGATACGATGGCACAGAGAGAATATGGAGAAATACGTCGAGCCCGTTTTGCAAGCTCTGATACCATTGATACATCCACAATCACAAACTGTGGACCTACAAGAAAATGCAGTCAACACCATTGGTCGGTTAGGTATCCATAATGCGGAAAAGGTAGCACAATTCCTGCCTCAATTTTGTCGCGCTTGGCTTTATAGGTCAAGAGGCATGCGTGAAAGTGATGAAAAAGATAGCGCGTTTCAAGGCTTCTGCAGAACAGTATGTCTGTTTCCTCAGGCATTAAATGAAGTGGTATTATGTGCAGATGGATCATCGATTGAAGCCCCTGAATATTGATACATTGACTTGTAGGCAATTCGCACTTTGTTTGACATTATTGGACAATGGCAATCTCCATCAGATGGACTCAAAGTTTTGTTCCAAGAAGTAAGCTGTCGATACTCAAGTTGAATGTTATTGTTATATTAACATTTAAACAAAAGATAACAGTCGGCTATCGTGGGCTTCTGACCATAGATCAATGGAATCAAGTAGCATCAGGTGTACTCAACAAAGATGAACCAGAGCGATAGATCTTTTCTCTACTACCACATTAAAATTACATTCTGTACACAAATACGCGCCATATCAGCGTTTAAACTAACTTGCAATTAATACATTGTCTCGATAACAGCTCTTTGTATCGTAAACACCAATAAAAATAATCTGTCGAGCATAAGTGCATCATGTATTCTTCAATGATCTGTTGATTCTGGAGCAATGATGACAGCGTATTCCATTAAGACTTCTTTGTTGAGTCTCCAATTGCTATGCAAGCAATCCAAATGTAATAAATGATACTGTGTTAAAGTAGTACCTATTATGTCTAGCTTTCTAGTATAATAAAATTAAAAAATATAACACGCATTAAACTGTGAATAATAGATCAAATGATTGGGACAATAACATTAAAACTATAATAAATGCCAAATCACTAATAACATACCAACTGCTAGCTAAAAATTCGTTTATATGTTTAGCAACCCCTCAAAGTGGGTATAACATGGTCCTGATATAAAGGCTTTAGGATCAATAAAGTATCATACGAGGTACATTTTTATCCTGCATCAAGTTACGTGACTAATATGACTCTATTGTCATTTTTTTAGACAACTTCTCAGGTTAAGAAAGTTCATAAAACACAAAATTCCGAGCAAAATCATGAAGGAAACGTACAGTTAAATCTTGAAGTTCTTATATCTTGATAGATCCAAAGTAAGGCTATCGAATGATTCTTGCCTTGATCGAATACAATGAGTATTTATTGAGATATGGTCAAAAAAGAGTGTCGTGCAAAATCATTGATTTTTCTTCAAAATCTGCCTGTGATAGCAAGCAAAAAAACTGGGTGATCTTTTTTTGGTCAGGACAATGTTGTCAATATTTCATGATAGAGTCATGCCAGAGCTTCAAGCAATAGCTCATTCGATAGGAAATTTTTTGGTCTGCAATGTTTAGTAATGCTTAACAAAATATTTTGATGACAGATAGTGATTAATCTTTAGAAAACAGTCATAAAATTGCAAAAACAATTGTACCAAATATCAGGTGAACAATGTACACCAGAGACTTGATATGGATACCGTTGTATTTTCCTTTGAATTCTCTACAAGTTTCATATAAGTTTGAAGGGGTGGTTACTATCAGGAAACGCGTAATTTTAAGGTCGATAGATTTCAGAATCCCATGGATCATCATTTAGAACAATAGCAATTGAATCTCCGTTGAGCTTTCGCATGTGTACACCACACATGTATGCATTTGACCAAGCATTTTAAAAATTGGAGCGTACGAAAAGGGCCATATTAACTTGCTGGTTTTAAGTTATCAATAGATACCTGACATGTTGAAAAATCTTGCTGTTAAGACTAGACAACTGTAGCTTGCTTTATTCAAGAATAATAACATTTCCAATTTAATGTATGTATATTCCCCCGCTTAAAAATAGCATCTCCAATGTTGATTATCTCATGAAGTATGCATTTCCAATGTAATGTTCTCACTAAAAACTTGCTCCAATATCACTATTCTACAACATATTTAAGTTTGACGAGATTCTAATTTTTTTTACCTATGAGGACCTGGATGTACAAAATGTTTTCTGATTTTGAGGTTTTCAACTTTTGGACGATTGAAAATCGATTTTCTAAATATTGATGCTAGATCTTTGAAAGTAGCATGTTCCTATACCAGTTTTTTGTCTTCTAAACGATGGTGCAAACCAAATTTGCGTAGGCAGCATGGTTGTTTAGAAAATGAAGAATTTTGAAACTGGTTAATATTAGACAGAAGGTATTAGTAAAACTTTTTAGATTACTATGAATGTGGTATATATGGGTAGTAAAAGTTGTAGAGGGTATTTTGGTTGATTAGGGAATGTTGTATTTGGGGTTATTGAGGGCGATGACGATGAGTAATGATGGAAAATCGTTAAAATGGGCGATTTTCAAAGAGCCATACCGCTTGATTTTACTAAGTGAACATGAGCTTCAAGCTTAATAGCTTCTCTTTCTTTTTCAGTTCTCTATACGATGGTATGGTTATTATAGATTGTGGAATTTGAGGCTTGATAGACTAAAATTCACGGAAAAAAAAGAATAAAAAAACAGTAATGTCTGTGGAATACATCCACTATGATCTGCATTCCGACAGTTCATCCAGTTACCAGATTTAGATATAAACTGTATGTACACTGGATTAGATGTACGATATCGATTTATACTATGATCATGAGAAGATATGGACTTCAGATACGCTAGTACTATAAGATTCATACTATATAAGATATAGGCTATAGATGGCACCACGGACATGGATGGCACTATAGACTTATACTTGTATTCCGACATTGACTACGGATGTTTACCATATCTGGATAGGCACCAAGATTAATGCAATATGAGCTTGTTGCTTCAGATGTGCACTTCATGATCCACGCTATAAGACACATGCTTATATCCGTGATACTAGCTACAGATACTTTATGTACTACAGACTTGTACTATATATGAGACATGCTATAGACATGCATACGATATGCTATAGACATGCCATATATCCAGATACATGCTAAAGATGTATGCTTAGCGATATACACTCAGATATGTACTATTAATATAGACTAAGAAGACTGTACCTATCGGACACATGCTACTAGATCGATATTAATTATCCTTATGGAAAGGATAGATCAGGGTACTTCGGATGAGAGTCTAATTATTCATCCAGACAGAGCTAAATCATGATTAGCTTGCTGGAGTTGTCTTTTAGCATGATTAGACATTAGTTGATCTGAGTTGACTTATTTGTCAATCTAATTAATAGAACTTTTATCCATTGTTATAGTATATAAGAAGGATCATCTACCTGGCCAGTAGAGAGACTTCAGTTTACTTGACACCTGTCAGTTTGATAATAAAATATACCTTTATCAAGTTGACATTACTGTTTTTTATTCTTTTTTTTCCGTGAATTTTAGTCTGTAAAGCCTCAAATTCCACATTTTTTTCAACTCAAAGGTTATCACTTTTACACTTTATCTTATACTCTACATTTTATTATTCTACTTTAAAAACTATTTTTATCATGTCTCACAACCAATACAACGCTACTGAAAACACTCAAGAGGATATTGCTCAAGACTCTATCCGTGTTTCTTCTCCTTATGACTCATCTATGCAAGTGGATGAGCACGCTCAACTTTCTGCAGTTGATCATCTTCTCAAGAAGATTGACACTGCTCAGGCTCGCTTGGATCAGATCCATCGTAACGCTGGTGATACTTACACTGAGGATGAACGCTTGGCGGCTGATGAAGCATCTGCGTCTGTCGAATGGCTCAGCAAGCAAGTCAGTGCCATTACTAAGAGGGCTGATTCCAAAGCAAGACCTGTCAATCTCAATGAGATCCCTCGTTTCCAGGTGGTAGGACAAGCTAAGCATTGGCCTGACCATCCTCGATTCACCACAGTCGATCATTTCTTCAGTGCTTTTGAGAACGTCATCAGAGCATCCGGTAATGAAGTAAATTTGGTTTGGAAACGCTACGTGCCTGTTTCACTGCCATTTGACTTCGAATCATGGACCAAGAATGATCTTCTGGCATGCAATGATTGGGATCAAGCCAAGGCATTGTTCCGCAAACATTTTGGTGCTCCCATCAACTCTGAGGAATCCATGGCCAAACTCTTCAGCATGCGCATGAAGAACAATGATACTCTACAGGACTATACGAATAAGTTCATGAAGTACGTCAAGGATTGTGGCTTCCCTCCTAACAGCAACATGTTAGCCAAGTTCTATCAGTTCACGCTGTTACGCAAGAATCAGCAAATGATGGTCAACCAAATGTCCGTCAAGCATGGTTCCAACCACAAGTGGACTATCAACGAGATCTATGAGTGTGTGTTGCCTTTGTTCCTTGTTGACGAGCAAAATCGTGGTGATGATAATGTTGAGGTCGACATCAGAGGTAAGCGTAAGGGTGGTTCTGGTGGTTCTGGTTCGAGAACAAAGATGGCAAGGGTATCTGCCACTGGGTATTTCTGTGCGAAGCATGGCGGAAGCAATGCCAACCACAACACCATTGACTGTAAGTCAAGATTGAAGCACTTTGGCTCTGACAACAAGCCTAACCGGGCTACTACTGCTGCTCCGTATTCTATGAATTCCTCATCCTCTGATCCCAAAACCTGCAACTTTTGTGGTAAGCCCCGTGCTTACGGCCATCGTTGTCAAGAGTTCTACGACTGGAAGAAGGAGAGAGAATCAAGGAAGAACATTGGTGTGCATACTGTACAAACAACCACTGTTCGCAAGGACAACAAGTCTGGTTCTGGTTCTGAGACCAACGATGTTACCATGGAAAGTAGCACTGATTCTGACATTGGTGATGCTATTGGAGATGTCACCATGGAGGAAATAGATGCTTGCTTGGACGAGATTGAAGCAGAGGATGCCTCGCTCAACTGTAAGTCTAATGTGAAAAATGTACCTGAAAGTTTCAATCCATTTCAGTTACTGACTCCTATTATTTTAGAGAGCAAAGAAGGAAAACCAGTCCGTTTGATCGCGAAAGTAGATACGGGATCAGATTCCACCTTCTTAAATAAAAACATTTTTCACAATAAACTACTATTCACTTCCCAAGATATTATTTCTGTTGAAGGCAATTTGAACTTTCTGAGTCATTCAGTAAAGAGATTGGGTAAAACACCAGCTATCAAGATAAGATATCTTAATGACATTGCATTTGATCACTCGTTTGAGCTATCCAATTTTATTCAGGACCTAGGCGATTTTGATGTGCTACTGGGTGTAGACACATTGAGTCGACTTAGAATTGGGCTAACTGGCGTTGCTCACAAGTTTGCTGATATTGGGCATCTTACAGAGGAAGAGAAATCAGAGCTTCTTGAAAGCATCGATTTCGAAAATGTCAATTTTGATACTAAACATTCTATTGATCCAGAAACCGCATCAATCTTTGAATCCCAAGTTGAGGAGAATAAGTATATGAGCAACATCCAAGATG